TAGCAAAAGATACAGGAACTAGAAGTGCATCAAGCAATAAGAGTTGTTTTTAAGAAAAGGTGTTAAGGGGATAGAACATGAAAGAAATTAGTAATATTCTGCCCTGGCTGGTGTGGCTCAGCGGATGTAGCGCTGGCCTGCGAAGCAGGAGTGGCCGGTTCGATTCCCGGTTGGGGCATGTGGCTGGGTTTCGGGCCAGGTCCCCAGCAGGGGGCGCTTGAGAGGCAGCCACACAGGGATGTTTCTCTCCCACTCTTTCTCCCTCCCTTCCCCTCTCTCTAAAATGAATAAATAGGATATTACTAATTTCTTTTTTTATAAAGACTTTAAGTCTGGAAATTATCTTTGTTGATTAGACAGATGGGAATTTTTTGAGTGAAGGCCTGTAGGTGTCTTTCGAGACATGAACCAAAGACCCCCCCTCCCCCGCCTGGCCCAGTTTGGAGTCATCCCCTTGCTGGGTCCTGAGTCCTTTCCCAGCAGCCTCTGCTTGCTCTGGAGCGGGGGGTGGGGGGCGGGGGACGCGGGCGATGTCACCGGGACTTGTCCCTAACGAGCTGTGACACAGCTGCTGCAGGACTAGCCCTGCGACTCCCCAGCCGCCGTCAGGGCCCCGTGCGGGGGGCCGGCCCCCGTCACCGTGCCCATTGGCCGGCTCTCTTGGCAAAGTTCAGGCTCCTGCTCACAGCTTGCTGCTCACAGTGAAAAGGAAATGCAGAAAGGAGGGGGGTGGGGGGCAGTTCGGAAGGGCATGGCCCACTGCCCTGGTCTAAGGCCTGGCTCCGCTCAAGGGCGGGGGTGGGAGGCTTTGAATAACCTGTGCTTCCAAGTGATTCTCTGGAGTTCTTACTGGCTCGACTGTTGTGAAACAGACTCCCCAGAACATTTTGCTTCTTGCAAATCTGGCTCTGTCCCCATTTAAGTGAAAAATGTTTAACTGATAGCGAGGTCTTTTGTTCAGCAGGAATAGAACTGCTTTCTCTTCTCTCTCCTCCTCTGAGGCCCTTCTGCAACGCTCCTGACCAGCGCCCCCCAGAGGGCGGTGACGCTGGGGCCTGGGAGGGTGCCCGTGGTCCACGCGCCAGCCCGGTCCGCACAGGGGTCAGCGGTCGTGGCTGGGGGGATGCAGGAGAGGCTGTGCCCGGGGGCGGCGGGGGGGGGGGGGGCTCAGCACCTGGGCCTCGTTTCCGGCCTGCCTGGTCCGTGCTGGAAGCTCACGGACTGTTGCCTGAGGGCTTGCCCTGGTCCTGCTTAGTGTTTTGGTGGGTTAGCTAGGTAGTTTCTGATGTACTAAGCATAGTATGTACATTTCTAAAAGCAACTTAGCATTTTGAGACCCATTTTCTTACTGACGATGAGTTTCTGTGTTCCATCAGTGAAATGGGAGGCAAGGGACTGAAGGACGGTATTTACCGGTGACACAGAGCTCCTCTCAGGGCTTGTGTCCCCTGAGAGGGGGCTCCGGGAAGAGCCAGCCCAGCACCTTCCGAGCCCTGGCCTCCTGGCTGCCGGCGCTGCCCGTGGGCGTGTCGCAGGGTCGCTGGGGAGAAACGCCGGCCAGGCCAGCGCCCCCCCCCCCCCCGCCCCAGCTGGACAGACCGTGGGTAACGTCTTTGGACAGGTCGTTTATAATAGTTTTTCAAATTGCGGTAGGGACGTTAGCCCCCAGTTTCTGCTGATAGTGTTAAGAAACCGGAGTTGAATTGCCAGCTAAACCTTGGTCCTGAGGCCGGCAGAACGTGTAGTGCCGCAACTTCTTTCTCCTTTTTTAAACCTCAGATGCCCAGACTTCATCAGTCATAGTTCTTGGGTTACAACACATCTCGTCATTGGTCTGTGGATGTTTCACGTCTCTCATTCACTTATAAGTAACACCATCATCTGTGAAAAGAGTGTCCGCGCCGAGCGACGCAGAAGGCTGTCATGACGCGGCTTCTCCGCCGCAGCCTTCTGCCCCCGGCCCCGTGGTTGCTGCTGGAGGCCCAGACACACAGTCAGGTGCCTTAGACTTAATACACTCTCGTTAGGACTTAGTAATTCAGCTATAAGGCGTGTGTTTAAGGTAACTCGTTCTTAGACTTTGAAAGAATCCATAGATTTAATTTACTAATTTTGATTTGGGCCAACTGCCCCAGGTTAACAAAATATCAGTATCTTCAGTCTGGAAAATTCGTTATTTACATGTAAATAAAACGTGGCCTTAAGGACGTTTCCTCTTTGGCCGTGCCACGCTTGACCTTCCTAGGCCTTCGTTTTTACTGTGTCATTGAAGGTTTTGCTTCAGACTCTCGTTGTCTGTGATTCTTTCTACTCGGCTGCTCGGCAACAATAAGACCGATGTTGACAGTTGATACTGTTTGGAGACCACTTGGACCAGAAATTTCATGACATGTCTTCACGTGTTTCTTGGTTTTTAAGAGGATTTATTGGTAGCAATGACTGACTTCTGAGGAGCAAGGGATCTGCTCTCCTCGCCAGGGGTGCTGGCCCTGGGCTGAGGCCGGCGGGCGGCTTCCTGGGTGTCAGGGTCACGTTTAATTCTGCGGCGCATCCCAGCAGGTCGCAGGTGGGGGCAGGGACGCAAACTCCATCCGCAGTGACAGCCGGGCTTGGCCCGCACCCGCGGGGGGTGATCGCCGAGTAACGCGGGTGTTTTTGATGAACGGGCTTTCGGTCTTGGGCCTCGTGTCGCCACTGTCGGTGATTGCGTTTCTGTCTCCCACTCGTTAACAGTGTTTATTAATCTTCCGAGTGTTCTCAACCCCCCACCGCCCCTCAGCTGCGGCTTCGTGTGCTGCAGCCCTTCTGCCTTCCGGCGGGGGCGCCCCGGCCGTGTGCGTCTGTGCGGACGGCTGCCTGTGGTTCGAGGAGTCTGCTGTGGGCCCCCCTGCAGGATCCCCCACCCCCTGCGTTTGCTGTTGAAACTCTCGCCCCACACTCGACCGCCCGTACGAGGAGGCCCACCCTCGCCCACGTGGCCCCTGGCAGCCTCCCCGCCCCCGTGCCTCTGTGGCGTGTCCCTTTGCCTCGTACAGCTGACACCACCTGCACGGCACCGCCTCCGTGTCCTTTGCTGTTAGGATGCCTGTGAATGGCTGCTCTGCCCCAGGCCCCACCCCAGTTGCAGGGCAGATCGTGGGGAACGCAAACAGGCGCACACAGAAACGGCCTGCGTGGCTCCCGTCTCAGCCCTTCCTCCATCGCTCCCTCCCCGCACCCGCACCCGCTCGTAGACGCGCTGGGACGGCCTCCCTCGCCTGGGCGTCTCTGTCGTGTGCGCGCCTGTGGTGGGTTGGTTAGTCTGCCGTTGGCTGGCCGCTGTGCTCCTGTTATAGGTGCCCCCCAGCCCCAGAGGAAAATGGGGGGGGGGGTTTCTTCCCTGATGCTGTTGCCTTCTCTCAGGACCGCATCTCGGGCAGAGGCCTGGCGCCCAGTCTTACGCAGGCGGCACCGAGGGGGAGGGAGGCGTCCCGTCTGTGCGCCATGGGGACAGTGCGGCAGCACGGCCTTTCCAGACCTGGCTTCTCTGCCTTGGCCTGGGGGAGGGGGAGTCGTGGGAGCCCCGGCCCGGCCTGTGGGGCGCGGCCTGTGCTGCGGCACCGCCAGAGCCCTGCCGCCTGGCCCTGCACCTGGCCGTGGCCCTCCCGCGGCAGCCGCTGGGGCCGCCCCCGCCCCTCGCTGACTTCAGTCGCTGCGGAGCCCAGGTGCCCCCCTCCCCCTGCTCTTCCTCCTCGCGCGGGGAGTCTGCCGCCCCTGCCTTGCACCCCGGGCGCTGGGCTCCTGTTTCAGGCCGGGCCGCAGATGACCCTCATGGTCCCTCTGCCCGTGCTGGGGCGGGTCCCCACGGCCCTGCAGGGAAAGGCTGGCCTTCAGCCTGAGCCCCGCCGCCCCCGAGTCAGATCTCGGCTCCTCCACCTCAGGCGCCCCCGCCGTCCCCGCGAAAAAGCCAGGGTCGCCACCTTCTCCCCGACTCCCATGGCGCCGTTGCGGACTCCTGTCCGTGTGTCTTTGTGCGGTCCCCTCTCCCGACTACGCCAAGCTCCGCAGCGTGTACGAAGCGCTGCATCACCGCACACGCAGGGCGGGCGCCCAGCACATGTCTGCTCCAGGAAGAGTCCTTGGTGTCTGCGCTCGGTAGGGTCTGTTTTTCTGGACAACTTCTGACTAGAATGTAGGAAAGAGCTAGGAACTTAATATAAGAACAAGACCCCCAGCTGTGGGCGGGTTAGTGGTTCCCAAAGGCAGAGAATGCGTGTTGTGTCTGAGCGTGTCCCAGGGCGCACCAGCTGCCTTTTTTTGCTGTTGCACTGCCTCAAGGTGGTTGGTGGTGTTTGTACCAGTGAGTATGCGTAACAGCTTTTTGTCCTGTGAAGTTTTTAGAGGGAATGTTTACAAAATGAGGAATTTCAAAAACGACTGGTACATTACAACCGCTGAGGAAGTTTGCGGGGTCCTCTGTGGTGCACCCCGTGCACGTGCGCTCCTGGTGGATCCGCACAGGATCCGAGGGGGAGCCGCTCACACCTGAGCACAGCGGCCCGTCGCTGCAGAGAAGCAGGGCCTCCTGAAAGTCCCCGTTGTCCCTTTGAGACCCTGTCGCTCCACCCCGCCGACCCTGGTTCGGGCGAGCGCTGACCCGCTGCGGCCCAGGCGAGGGGGCCGCCTCCCTTCCAGAGGGCGGTGCCAGGCTCGGGGCAGGTGCGGCATACACTTCAGGCGCCCAGTGGCTTCGTGCCGGTGCTTGTTCAAAACAGGGGCCCCCTGAAGCTGTCTCAGGCGATTCATGTGTTGAAACTGTTGAGCGAGCGAAGGAAAGCTTCTGAGTCCGCACTTGAAGCGCAGCATGTCGACGTCTGCTGAAGGCTGATTTATAGGTGGCGGCGTGTGTGTGCGTTTGGGGGGGGGGGGGGCTTGGGGGTTGGGGCGGGGCATGAGGCCTGGGGGGCAGGGGGCAGCGCTGGGACACTGGGGCTGGCCTCTCACCGGCTCTCTCCCTGCAGGAGCTGGAGGCGGCGCTGCACCACGATGACGCCGAGTTCATCAGCGACCTCATCGCCTGCTTGCTGCAGGGCTGCTACCAGCGCAGGGACATCACGTGAGTCTCCGACCCCAGCCTGTCCCCGGGACAGGCGGAGCCCGCCCTGGGCCGGGGAGCCGGCCGGGCAGCCGGCCGGGCACCTGGTCGCCGCGGGTCCCCGAGCCGTGGGTGCGGCTCTGCCCTGCCAGGCGCGGCTTGTCGTGGTCCCCTCACAAGCTGACGTCCGAGTGTAGGGCTGCCGCTTCTCTCGGGACGTGCCTCCCTCTCTGGCTCTTACTGACAGCACTGCAGCCTGACGGGGCCCCGCCGGGTTTCGGTGGCTCTGGTGCGCGGCGGTGCGGCCCCCACCCGAGGCTCGGGCTCCGTGCGCCCTACCTACCCCGTGGAACCGCAGGTGTGCGGGCGGGTGGAGGGTGCTGTGCCCGCATGGCTTCTGCTTTGACCCCGCCTTGATGGGCGTTTTCCTCGCCACTCCGTTTCCTCACAGAATCCAAGGCTGGCATACACAGGCCCTCCAATCTGGCGGTCGCGTCCGGCCCCGCAGGGGTTGGGGACCGTGGTGCATGTTTTTCAGGCAGGTAGAGGTGGCGTCGGAAGTGCTTCTGATCCCCTGTGCCCGCTACGAGGTGCTGCCGGTGCGGGGGAGCCGGTGAGTGTGTGGAGCCTGCAGTCAGGAGGCGAGCGAGGAAGGGCAGAGGCGCCGCCATCTCGGGCGCACCTGTGTGCCCGCGTGCACCGTGGTTCCCCAACGTGCTGTCCACACAGTGACTCTGCCTACAGAACACACGGGCGTCACGCCAAACAAAGAGAAGGGAAACGGGAAGAACCAGGCCGCATCCCCGCGCCCACGTGGTGGTGCCGTTCTCCGCACGTCCCCCCGCTCTTTTGGGGGCACAGCTTGGGGGCTTGTGCAGGTTTTAAGCAGAGTTGTGGCCATATTGTGTATATAACTTTCCATTTTCATATCTTGCACCTTCTCATTATAGTGACTTGTTTTCTTATAATCACTTTTCTTTAAATGTGGTTTTCCAAGAAATCCTGTTTGGTAGATCGACTTTTTTTTTTTTTTTTGGTCTAGCGTTTAACCGTTGAAAGCATATTGTGATCTGTGGCCTTGGACATAAGTGTGCGCATTGTGGGTCATCTCCTTAGCTCACCGTCCTGGGAACACAGTTCCCTGTTGGAGGAAGTGACTCTTCTGGTCTGAGCAGAACGGGCAGAGCCAGCGGTGGCCCCCGTGCTGGTTCTGTAGGGTCCGTGCGGCGTGAGCCTCCTGTGGCCAGCGTCCGCCCGCAGCGAAGCCCGATGAACGGGTAAGTGGGTGGGCAGTGATCCCGCCCCAGCCTCACGGGCAGTGAGGGCAGGAATCGAGGGTTGGACGCCCCAGAGCAGAGCCCAGGTCTCCTGTGGGTCAGAAACACGATAGGTTTGCGTTGCTCGGCCGTACTCTGTGGCCAGTGTTTGAAAGGAGACCTCGCAGGTGAAGTTCCTGGTAGCTGTTCGAACAGCTCTAACAGCCTGGCCCCCACTAGCTCGAGGGTCGCTGGCCGGCTGCACAGCACTGGCTGCCAGGCAGGCCTGCCGGACCCACGGGCGCATTTGGAGCCTCCCTGCTGGGCTGCGCCTGCCCTGCTCCCACTGGTCTTAGTGCCTCCTGCTTGTGGAGGCTTCCAGGAAAGGGTGGTGTCATCTTGCCATAGCCTGTGAGAAATAGTCTTAGTTTAGTTACAACCAAATAAACCTGTAAGTAAGTTTGGATAAAACTGACGTCTTCACAATATTGAGATTGCTCTTTGATTGCTTTTTTTATTTTAAGTCCTTTATATTTACTCAGTGAAAAGGTTTAGCCTTGTTCATTTAGGTCAGATGCATTCCTGGCTATTGTAATTTTTGTTGCCCTTAAGAGCAGAATCGGGGCTGAGCTGCTGTGGCTCAGAGGGTCGGGGGCGCCAGCCTGCGATCCACGGGGTCCCGGTTCGGTTCCCTGGGGTGAGGGCCAGGTCCCTAGCAGGGGGTGCGCGAGAGGCAACTACACGCTGATGCTGCTTCCCTTCTCTAAAAGTAAATAAAATAGTTTTAAAAATTAAAAAAGAGAGAGAGCGAGCCACATCCTGCCTCAGGTGCTTCCGGTGTAGAAGGCGCCCCTCCGTGCCTGCCTGGTGTGCGCCCAGCGCTGTGTGCGCCGAAACGTGCGGAGTGGGCGTCATGGCCGCCTGGGCTTGTGCGTGCCCGGCGCTGCAGGGTGACCCTCTGCTGTGCGACAGCCCCCTGGGGCCCAGCGCCGCAGGAGCAGCGGGGTCTGGGCGAGCACAGGGCCTGTAGGTGGGAAGCTGGGCACAGCCCCTCAGGGCAGCCTCGTTCTGGGCTGGGCTGAGGCGAGGCCGCGCATTGTTTCTTGTTGCTGTGGAGCAGCTTTCTGCGAATCAAGTAGTTCGGGGATGCATGACCGTGCAGTGTGCTGGTCAAAGGGTCAGAACGCGTCCACAGCGTCTCCCCGGGCGGTGGTGAGACTGTGGTCCGCGTGCTCCTGCGGGGCCGGAGCTGCACGCTGCTGCCAGCCCTCGGAGACCCTGGCCCTTCCTTGGCCCCAGCTCAGCGGGCGGGAGAGGGTGTGCAGGGCTGCGGCCACCAGGAGGTGCGCTAGAGCCGCCTGCGGTGTGTGCAGTCTGCTCCGGGCCGTCTTCCAGCACGAAACTGAAGGGCATCGGGTGGGTCGTGCACTTACGTCCAGTCGCATTTACGTAGTTACTGACAATGTATCATAGATTCCGTGTGTCACCTGATAGGCTTTTGGACGAGAACCAGTTGATTTTTGAATAATCACATGTGGATGCAATTATCACCAAGAGGTTTTGGTTTTGCCCCTTTGGTAAATGGCTGTAACTAGTTCCTAGTATAATTTTATTTTTCCCATTTTATTATTATCTCCACTATAAAGTATAGGAAAAATATATACTTACACTGATAATGTTCCCTAAAAATCGACTCGTTTGAAAAGAACCCTTTTCCCGTCATTCGTTGTGTTTTCACTTGGGTTTGTTTCGTTTTTTCAGTCGTCTTATGAAGGGATAAAGGAATGGTAAGGCGGTCACCTCACAGATTAATAAGGTGCCATTTTGTACAGAAAGAACCATCTGAAGATCTATTTGTCAGATCACGTAGCCAACTGGAAGACGCGTGATTCCGACGTCACCCTGCCCCGAAGACGAGGGAAGGTGAAGATCGAGAGGACAGGGGTCATGGGGGCTGAATTTTCGGTCTGCAGGTCAGACCCTTTCATGTCTTGTCGTCTGCCTGAAGTGAGTGCCCTTTGGCATATGAAAATCTGAACTTTATAAAGCTCCCCGGCGTTGTTTGGGGTGCAGACGGCCCCCTCCTTGAAGGGGGGTGCAGGGCGAGGTGTGTGGCCCCCGTGTGCTGAGCCGGAGGCAGCGGTGACGCGTGTCAGCGTGTCCGCCTCACCGTGGCCATGTGGGCTTGTCGTGACAGTCAGGCGCCCTGCCGCCTGTCCTCCCGAGTGCTTCCCACACGCCGGCAGGGGCCTGCCCCTCTGCCCTCCTCGGCAGCCGCCTCTGAACGCTGCTTCCCTCCTGGCCGCGGCCGCGGCGCTGTGTCGGTCACTCCTGAAAGCCGTCTTTTGAAATGAGGGGTTAATTTCTTTAAAAAAAAAAAAAAAAAAAAAAGTGACCTTCTCAAATGTTGAAAACTTGTAGGTGCTTGTTGCAGTGGGGAGAGGCCAGGGTTTCCCCCTTCCCCTGCCAGCAGCCACGGCGCGTTTCTGCTCCTGGAGGAAGATGGGGGGCAGAAGCCAAGGGAGCCCGGGGAGCCCGGTGCTCTGTCCATGACCCTCGGCTGGGGGGCGGGGCGGGGAGGCCTGAGATGCGTCGCAGCCGTTCTCAAACCACAGTCTGCAAAACACACCTGGGACGGGTCAGGTCATAGCAGGAAACAGGGTGGGGCTTTCATGGGTGTAAAAACTATATACACGTGAAATAGAACTTTCGTGAATGGTCAGGTGTCTGGGACCTGGTAGCACCATGATTTTGAATGAATCAGCCTGGGCTGAGGCTTGGGCTTCAGCCTTTCAGTGACCCTTGTCGCTGATGTGTAATGCGCTCCAGGAAAAGGCTCATTCCTTCACGTGCAGCTCAGGGACCTTCCACAGGCCGGACGGACCTGTGAGGTGAGCACCTGGACGAGAAGCCGCTGCACAGTGGACTCTGCTTCCTGTGCCGGAAGCGATCACCCAGAGTGGTGGTTGGCCCACCGGCTGCACCGTCAGGGCCCACTCCCTCTCGGGGGTTTTACCTTCGTCCCACCCCAGAAAGAGGGCCGTGGACGGGGGTGCACCCTGCCCTCTGGTTCCAGGAGCTCCCTCTTCTGGAGGCTGAGCAGGCGCTGGAGGTCCTGGTGCACAGCCCGCCTTGCCTGCGGGGTGGGAATGCAGCCTCGCCCGCCGAGCCATTGCCAGGGTCCCGGGAGGGAAGCTGTGGGCGCCTCAGACCGGTCCTGAGCAGTTGGCGGTGTCGCGCGCGTGGGTGGAAATGCTGTTCGCTGCTGCGCCTGCGGGTAGTAAGGACATGCGGGCTGCAGCAGCTTCCATGCCGTCTGTGTGGTGCCTTCCATGTCGCAGAACTGGGGCGGGCAGACTGCTGCTCCTGGGGCCAGGGCCCGCGACCTGCGCAGCTGCCCGCGCGGTGCTTGGGGCGCAGGGTGGGCCTTGGCCGGGGCGCCCACGACTGACTGCCCACCCGCTTCATTAGCATTTGATGGACGTTGCAGTGGGAGCTGGACATCATTTTCATGTGTCTCGAAGTAGTGTTTTCCCCACAATCATTAGAAAAAGAGCAGCCTTTATGTTCTTAGCTCTAGAGGGAGAGAGGTGTTCGTCAGTTTGGCCCGGGGCCCTCGCGTTTCAGCCCCCCATTTTAGGACGTCACGGCGGCGGCTGCTCTCGTTCCGCTAACTCGGTGTGGCTTTTAAGCCAGCGCGCAGCGCTTTCTAACCGTGTTCTCCCAACTGCCACCAGCCCCCGGACAGGACCGTGGAGCCCGTGTCCGCGGACGGTGGGCAGCACGTGGCCCGCCGGGCCTTTGCTGTCCTGGGGCCCCCCTCGCCCACCTGTCGGGGCACTGTCCCGGGCTCGGGGCTGAATGACTCACCTGAGGCCACCCAGGTCACACCCTGCTGGTCGCTGACCGCGGGCAGGTCTGGCGCCCCACGGGCCGGACCTTCAGCTCTGATCCCCAGCTGCATGCAGGAAATGAAATAAAGGAGGAACGTTAAGGAGAGAAAGCGGTTTCCGCCCGAGACCAGCGGTGCTGGCGCGTGCGGCTCCGGCAGGTGCTGCAGTGGAGGCCGTGGGCCCCACCTGAGAACGCGGTGTGCGGTCCCGCGGGGAGCCGCGTTGCAGCCGAACCCGGTGGCGGGGGAGCGCTGAGGGGGCAGAGCTCGGAGGCAGCGATGGGCTTCCTCGTTGACCGACGGAGCAGTGTGCTCTGGCAGTGAGCCTCAGTGCGCGAGACTGTCTTCTTATTCACGTATTGTTGATTGTGAATGTTACATGGAGATGCCTATAATATCTGTAAGGCGGCATGAAAATACCTGGTATCTTTCTTTTTTTTTTAGATTTTATGTATTTTTCGGGGGGAGGGAAAGAGAGGGAGAGAAACATCAGTCGGTTGCCTCTCGCACGCCCACACTGGGGCCGGAGCCTGCAGCCGAGGCGTGTGTCCGGCCGGGAGTCAAATCTGTGACCTTCCACTTTGCAGGGCGATGTCCACACACTGAGCCCCATCAGCGATAGCATATCTGGTATCTTTTGAGGAAAAATCCACATACTATTAAAATTACTGTGTTTCGCTGCCTACATTCCGAATGGAGTAGAATACGAAGTATTAATTACAGGTTAGTTAAAACGAAAACTAGTATTTCCTTACGCACGTTCACGGACCGTCTGAACTGAGTATGTGGGCCTCTGCTCTGAAAGGTTTTTCAAATCTCAGTCTGCACGACAGTCTGTGTCTTGGAGGCGGGGAACCTGGCGCCCAGCATGGCTCGTTCCGCGCCTGTGGGGCCCCGGGCCTCGGGCCCCTTCCCCCGGCTCTGTCCATCCCACGCCATCACCCTCGTCAGCCCTGCCTGCGGCTCCCGTTCTGGGGCCATAGTGTTGGGCTCGACGGGAAGGAACAGGCCTGGCTGGGTGGCGTTGATTTTGATTCAGAACTTGTTGTGCTGGGTGGCCGCCACGTTGGTGAGGTCCTCGGAGGAACGTCCCCAGGCCGACCGCTCCCTCCCGTGTTTTCAGCATCGAGCGCCCGGCGCCGTCACCCCTCCTTCGAAGGGGGTTCGTCCCGTGATCCGGGCCATTGGGGCGACTCCTGCGTAGCTTTTTTCCTCCAAAACGTCTCCAAAAACTAAACAGCCTGCTTAAGAGGAGGGACATTTTGAACAGTAATTGAATTTCTCAGTCCTTGAACATGTCTCTCTATTTCTTTACTCTCTTCAATTCAGTGATATTTTATAGGTTTCATTGTAAAGGTATTAGACATCTTTCCATTTAACTCTGGATGTTCTATGTATTTGATGCTACTGTGGATGGAAGTTAACATTTTTATTTTCCAGAGATTTTTCTGCTGGTATATATAAAATACAATTGACTTCTGTATACTGACTGCGTTTCCATAGTCCTGGTTTGTTGTTGATTCTTGAGGATTTTTTTTAAAGGTTTTATTTGTTTTTAGAGAGACGGGAAGGGATGTGTGAGAGCTACATCGGACAGCTGCCTCTTGCACGCCCAGATGGAGACCTGGCCTGCAACCCAGGCAGGTGCCCTGTCTGGGACTCGAACCCGTGACCCTTGGGGTTGCAGGCTAGCGCGCAATCCACTGAGCCCCACTGGCCGGGGCAAGTATTCTTGGCGTAGTTTGTGACTAAAGACAGTCTCGCTTCTTCCATTCCCTTTTCTGTCCTTGGTCCTTTCTTCCTTCCCCCGTCCTAACTGTGCTGGCCGAGGCTTGCAGCTCGGTGCTCCTGAGCCCGGAGGGGAGCTGTTCAGCCTCTGCAGTCGGGGTGATGGAGCACTGCCCCTCTGTGCAGGGCCTCACTTGCTTTGGCTCGTGCATCGTTCGAGAGAGTGCAAGGTCTTCAGCTCTCAGCGGCCAGGTATCTGGGGTGAGGTGGGCTTGACAGGCCAGGACACCGCTTGCGGCCGTAGCTGGGGGGACGGAGGGGAGCCGGTGGTGGGGAGGTGTCTCGCTCGGGCTTTCTGAGGCCGCCGGCGGGCTCTGGGTGAGGGCGGCTCGCTGGATCTGCGAGCTGGTGCTGCTCTGCACCTCGCGGGCTGTCCTGCTGCCTTCTCCACGCTTGTTTGACAGCTGGAAAACGCACTGTGTTGTTGGGTGTGCGTTAGAAAGTCTGCAGAGTGTGTGGTGGGTAAAGGGATTCTTCACCGGTGAGACTGTGGCCGCCCTCTGCTCTCCCGGGCAGCTTGATAGGCCCCCTGTCCAGCCGCGCCCCCGCCCCCCTGCCTTCTGCCAGGCGGCACCAAGGGGACTCCTCAGCCCCCAGGGCTCACGCAGCTCCTGCCTGGCCCGGCCTTTACGGAGCCCTCGTGGCGTCTAATGAGCCAACACACTCATGTTTCCCGCTTTGTAAAGAAAGGGTTTTCCCTCTCTTTGCCAAGAAAAGTTTGTTTCATTTGCCCGAGGCCCTTTGGTTTTTTCCACGACCATTTCCTCGGACGCTTTCTGCCGCTGTGACGACCTTAGGTCACAAGCCAGCAGGGCTGCGCACTCTTTTAAATTGTATTCACATGTCGCTCTCAGGCAGTAGGGGACATTATATCAGATTCATTCAATGAGGTATAGAACATCTAACGGTTAAACATTTTGTTATGCTGTATATAAGGCACGTTCTAGGTGCTCATCCAACTGCAGTTGTAGAATTGCCAAAGTCTAACCCCCAAAAATGTAAGCTGCCATCAAACTGTCTCAGATGTTTCCTATGGAAAAATGATTTTCAAAACTTGGAATGCAGTACTTTGTCACACGGCCTAACGTTATGTGTGATGGAATAGATCATTGTAGTTGCACATTGGAGCGATGCTTGTATTCCAGAACTTTCTCCACCTTTGCATTTTGACTGAAAAAGAAGTTAATTAGGGGAGGCAGGCCTGGCCGCATCCAAACGGCGCGGTCTCCCCCTCCGCCCCGTCCCCCCCACACGTGCGGGCACGGCCGCCGGCCTCAGCCTCACAGGCAGTGGCGCTGTCAGTGAAAAGCCGACCTCTTTGGCTGGAGGGGCCGCTCGTGGTTCCAGGTTAAACAGCCTGTCCCGTGAGAGGCTCGGGAGGCCTTTGCCCTGCCTGGGGTTGGACCGCGTGCGGCCCGGCCGGGGGGCCCAGGGAGGGAGCTGGCAGACCCGGCTGTGGCGGCCGTCCTCCTCTGCTTCCCGTGTGAGGCGCCCCTGCGTCCCCGCACCCCCCCACCCCCGACCCCCCACCCCCGGTCTTGAGTTCCCTATTAACGCGTCCCGCGCTGGGGCTGCGGGCCAGGCCCCAGACCTTCCACAGCTACCTCGAGGACATCATCAACTACCGCTGGGAGCTGGAGGAGGGGAAGCCCAACCCGCTGCGCGACGCCAGCTTCCAGGACCTGCCTCTGCGCACGCGGGTGCAGATCCTGCACCGGCTCTGCGACTACCGGCTGGACGCTGACGACGTCTTCGACCTGCTCAAGGTGCCACCGCCGCCCTGTCCCCTGGCCACGCCAGCCCTTTTCCTCCCGTGGCACATAAACCAGTTACTCACTTTCCGTAGCACACCAACGAAACATATTTTGCTGCTCTGACAGAAAAGTAAGGATAGTTTGATTCAGTCACAGGACAGCTACTGTTGTGTTGGCTGGTGTCATTTTTTTATTTGACAGCCTAAGGGAAAAGAGGTTCGCACCCCAGACTGAGTAGTTGGATGTTGCATGGTTTTAAAATTCTGGCGGCACGCCTGTTAAAAACCGTAGCCTTTGCGGGGTGGGGAAGCCAGCGCCCTGGGACATAAACTCGGGACGTGCTAAGAGAAGCGTGGGGTTAGCCCTGGGCCATCTCTGACTCTGGCGGGGCCTGTAAAATGTGGCCTCTGCAGCCAGAGGGTCCTAGGCCGCCTGCCCTGTGCACGCCTGTGGGTCCTTGGGTAGATCCCCAGTTTACTTCTGGCTCCTTCACTGCAGAGTTGCAGGCAACACAGGAGAACAGCCTTCGGGCCAAATTAGCCACTGAATTTGTTTCCTAAGGCCTGAGATTTGATTTAACATAATTGAAATACTACTGAAAAATCAAAGACTTTAACCTGTTTATGCAAATGAAGCTCATCCGAACTGTGCGCACCACCAGGGAAGTGCTGGGGAAGGGCAGGGCGGGCGGTGGCTTTGCACTGCAGGAGGCCTGCGCCCCCCCCCCCCCCAAAGTCGGGCAGGGGGATGGGCTGTGCGGGTGGCCTCCCCGCTCAGCCCTGCCCTTGGGCATGGAGCGCCGCCGCCTTCCCTGCAGGCCGCGGCCGCGGCGGCGGGGGAAGCCAGCGCAGGCCAGGCTGGGCGGGCAGGCAGGGGTCTCAGCCCAGACGAAGGCGTTGCTGCCGTGGCTCCGGGGGGGCCTGCGGCCGGAGGACGCAGACCCCGCTCGGGCCCCGTGTGGGCGCACACCTGGAATAAGCCGCCCCCAGTGCGTGTCCTGTGGCCCCTCAGATGGCTTTCGGTGCCTTTTTCCTCGGTGAAGCGAGAGCGGTGTCGGGGTGGGAGCCCTTCTCCGTGTGCCTCTGGAGACGGCTTGCAGCGCCCGGTATAGCCCCTCACTGTCCTGTCCTCCCGTCTCGGCCCCCATTCCCCAACCCTGCCCCGTCTCGGATCCAGGGCCTGGACGCCGACAGCCTCCGCGTGGAGCCGTTGGGGGAGGACAATTCTGGGGCTCTCTACTGGTATTTCTATGGCACTCGGATGTACAAGGAGGACCCGGGACAAGGAAAATCCAGCCGAGATCTCGCCCTGAGCAGGTATGTTGTTCGGGGTCCGGGCTGTGGGAGCTGCTGTGCAGGTCTCGTTCAGACGACGCGCCTTCCCAGCGCCGCGCGCGTGCGCCCTGCTGCAGAGCCAGCTCTGCTAGCACAGCGCGGCCGGAGGGGTCTCCACGCCAGCAGCGGGGCGCCCCATGGCCCCTCGGCAGCCCAAGTGCTTCTCGCCTCTGCGGTCTTGCCCACATGCTCCGGTCTTGAGGCCCTGCTTTCCTGCTGGAATCAGTGACTGGCTCCTTTAGGAAGGGACCGGGAGGACCTTGGGGACGGCCCCAAGCAGCTGTGCCCACTGGGGACCAGCCCTTCCCACGGCGCCCGCGGCAAGGCAGCCCTCCCGCCCCCGCCGGGTCCTCCTGCCGCTTGGGAGGTGCTGGTCTCGCCCAGGTCCCGGGGTCGGGAAGTGCTGGCTCCCCGGGCACCACCGTCTTCCCCGTGGCGGCTCTGCTCGGTCCTTCTTAGTGACCTCATGGCCAGGAAAGCGGTGTTCACAGCACGCCAGCACTGTGACAGGACATCCTACCTGAGGTGCTGTTTCTTAGGGAAAGCGAAGGACAGAGAAGTGTCTCCAGTGTCCCTGGGAAAACAGGAAAGAGAAGAGGAAGACCCCCCAAACGGAAGAAGCTACAGGAGGAGCTCGTGGTGAGGTAGGACAGCCTTGCCCGTGCGTGGCAGTCATCGACGCTTCTGTGGAAAGGGGCCTTCTTTCCCTTGTTCCTTCCTCCTTCCCTTTTCCGAGTGCGGGGAAGGGCCCGGCACCTGGGTTATGGAGCCGCGGGGCCCGGCCACTGCGCCCTAGGGAGCCGGGGCCCGGCAGCCACGCCTGTCTCCTGCCTGCTGTCTGCCCAGACGGGGCAGCCCTGGCCGGGGCGGAGACACCCGGAACCCGGCAGTGGGCCTGGCGGGGCGGCTGAGGGCCGGACGTATCGGCTCCCTGAGCGTGTGCGCCACACGCATCTCCCCTGGCACGTGGACCAAACCAGTTCTGTGATCGATAGCATTTTAGCAGAACTACCTGTCACATTCGAGTTTAGGAATTCTTTCCCGTTAGGGAGGTTTTAGTAGCAAACATGCTTTGCTTTGTTTAGGATACAATTACCTAAAATAAAGGAAAGGCAAGGCGTTAAATATGTTTTAAAGTATTTTATGTTTAATTTTAGCAAAGAAAAAGAGACTCCTTTGCAGTTAATCAGGATTTGATTATGTTTTACACTTAAGAGTCAGGACACCTTCCCAGAACTGTGACGGGCGTCAGCGCCCCTGCGTGTGGGCGAGGAGTGCCCTGCAGTCTCTGGTGCTCGCGGTGCCTGCGGTGCCTGCGTCTGGGTCTCGTTAGCGACCTGAGGGCTCCTCGCGTCCCCTCCTGGTGAGATCAACGCGCCTGTGCTGAGAACACGGAAGCACGTATTTAACAAGCGCACGTGGGCGCGTGCTGCCCTCTACTGGTCGTTCTGTTTTTCAGCGCTCTGCATTCAATGTGCTATTAAGTATCTACAAATAAAGTTTAAAATTGAGTTTCTTCATCACCAGCCACATTTCAGGTGCTTGGTGGCCATGTGTGGCCCGGAGCTGCCTGTGGTTTGGCAGTAGAAGTCGGTCCCTCGGGCCCCACCTGCCTGACACACGTGTGTGCTCCCTGTACTCAGCAGGGCCTGCCGTGCAGGGGCGGCACTGGTTCTGAACGTGTATTCAGTTGTTCACCTTCTTTTTCTGTGTTTCAGTGAAAAGCAGGAAGAAAACTTGGCACCCGAGCCGCAGGCAAGAAATGGTAATGGCCTCTGCGTGGGGAGTGTGGAGGGGGTGCCGTGACCGGTCGAGTTATTGGGGGGGGGGGGCTTGCCTGTCTAGGGTGCCGCACCGTGGGACCAGCCTCCCTGCCCCTCGGTGCTCCCTTCCTCGCGCTGGGTCCTGCCACCCGCCGCGGGCCACTGGAGCGGCGCTCTGCTTTCTGGCCCCATCACCCGGCCGCGGTCGCCTGGGTGCCGAGTGGCCTTTGAAAGGAAGAGCTGTGGTTGCAACGCAGACCGTCTCGCTGCCTAGCAGAGCGGGCTGGCAGCCATTCGATTTCAAGGCCGAGACCCAAGTCGCACAAGTCGGGGGGCGTTTGTGAAACCGGGGAGGCTCTGCTGAGGAGCCAGCCCGAGCCGCTGGCCTTGGGGGAGAGGCGCACCCCAGCGTCCGCGGCCTGTTTGCCGCTGCCTGTGGGAGGCCACACAGGTTACGCCTGCTGCCACCTTCGGGCGGGGCCCCTTGGCTGTGAGCACCGACGGCAGCAGGAGAACCAGAAGTGTGCGCAGCAGCCTAAACACCGAAAAGGGACAGGCCCTTCTTCCTGAGGCCCTGGCTTTGTCATGACCCAGAGGAAACGTGAAGATGCGCGTAGGCAGGGCACCGGCCCTCGTGGGGTCCGCTGGGTGAACACCTGTGTCCTCCCCAGGGTCGCAAGGGCCCGGCCACGGCACCTGGTGGCTCCTGTGCCAGACGGAGGAGGAGTGGAGGCAGGTCACGGAGAGCTTCCGGGAGAGGACCTCCCTGCGGGAGCGGCAGCTCTACAAGCTCCTCAGCGAGGACTTCCTGCCCGAGATCTGCAGCATGATCGCCCAGAAGGTGCGCCCGGCGCGCGCCGGCCTTGGGTAGCGGTCGCGTGTTCCGGGTGGTTGAGTGCTCCCCGCTGTCTCCACCTCCCCCCCAGGCCCCACACGGGCCTTCCCTGTGGGCCACAGCTTTCATCCTCCCTGTCCAGGAAATTCTCAGTCTGTTGCTGGCTTCCCTGCTCCCTCTGTGGCCCCCGGCAGGCGCCCCATCACCCTGGGCCCGCCTCGGCACGTGTGCTTTCTCCCCCTGACCTCCTGCCGGGGGCCCCTTTCCCACCGAGCAGCAGGGGCCGGCTCTCATCCCAGGCCCCCAGCTCTGCCCCCGTCCCTCCTCCAGGGCAGGCCGGGTGGGCAAGACCACCCTGGGTGTCACGCACACTCACCTGCCTCCTGAGGTTCCCAGCCTCGCTCCCTGCCGCTGGTCTCAGAAAGCCCACCTAGAAGGCACTCGCCCCCGCTGCTCCCTCAGCTCTGCCGTGAGCTGGGGAAGCTCCTGCCTCGGGAGCCGCGTCCGAGTCTCCCATGTCAGCCCCACGGCACCTGCCGTGGTGCCTTCTCCGCGGTGGGTGCTCAGGCCCACCCTGCCCGTTGGGTCCGGCCGGCCCTCTGTTCTGCCTGCCTGCCCTCCGCTGGCCCCCGGTCGGCGCTGGTTTCCTTGAGTGCTCAGGCGGTCGGGGGTTGTGGAGAGGGGCGCGTGCTGGGCGGCGGGCTGCCCAGACCCCAACCCTGCCGGCCGGTGACGGCCTGGAAGCCCTGTCTCTGTGGCTCTTCCGTCGAAGCGACCATGTGGTAGAACACGGCAGATCTTGTTACTAAGTGAATTCTACCCGAGTCTTGAGGAAACTTGTTTAAGCTTTTATTTGCTGCTGTATACCTGGATTCACCCTTCACCTCTCCCCGCAGCGCCCAGCGCGTGGGTGTGTTCTGCTGGGAGTTGAATGGCCCTGCATCCCCTTAGCTTTGAACCGCAGCTCGGTGGTCAGCTAGCTCCTAGCGGCCGGGGCTCCGCGCTGGCCCCCAGCCCTGGCCCTTGCTGGCCCCGAGACCCTGATAGGCGCCTCCTGGGAAGAAGGCGGCACTGCAGAGCCTGCGGGAACAGGCGTGGCTGTTGCTCGCAGCAGGCGGTTTTCTTTCTCATGTTGCCCTTCAGTTCTAGATGCGAACGGCCACGTGTCAGGCGGGGACGGCCTGGCCTGTGGCCTGAGGCTTGTGCTGTGCTCGAGCCGCAGGGGACGCCGGGGCGTGGAAGCGGGAGCTGGTGCTGGTCACCCCGGGCCGGTCTCCCTGCCTGAGGGAGCCTTCTCATTTTGGCTGGGGAAACTCCCTGCAGGGGGCAGCGGGGTGCCTGTTGGTGTTCCCCGGGGTCGGGGCTGAGGAGCCGTTTTTTGTAGGAGCTGCTCTGTGGTGGGTGGGGCCTGGTGGAGGGACCTGCCCTTGGGCCGGGGGCGGGGGGCGCTCAGAGGGCGGTCCTGGGCCGGCCTCATCCGAGGGGCTGCTGGCGGCCCTGGGGACCGCGGGCCTCCCCGGCTGTTGCCTCCGTCCGGCCTCCGGGGTGCAAAGCCTTTATACACCCACCCTCTCTCCCTGGGATGATGACCCCTTTTAAAGAAAAAAATTGTAATCAACACTTTTTTACACTGTTCAATTTTTGGTTTTCGGCCATTGATTGTACTTGCTTTTTAAAATAACTTAAAATTATATTAAATTTACGAGGATGACATTGGTTAATAAAATTATGTAAGTTTTGAGTGTAAAAACTTTACACCACGGAGCATCTAAAACGTAAAGCACCGCGGTGCCTTCAGACCCCAAGCCCCACCCTTGGTGCTGCATCCTTACACTCGCTTCCAGGGCTGGGGGGAGGCGGACCCCGGGAACGCAGCGCGCCTCGTTTTCCAGGCACGCGTGGCACGGCTTCTCTGACAGGGCGCCACTGGGAGCTCACCTCGGGGGGCTGCTGCGTGACGACACGCGGTGAGGGGGGGCGCCGGCTACACAGAGGTGCTTGCGGGTGGCAGGGCCGAGGCGGGCGTCCGAGGGGGGGCAGGCCAGAAACCTGGGGGAGAGGCCGTGGCGGGCGAGGCCGGCCCGCCTGGCGTGGGCTCTGGAGTTTCTGTCTTACTCCCTCACCAGAAGGGGGCGCCTGGGACCTTCACGTTTCGGGGTTTTTGTTCTGGTTTCGGGCGTTCGACGTGCTGCTTTGGTGTTTGTGTAGATAGCGGGTTTGTAGATGCATAAATGCTCACCACAGGAAGTCTAATTAACAGCACCGCACGATTACAAGGTGGTTTTTTTAAATGATGGGAACTTTTAAGGTCTGTCTCTCCAGCTTTCAAATGCACAGCACTGCGCTGCTCAGTGTGGTCCCTGTGCCGAGCATTGTTACATCCCTGGGACCTAGGGGCGTGGTGCTTGGGGGGGCTGGCGCTTATTCTGTTGGGTTGGGCTCCTGTGTCTCTTGCTTCCCTGGCGTCACGCCCTCAGGCCCCCTCCGCGCTGTCCGTCACGAGTGCCCAGGCTCCTTCCTTCTCCACGGGCGGCGCCGCCTTGTGCAGTTTCTCCGCTCGGCCATTCGTGGCGCCTGGCGGCGTCCATGCTTTGCAGTGAACACGGGCGCGTGTGTCTTTGTATTTGTGTTTTGGATTCTTAGGGTAAATACCCGGAAGTGGAACCAGTGGGTCACAAGGCAGTTCCATTTTTAGTTTTTTGGGGAATCCCCACACTGGTTCCCGCAGCAGCTGCCCCAGGCCGCGCCCCCCCCCCGTCGCCGCCCCCCCCCCCCCCCCCCACTGCAGTGCACAAGGGTCTCCCCTCTTCACGTCCCCGCCGGCGCCTGCTGCGTGTGGGTTTCTTGGTGGTGGCCGTTCGGACAGGTGCGAGGTGGCACCTCACTGTGGTTTCGGTTTCCCCCTCTCACGGCCGCTGGTGCTGAGCCCGTTCTCCTGTACCTGCTGGTTACCAGCGTCTCTGGGGAAATGCCTCTTCAGTCTGCCCGTGTTTTAATTGAATTTTTCTGCTATTGGGTTGTATGAGTTTGTTTTTTAAGATGCTCTAAATTCAGTTTTTACACCCAAAGTGTTTAGCATAAATATTAGTGTGTCTAAAAGTAACTAAGTAGACCCGTGCTGTGTGGGTCTGTGTGCGTGGACTGTCCAGAGTAAATGAGTCCGTAGAGACAGAGCGCGTGGGGGTGCCCGAGGCCGGTGCGGAAGGGACGGTCCCCTCTGGGTGCCACCAGTGTCTGCACCTCGGGGCAGGCGGTGGCCGCGTAGCGGCGTGAGGGCACCGGCGCAGTTTTAAATCACTGGTTTTACGTGAACTTCGGCAACACTATGTGGGTGGTTTTTACAGAGTTGCTTACGTGACGTAGAGCCTCTGGTTTGCAGTAACCATTTGCACCTAAGTTTTAAAATTCCTGCCTCATTGTTACCAAAATACTTTAAACTATTTAGAGTCGATTTTTAATACCTCAGCTTAGAAACCTACAAATTCTAATGTTTGGCTACTTTGACATAATTTAATTTTAGAGGTTTAACAGGGTTCACAGATGGGGGCGGGGGGGAGCAAAAAGTTAACGAAAATGAGATTGTTTTGGAACGTGGCGCGCGCGCTGCGGAAGCTCTGCCCCTTGGACGCGCCGCGCAGCGCTGGCGGTGACCTCCCGGCCCGGGAGCCGCCGCCCTCGGCCGCGCCCTCTGTCTTCCCTGAGCGCTGGGAGAGGGGGGTCTCCTGAGGTGTCGCCTCGGAGGCGCGGTTCCTGCGGATCACGCAGTGATAACGGTGCAGTGTCACTGGTCAGGCTGCGACGGAGCAAGTCCCGCCTGCCTGTCCGTTGCTGAGTGCAGGCGCTCCGTGCGGGGCCCTGACCCGCGTGCGCGAGCCGCCCCCCAGAGGAGTCGCAGGAGGGGCGGCAGGCGTCCGTCCGGCTTTCCGGGCCTGCTGCGGTTTATCCCCCGGCACCGCTCCCTGCGCGCCAAGGGCCGGCATTGCACTTTTCCCTTCGAGCTGTGATACGGTTTGTCTTCTGTGAGTTTCGTGTTTGTGCTCTAGTTGTTTCGGGAGTGGCCACTGTTTGTAAGATGCCTTTACATACTAAGAATAATAAACCACCACATTTGTTATAAAACGATTTATGCAGATGTGGTAAAGGCTTAGGTAATGGGTTGTCTTTCCCCTTGTTCCCCTGCCACGGACAGAACGTGGGCAGCGTCTCTGTGTTGTTGCACAGACACTCTCACGTGTTGAACCCTCATCTGAGGACACACCATCGGTTTTAGAGGGGGTGGAAGGGAGAAGGAGCGAGAGACTGCTGCTCGCCTCCCGTGGGCGCGCTCGCTGGGGGTCGAACTTGCAGCCCAGGCCTGCGCCCTGGCAGGGAGTTGAGCCCACGACCTCCCCGTCCACAGGATGGTGCTCCATCCACCTGAGCCGCACTGGCCAGGGCGTGACTTAATATTTCCGTTCACCAGTGATTGGCTTGCGTTTCTTTGGTCATTATTGACATTCTGGCCCTATTTACTGTGCCCTTGTGCTGCCGTCCTTTGTCATGGACGAGCCAGAATACACACGTATTGTCGTCATGTGAATAGTTGCCCATTTTTCTTATTTGTTCACTGTGTCTGGCGCGTAGAAAGTACTACAGTTTTCACAGGGTTCTTTGAATGAAGCAACTCCTTGGACAAGGCTTGCTGTTCCTCTGTCCCCTCCTCCCCCCTCCCTGTGAAGCCACCCTGCTGCTGAAAGGAGCAGTAGCCGTTGTTTTGGTTTGCTCCAGTTTGTTGTTGTAACTTCCCAGCTGAGTAAAGCTGTTGCCAAAAGGTGATGAGTGTGGCGGGCGGCAGGGTGCGCAGCTGGTGGAGCGCGGGGCGGGGCGTGGGTTGGCACCTTCCTCCGAGAGCGGCCCTCGCGCAGGGCCTGCAGCGCCTCCGGTTCAGGAGCATCTGCCCTGTCCGACTCCCTGCTCTGGTTGCAGGATGAAGACTTCAGGAAACCTGGGTTCTGTTTGGCGTCTTGAGGCTCCTAATGAGGACAGAGTTTCATTTTTCTCTCTCCTGTCTTACTCCAGATTTGCCTTGTGAGCAGCACAGGCCTTTACAGTCAGACCCGCAGAATTTAAATGACAAAAGGGACTTTGAAAAGGTCTGTGCAGGCACAGCATCTTCCCGCATACAAGCCAAGTGGACATCTAAGCGGCTTTTAATGACTAAATCTTAACCCGCAGTTTTGGTGTTTAATGACAGCATGTGTGAACGGCGAGCCCGCATCCCCCACAGTGGGGTCCCCTTGCGTGGGGTCCCCAGGATGAAACTGGGAAGTTCATCTGTATAACAGGTTCTCGGGTCTTCTTCCTGGTGAAGACTCTGAGGAAAAGCTCTGTGTTCCTGATTCAGTTTAAACTCACCCACACAATCGTCATTACTTCAGTGACAATTTTAAAAAATGAAAAGGTCTAGCTTTTACATCGCTCAAAAGGCAAAGACAGAAATTGAAAATAAGCAGTTTCAGTCCTAGCTTCAGTGTTCCGGGCTACAGAGCAGCTCAAATCAGCTGTATTGGAAACACACAGAGTAAAAGCTTTAATAAATGATGGTGATAGTCCTGTTTTTATTGGGGTGCTTAGGCAAATTCCCGGTGCGTGTATGGCAAAACAGCGGCCCTCCCCACCAAAGGCCCGGTTTTCCTCGCCGTCTCGCTGGGGAGGCGGGACGCACGGGTCGGGGTTCACGGTGGTGCGCGTCGCTGAGGCTCAGCCTGTGTCTGCCTAGCTGCTGCCTTCCGTTCTTTTGCTCGCCTCCTTAGGTGAGGGTGCTCTTCAGGGTTCCGCTGTGGCTGGCGAGTCGCTCCGGGAGCCTGGTCCCTGACCTGTCTTGCCCGCTTCTCCAGCCCAGGAGGCTGGCTCCCAGGGACAGGAGGTGGCGGCCGGGCCCCAGGTCTCCCCTGTGCATCACTGTCGGGGGGGGTGGGTCCTCTGGGCCATGGATTTGGAGTCAGGCCGTCAGGGACCCAGCTCCCTGGGGCCACTTGCTGAGTGGGTCAAACTCAGAAAACCCTGCCCCTCGGTTCGAATGAAGGACTGACCGTGCCCTGCTGGCCCTCCCAGGAGACGCCCGCGCTCGCCCGAGGGGAGAAGCGGAAGCGCCGGGAGGAGGAGGAGGAGCGCCAGGTCCTGCTCGCCGTGCAGAAGAGGGAGCAGGAGCAGATGCTGCGGGAGGAGAAGAAGCGGGAGCTGGAGGAGAAGGTCAAGGCGGTGGAAGGTGCGCGGGCGCTCGGTGTGGTCCCTGGGCAGGTGCGCCTGGGGCAGGCGGCGCGTCTGCCGCCGGAGCCGGGCCCCCGGGTAGGTCTGGGCGGCAGTGGGCACAGCCGCTCTGGCCGGTCCAGGCCGGTCCAGATGCGAGCGTTGTCCTCTGTGCTGTTGTCTCCCCGCCGGGCGTGTCTCCCTCTCTGTCTCTTGCTCGCTCTCACCTCTGCCATCTCCCTTGTGTGGACAGAAACACAGAAAGTGTTGGTGATGACTAAAGCCACAGGGACCCTTTTAAACACCAATGAAATCACACCTGTTTGAGCAAAGCCTTGCGCCAGAACTGCCGGGTTTGCAGGACCGCGGGCGGCAGAGGGTGCGCTGCCGCCGCCAGGGGTGCCCTCGGCCGGCCCCCGTGGGACGTGCGGCCAGAGCCGGGAGATGTGCCGCCCACGTGTGGCGCAGGGGCTCTTGGATCTGGTGCGAACAAACCGACTTTTTAGGAAGTTATTGAACATGTGGGAAATTTTCATTCTGACAGTATTTGGTAAAAAATCATCTTATAGCCTTTAAAATTCGCACAGCAGAGCAGAGGGCTAAGATGATTTCCAAGAACAGGGTGGCGGGAACCCTCCTTCTACCAGGTGACAAGAGCGACACTGAGCCGCGGGGCCCCCGGGGCGGGGGCAGGGCTGCATCTCCTGCTCCTGCAAGAATAGTTCCCAGACAGACAGGAGGACGGAGCCTTTGTGAAGAAAGTGCAGGTGAATAGCTTTAAGATACTGAGATAAAAGGGGATTTTTTAAGTATACAGTTCAAAATCTAAGAGGTAAGAGATGGATAAATTTTACTGCTTTAATTGTTTAAAACTTACATACGGAAGAAACACCATAAACAAAGTGAAAGACAAACCATGGGGCAGAAAAAGATAACGTCGCACACAGTCAACAGAGATTGTTTAAAGCGCTTCCGCAGACCAGCAAAGGGAAACCCCACGGCGGGCAGGGCAGGGTCTGTGAGCAGGAAGTGCGGAAGGCGGCCGTTAAAATGAGAGCGAGCTCATCATCGCTCCAGTCAGAAAAATGAGAGCGAAACCACCCTACGGTCACGTCACCCCGTCAGCTTGGCAGAATGCCGGCTTCTGTCCCAGCAAGCGCAGCCGCGGTGACTGAGCCAGTAACGGGTGGCTGTGGCCCCCGGGCTGGCGTGTGGACGTTAAGGGTGACGTGCTCCTGTCCAGTGCGCGGCACTGGTTCCCAGAGGCTCCGCAGCCCACAAGCGGCCGCGGTGGCCAGCGCTGTCACCGAGCGCAGGAAAGCTGCATCAGCCAGGAAAGGGGGCGCTGACCTGAGCAGAGCCAGCCTGGTGGGCACGGGCAGCTGCGTGGGCACCCATATAGTAGTTACACTTCCCTTTAAGCTTGAAGTCGTTCTTTTTTAATAAAAAACAAAACAGTTTTTAGAGGCGGTACCTTTGAGGAATTGAAGCAGATATACAGCCTTTATCAATGGAAACAGTGTACCAGCAGAAACATCAAGTTGATGAGGAAACACCATTGCAGAATCGAGTCATCTCTACGATGCGGGGGAGAAAACAAGGCCTGGTCAGGGCCCCCTGACCCCCGTGTGCGGGGCAGCTCCAGGGCACGGCCCCCGGGCTCCCGGCCACATGGGCTCCGGCCCGCGGCGGGGGCGGGGGTGGGGGTGGGGAGATGCACACGAAGGCCTGTGTGGTTTGATCTGAGGGCCTGGTCGGAAGACAGCACAAGGCTTTTTTGAGAGAAAGGACAGGCCTCTGGTGCGGAGGGAAAAAAGCCTCACTCAGCCTCCCGTGTTTTCCTCTTCCTTCTAATTTCCTTCCTCTTCAGCCTTGCTCTTTGCTTCCCCACCGCGGGGCTCGCCTGCCGCCCCTGCCCTCAGCCTGAACTCAGGGTGACAGGGAGGAAGGGCTCGTTTTTGTTTTCCACGAAGCGTCCCCTTCACGAGCCTCCCTGCTTAGGGCACAGGGGCGCGCCTGCCATCAGGAATCGGGACGCGGCTCTGCTTGGGCGCACTCCCTCCGCCTCTCCCGCGGTGAGGCCGTCCCGTCAGCGCCTAGCTCCCTGGGGAGGACTCGGCTGACTCGCGCCCCGACGCCCTCTGTCCGGCAGACCGAGCGAAGCGGCGGAGGCTCCGGGAGGAGCGGGCGTGGCTGCTGGCGCAAGGGAAGGAGCTGCCCCGCGAGCTGGCGCACCTGGACCCCAGCTCCCCCGCCAGGGACGAGAGAAGGACAAAGGACATGTGAGTGCGCGTGAGCAGCCGCTGCCTGTGGCAGGGGCTTGGCGCCCAGGCGTTGTGCTGATGGGCGCTTTTCTCGCTCACCCTTAAAACGCCCCGTGTGGTAGGTGCTGTTCGATGTTTGTGAGCTTCTCGTTCTGTTTTGCGTTTTTGTGGATTATTACTCTGAACCACTAACGTTCGTTGGAGTGGAGTGGGGCCTGGGGAAGAAGGCGCGGCTGGGGAACGAGCGTAGGACCGAGAGCAAGGGTCTGGAGCGCCTGCGCCGCCGCCTCTCCCCGACGAGCCCCGCCCCCGGCAGGCTGGCCTGCGCTGTCTCCTCCGTTACCTGGCGGAGCGGGAGTGCCGCTGCGCCTGTGTCTCTGACGAGGTGGTGGGTCCCTTGCAAGGCGCCTGCGGCCGGCCGCCTGTGCCCACCGGCGGGGGAAGAGCGTTGTGGGGTGGCGTGGCCCCAGCCACACTAATTTCTTACTTTGTGACCCCACAGCTTTGAGCTGGATGATGACTTCACCGCCATGTACAAAGGTCAGTCCCCGTGCCCGCTGCGGGGTGTCCGGCGGGTGTGCGCCGGTGGGCGCTGAGCTCTCCCCTCTGGCTCTCAGTCCTAGATGTGGTCAAGGCGCACAAGGACTCCTGGCCCTTTTTGGAACCTGTGGATGAATCATATGCCCCAAACTACTATCAGATCATTAAGGTAGTTAACCCCGCGCTGCGGTCACGCCTCTTGGGGCGTGTGGGTTGCGCTCGCGCTGTGTCGTGTCCGGTGTGGTGGGTGTGAGTTCGTTCCCGTCCTCGAGAGTTGGGCTGCTGGAGCCGCCGGGCCTTCCAGGATCCCCGAGCAGGGTGGTTGCTTGGTCCGTGCGGGTCGCAAGGTGCTTCGCTCTGCCCGCTGCAGTTCAGTGTGTCCTGTTCAGGTCCCCATGGACATTTCAAGCATGGAGAAGAAGCTGAACGGAGGCTTATACTGCACCAAGGAGGAGTTCGTCAACGACATGAAGACTATGTTCCGGAACTGTCGGAAATACAACGGGGAGAGCAGCGGTGAGTGGGCGGCGTGTGGGCGGCGTTGGCTCCGGGGCACCCGGCTCACGCTGGGCCTCGGCAGCCGAGAGCCACACCGCTGCTTCGAGAAGCAGGCACCCCCCCGCCCCCGATGCCGGGCTGCCTCCAGGACTGGAAGCGTGGGGGTGTGGAGAGCCGTGCCACGGGCCGTCCTGGCACCGTGCTCTGCAGCGGGAGCTCCCTCCTGCAGGCCGGGGTCCCGGCTCTGTGGGGCAGTGGCCGCTGGGCGCACGGACGCAGGGTGGAGCCAGTTCGCCAGTCACCTGAGAACTGCGCTCGGGTGGCCGTCCGATGACAAAGTGCGTGTGGCTCCAGGTGTGGGAGCTCAGGGTCCCTGAGGCCTGGGCCCTGTGTGCCGTAGCCTAAAACCGAAGCAGCCTCGGGTTGTACCTGGTAAATGTTTGGCGGCCTGACTCCATTTTTCCCGGCGTGGGTGTGGGCGTGGGCGTGGGCTGGCGCTCCAGCCGTGCGGCCCGGAGCACTCTGCACAGAAGCTCATGCTGGCACCCAGCAGCGCCTCGGGCACGTGCGTGGGTGGCCGTCCCGGAGGTCAGGTGTCGCCTTTCCCTGCAGAGTACACCAAGATGTCGGACAACTTGGAGAGGTGTTTCCACCGGGCGATGACGAAGCATTTTCCTGGCGAGGACGGGGACACTGACGAGGAGTTCTGGGTCAGAGAGGACGAGAAGCGGGAGAGGAGGCGGAGCCGGGCGGGGCGGGGCGGAGGCAGCCAGGTGTGCACCCGCGCCCGGGACCCCGAGGGCCCCAGCAGGAAGCAGCCACCCACGGAGAACGGAGGGAAGGGGCTGCCACCGGCCCGCCGAGCGCCCTCCTCCTCCGGAGCCGGTCCCAGCAGCAGCTCCTCGCAGCTCCCGCGGGACCTGGGGGCTGCCAGCGTCCGGGGCCTCCCTCGCCCCCTGCCCTGCGGTGGGATGCCCAGCCAGGCGCCCCTCCCGAACCCAACGGTAAGGAGGCTGGGACCCTGTTGAGCCCGTGCGGGGTGGGGTCACAGGAGAGGAGCCTGCTCAGGCGGCTCTGCGCGAGGAGGGGGCCGCGTCTCCCTCCTGGGTCCGTCCTTTCTCCTTCCTCCACGCGCCCCTGCCTCGGTGCTGGCCGGGGTGGGGGCGACAGGGCTGCGGGCGGCGAGGGCAGAGGCAGCGGGGACGCCCGCTCGTCTGCGCTGCGGGGGCCGCCGCACCCCAGGCCCTCCTCCCCACCCCGAGCCTGTGCTTTCCTTCCCGTCCGCCGTCCGTCCGTCCGTGCGTGTGTCCCCGCCGTCCCGCGATGCCCTGCAGAGGCCTGCAGTGCCCGGGACGTTGGGCCCTCTTCGCGGGTCGGATCCCGCCGGCGTGTATGTCCCCGTGGGGGTCCCGGAGCCGCACCCTGGGGAGCCTGTCCAGCAGCGGCAGCCGTTCACCGTGCAGGTGAGCAGCCCTGAGGCAGGCCCTGCGAGTCAGTCTCTCTCTCTCTCTCTCTCTCTCTCTCTCTCTCTCTCTCTCCTCTCTGTCTCGAGCGCGCGCCTTCCTGGGGGGCATGGCTGTCACCTCCCAAGCTGCAGAGCCTGTCCTGTTGGGGGCGCTGCACGCGACGGCCTGCAAACGCCGCTGCCCTCTGTTCTCGTTGGCAGCCTCCGGTCGGGATGAGCAAGCACCGCGGGCCCAGGCAGGGCGCGCCCGAGGAGAAGCCTGTGTGTGGGGGGCTGGCGCACCTCTCCCATGTGGGGCCGCACCCAGGGCCCCTGCCTTTGGGGCGCCTGAGCGGCCCCCCCGGTCAGGATGGCAGCATGTACCCCGCGGCCCAGCTCCAGCCTGGGCTGATGGCTCCCAGGCACGGAGGGGTTCCAGCCCGGCCCCTGGACTTCCCCGAAAGCTCAGAGATGCCCCCCGGCCACATGTTCCGGTCCTACAAATACCTGAACCGCACCCATCCCGCTGTCTGGAACGGGAGCCACGGTGCGGCGAACGTGGGGCCGGGCGACAAGGCCCTCCTGGAGCCTGGGCCCTCGCACCCACCGCGCAGCCTGGGCCCCCCGGGGGACTCCCGGGGGGCGAGGCCGCCGCTTCCTCCCAGCCAGTGGGCCGAGCGCCCCAGCTTCCTACCTCACGGCGTTCCTTCTTCAGGGTATGTGCGGCCACCGTGCCGGCCCGCCGGGCACCGGCTGCAGCCGCCGCCGCTGGCCCCGGGCCCCCTGTTTGGAGCCCCGTCCCCGGCTCTGCGCGGGGTGCAGGGCGGGGACTCCATGATGCAGAGCCCCGAGATGCTGGCCATGCAGCAGCTGTCCTCCCGCGTCTGCCCGCCGGGCAGGCCTTTCGCCCGGCAGCCAGCGCCCCCCCACCTGCCTGGCCCCTTCCCACAGGGGGCTCACGCCACGCCGGTTAGCGTGTTGGCCCCCAATCCTGCCTTGGGGGACCCCGGGAGGACGCAGGACAACAGTGAGACGCAGGAGCCTGAACACGACCCAGGTAACTGAGGCTTCCCTCTGACTCCCACCCTGTAGGTGTTGGCTCGAGAGAATCTCCTCACACAGCACGAACCCAGTGTGAGCGGGTTTCCAGCCTCCCCCTCTCGAACCACGCGGGGCTCGGCCAGGCGCCACGTTGTGTTTGATCCGAAGGCCCGAGAGCGGGTCTGGCGGAAGCGGTCCCCACGCAGGTGCAGTGCGTGCTGGGCCGGCAGCCGGCCTTGCCCTCCGCCGCTGCCGCCGGCGCTGTTTGTACAGACGGGCACCCCGAGACCCAGAGACAGCAGGCGGCGGGGCTGGGGTTCGACCCCGGACGGCCCGGGTCCAGCTCCTGCGTTTCCAAACTGCTGCCGCGCAGTCCGTTCTCGGGGCCTTCACGTCCACACGCGCGAAGGACGGGGAGCAGTGAGGGGAGCAAGGCCTGAGGGGGCTTCTCAGACGCCTGTCGGGGGACGCCTGTGTCTAAGCGCAAGGGGCTCGCAGCCCATCGCCGCTGCTCGTGGGGGCGGCCTCCCCCGTGCCACCGAGGCTCCGCGCAGAGTGGGCGGCGGGCCTGGAGCTGAGCCTGATGGGGCTGCGGGGCGGGCGCCACCCTGGGCCGGCAGCGCCGTGGGAGGGGCCGCCGTTGTGACGTCCTGTGGTGACTGAACAGGAACGGGCACAGGCGTGACCTTCACGGTCTGCCGGCCCTCGGTCTTGTCCTTGACTCGCAGCGCCGGGGGGTGCCGACCGTACCTGAGCCGCGGCTCTGTCCCGCTAGAAAGACCTTGACGCTGCGGCCACAGTTGCTGGACAGCACAGGTGCAGACGCCAGGGTGTCGCTAAGCACCTGAGTCCAGCGAGCGCACTCGGCCGTGTGTGTTTGGTTTCTCTCGTGGGTCGGCCAGGGCGGGTGCAGGCTGTGCTGTGGGCGCCTTGTTTTGAAGATGTTCAGCCGCGGGAAGTGTTTTGGGTGCCCGTTCTGGGCAAGAACTGAGGGTTTGGTGGGGAGCAAAGTGGGGCCCTGCTCTGGCGCATGTGTGCTGATAGGCCCCACGCCAGGGACAGCCTTCCTGCCGTGTTCCTGTGGGTGCGTTTTAGAGCCTCCCAGCCTGGCCCACGGTCCTGGGGTGGCCGTGCCGTCCACACACCGTCCTCACCCCACGTCCTTCCACCCTCCTGCCCACGAGGGCGAACCCTCTGGGTGGTCACCGGGGCGCTGGGGCCGCCCCTGGCCTGCGGTGGGGGGCCAGGGGGTCCGCGCACGCCTGGCTGCGGCTCGAGCGGCCCCACGCCCGCCTCAGCCCCAGCTCCCCTGCTGGCCGCCCGTCGCCTTCTCACTGTTTTTGCCTCCGTGGGCAGTGCAACTTCGGCTGCTGAGCTGTGTTCTCCGCTTTCTTGCAGGAGACCCCTTGCCCGGGCTCGAGAAGCCCCCCAGCGCGGGCACCTCGGACAGCATGCACCTCAAACCGCTACCTCACGCCATGCCGCCGCTGCGGAGCGGCTGCGCCCAGCAGGGCTCGCCCCGGGACAGGGAGACCCAGGGCCCCGAGCTCCCGGGTGACCCCGCAGCGTCTGAAGACACCTGCCGGGCAGCGACGGGCGAGAGCGCCTGGGCCTCGGGGGGCAGCTACTCTGGCCCCACAGCCCCAGGGTGCTCGCGGGACCTGCCCGCGCTGGCGGCCCGGGGGCCTCTGCCCGAAAACGGAGTGCTGGCCGAGGGACCCCCGTGCGGCGCGGAGGGGCAGGGCCTTGGTGGCTGCGGCCCAGAAAAGCCCCTCTGCGCCCGGGGCGAGACGCTGCAGGACACGGCTGCCCGTGCGGGGCCGGGGCCGGCTGCCCCCCCCGGCGTGGGCCCCGGTGGCCAGTGTCCGGCCCTGTACTTGCCGGGCCTGGAGTACGCCAGCCCGGCCCCGCATTACCACGGCGGCGCAGGCCTGCAGGGCCTGGGCCCCGCCATGGGAGCCAAGCCCGCCGGGCCGCAGCCTCCGCACTTCCCCCCGCGGGGCTTCCACCCCGGCACCCCTCACTCTGGGGTGTTCCCGCGGTACCGCCCCCCTCAAGGAATGCGGTACCCTTACCAGCCGCCGCCTCAGCCCTCTTACCACCACTACCAGCGAACTCCTTACTACGCGTGTCCGCAGAGCTGCCCCGACTGGCAGAGACAGCTCCACGCCCCGGAGAGCCCGGGCGGGCCCCCTCCCAGCCAGCCGCCCCCTCCGAGGCCCCTCTTCTCAGACCAGAACGCCATGGCCAGCCTGCAAGGCTGCGAGACACTGAATGCTGCCTTAACGTCCCCCACCCGCATGGACGCGCTGGCCACCAAGGTCGTGGCCGCCGATGGGCTGGACCCTGGCCCAGAGGGGGAGAAGCTGGATGAGTCTTTGGAGAGACCAGAGAGTCCCAAAGAGTTTTTAGACTTGGACAACCACAACGCCGCTACGAAGCAGCAGGGCGCGCTGTCGGCCAGCGAGTATCTCTACGGAGCGCCACCCGCCCCTCTGAGCTCTGGGATGGGGTTCCCGTCCCCCGCGTTCCCGCCGCACGGGGGGATGCTGCACACGAGGCCTTCCTACGCAGCCCCACGGCCGGCTGCCCACTTCCAGGCCAGGGCCTACGCCTCCGCTGCGGCCACCCAGCCCAACGGCCTCCCGCCGGAGGGCCCCGTCTACCGCTGCCCCGAGGACGGCCTGGGCCACTTCCAGGCTGTGATGATGGAGCAGGCAGGCCCCGCAGGGGCCATGAGGGGGCCCTTCCAGGACGTGTACAGACCCTCGGGGTAAGAGTGCATTTGATTCCCTCCCCCCGCCCCCTGAAAAGAGCAGGCGTGAGTGGAAGAAAAATGGCTTCGGGAAGGAAGGGGAAGGGAAGGGAGCAGATGGGGAGGCTCCGTGGACGTGTGTTGGCCCTGAAGTTTGATTTTTGTCTTTGCATCTTCGCCCTCATGGAAGCCAGCGGGGTGTTCCAGGGACCGTCGGGTTTGGGTGCTGGAGACAGGCGGCCCCGAGTGGGCGACGCGGGCTGAGGCCTCGCCTCTGTCCTGAGCCCACACACTCTGACCGAGGACACGCGGTCACTCTTGGGACGTCCCCTTCAGGCTTCGCTCCTCGCGGCCACGGAGGTCAGGAGGCCGAGTTAGAGAGCCTGTCTGTCCACTCAAAACCTGCCTGGCCTCCAGGCCCGCCCACCCGTCCTGTCATTTTTGGTCGCTCTCTCTCTATGCGTCTGTTTTATTTTGTTTTCTTTTCCCTTCTTAAACTATTGGAAAGTAGGTTGTAGGCTTAATGGTCCTTGATCTCTGAGCACTGGAGCAGGCACCTCCGGGCCGGGGGCCACGGCCGTTGCTGAGTCGCCGCTGTAGCCGCGCGTCCCTGCTTTGTGTCGTTCTGGTTTATTCTCCGTTCACGGCCCCAGCAGGGCTCGTGCGTTTACCCGTGGCCGTTCACTCCCGTAACTCGCAGCGTCCCTGGCCGTGGGCTTCCCCCCCACGGCGTGCCCCGAGGGCTGGGTCCCAGCCGTGTCCTCGTGTTCAGGGTCAGGCGGATGTGGCACGGGAGCCACGTTGCCCTGCGGGGCTCTCGGCGCCCGCTGTGTCCTGGTCCCGGTGACTGCAGGTGTGACCCCCTGGGTGAGGAAGGCGGTGTCGGCGGCCGTCTCGGTGACTCGCGTGTCTCTCTCCTTCCCTCCCGCCTGCTCCCCCTGCGTGGCCGCAGGGTCCAGGTGCAGCCCGTGCAGCCGCCGCCCTCCTTCCCAAAGACCCCAGCCCCCGCTGCGCTGCAGGAGGAGCTGCCGCCCCGCAAGCCCCCGACACTGCCCCTCGATCAGGTAGGACGGCCAGAGCCCTCCCGCCCGCCCCCTGCAGGTAGGGGGCGTTCACTGCCGCGGGCGTTGAGCTGGCAGTGGGCCTGCGCCGCGGTGCCCGGCCCCCCCCCACAGCTCCTCACTGGACGTCACTGTGTCCCACCGGGGCGGGCACTTCCGAGAAGGGCTTCCTGCCCTGCAGGCCCTCGGTGGGGCTGGGAGAGGCCTCAGGAGGCGGCGGTGCCTCGTGTGCCCCCTCCGACCGGCTGTTTGCAGGTTGCTTGAACTTTGTTTTTCTGAACTGGCTGCTGGCATCGATTGGGGTGCGTCTCCTGCCTGTGCCGTCCTTCCCGTCTCCTGGGTTTCTGAGGGACGAGGCTGCAGGGTTTGTGGGCCGCGGGCGCTGCCTTCGCACGCTGCCGTGCTTGGCGCGGTGCCCCCTCCGGCCCCCCGCGGCCGCCAGGGTGCCCCACCTGTGTGCCCTGCCTGTGTGCCAGCGGCACGGCAAGCCGTTGCTGCGAGGGCCAGGTCGGGCGATTCCCCGGGCGGGAGGGCCCGCTCTTGGGCATACTTAATTTTTTTGAACAATGGACGCAAACGTGGATTCTGTGTAAGTTGTCGTCCCTCTTTTGCTTTTCCCAGAGCTAGTCCAAGGACGAGACAGCCCCCGAGGAGACAGGCTGCACGGGGACGGGGACACAGCACGCGGGGGCGGCCGCGCCTGTCCGTGTGCACCGCCACAGCGCACCCCGCATGCCGCAGCCCTCGGAGCACACGCCTCGGACCAGCACCGCGGCCAGCAGGGCCCCGGCGGGGTCTCCTGCACGCCTGGTGGTCGGGAACAAATGAACTGGAATTGGTGGTGGCTTTTCTAAGTCCTGGGACTGTTGCTTTAGGAGAAGTCGTCTGAACTGCAGGGGAGGGGGGCTGCGTGAGAACAGAGGTGCTTGTAGATGTTCACGAGCAGCTAAACTCAGGTACACATTTGGGGAAGGAACTACTCGTAGTATTAATGTTCGGAGCTGGGTCCAGTTTACAGAACTTTCATGTTGCCTTTTAAACTAATTTTTGTTGTTGGTGGTGAATGTATTGTACATAATGGGGGTGGGGGGTCCGAAGCAGTGAGCGTCCTGACCGGGGGGGGCACACCGCCCTGGGGGGGTCTTACCTGTTTACAATCACGTCACACTGAAGCCAGGTGGCTGGACAAGCGGGCGGGAAGGCTCCTTGACCACGTCCCTGGTTCCTGGGCGGCAGAGGCCCCTGCGGCGCCTGGGAAAGCCATCCCGCGGCCCCAGCTGCTCCGCCTCTCAGTGCGGAGGCGGCGGGCTCCCGCGGCCTTCGGGGGGTCTGTGCCGGGCCGGGGCCCCGCGGCTGGGGCCCTCCCAGCTGCCCGCAGCCGCGCGGAGAGCGGGGGCCGTGCCTGGGAGCGGGTCTCGGGGCGCCGCCCCCTCGGGGACCGCAGGGCTGGGTCCCAGCGGCGTGGCGGCTGCGGGCACGAATCACGTCTGTGGAGGCGACTACTCAGGTCTGTATGTGTCAGAACCAATAAGGAGATTGCACAGTTCTGACCAGGAGAGGTGTGTGCTGTAGGTTTACAGTTTAGGGGTATTTCAGTGTATTTAGTCTTTATTCATTTTAAGTGAATCATAGGAAGGTCAGGTGTGGTCTGAAGTAGCTGTCATGGCAGGTTCTGGAGCATCATTGTTGTGTATGTGTTAGGGGACAGTTTTACAGTATTAAATTTATCACAATTTTAGACACAAATTACACTGGATTCTCCTGTTTAGCATCCTGTGTCTGATTGTAGCTGAGGTGCCACCAAAACTGGGGCTTCAGTGACTCTCCCTCAAAGGAAGGGACGTGTGTAGGGGGCAGCTCGTGGGAGGAGGGTGCACCGTGGGGCGGGGCCTCGCGTCAAGGTAAAAGGGGACGCAGGGTCCGAGTTTGCCGAGCACACGCTTGCTGTCCTTGGGGAAGGACCCAGCTGCAGGTGTCCCGCTGACACAGGTGGCCCCAGCCCCGGCCCCGGCCGCTGGGGGGAGCAGAGCGCAGCGGGGCCCCCGTCTCGGGCCGGGCTTGCAGTTGTGCCGCGGGAGCTGGGAGGCCGCCTCTGCATGGAAACCTGCTGCCGGCCTGGCCTGGCTCGGGGCAGGCGGTCAGGCCTCTGTGTGGCCAGCAGGGGTCGTCTCCTGCATCTGCTGCTGTGTTTGTGCAAAGCGGGGCAGGGGCGGGGGTGCGAGAGACCAGCCAGTGGCGGCGCGGGCCTGCCCTGGAGCCCTCTGCCCGGGCCACCTGCGGCTTCTCCGAGCCGACCTAACAGAGGCCACTGGGCGCCCCGAGCTGCTGAGCTGGGGGCTCCCCAGCCACCAGCCTCTTCCCCTGGGTGGACGCCTCGGGGGTCCTTTGTGCAAACCCCTGGGCGGGGACCCCCGCTGGGCACGCACTGCCCAAGGCGACCCTTTCTCCTCACTCTCCCAGCTCCTGACCCCGTTCCCTGTTAGAAGCTGTGAACAATATAGGAAAAAATTGGTGATTTCTTTTATCCGTAATCTCCCTTCTTGGTAGATAGAAAGGTGAGAAAATAGTTAAGGAAAAGGATAGGAAATTGAACTACTGTGTTGCGTTCTGACACTGTGAACAAGGGCGGCCGCGCTGCAGCCGCGTGCGGGTCTGCGGGGTGTCCCCGGTGCCAGGCCCCGTCGCCAGGTGCGGGGGCTGCGGGCGGCAGGCCCTCCCGGCCGACTCGCTCTTCCCCTCTGGCCCCCACTCAGCAGGCGTCTGCACGGACGGTCGGCCTCTGCCCTGTTAGGGAGCAAGTGTCGGCTGTGTGACCGGAGGTCATGAGGCACGAGGACACCCTGGGAAGATCGCGCTCGGGCCAGAAGGACCGTGCACAGGCCCTGCGGTCCCTGGAGGGTCAGCGGGTCCCCGGGAGGGATGGCTCTCCTGCCTGTGTGATTCCACGTTAATGGCTGGCCTTTGTTACAGTTGTTAACCAGTTAGAAGTTTTTCCCCAAGACCCAGGAGGAATGAAAAGTCCAGAAAGAAAAGAACCTTTCATAAGGTTTCTGATTTTGGTTTTTTCCCCCTTGGAGTCAGTTTATTAAGAAAGGGAAGCCGTTGGCTGACATTACAGAAGGTGCATTTAGGGAATGAGAAGGGACAACATGTGCAGATTCTCAGTCACGTCATTTTTCCATCCCGCTTCCTGAAAATGAAACTGAGCCCTCCCTCCCCTCCCCTTCGTTGGGTCGGGCTCACCGTGAAGGTGCACGGGAGTGGGTGGCCTGCGCGGGCCCATGTCGGGCAGCACTCGGACGCCCCGGGCAGGGAGCGGCCACCAGTCCTGGCCGACCGTGCGGGTCTGCCGCGCCACGCGCAGACCTGCTGCGCGCGGGAGACTCCAGGTCCGAGGCAAGCTTGCGACCCCTGCCACTTGGTTCAACTTTTCCCTTGCTTTTTTTAATGGATGTTCAAGTCTATAAATAAGGTACTGCTTCTTAAAACCTAACTTGGCTGGTGTGGCTCAATGGATTGAGCACCGACCTGGGAACCACAGGGTCGCCAGTTCGATTCCCAGTCAGAGCACCTGCCTGGGCTGCAGGCCAGGTCCCCAGCAGGGGGCGCATGAGAGGCAACCACACACTGATGTTTCTCTCCCTCTTTCTCCTTCCTTTCCTCTCTCCCTAAAAAACATAAATAAATCTTTAAAAAAAAGAAAACAGAAAGATCTAATTTGAAAGTTCCTAGGACTGAGTCTTGCCTCGCAGCCCGAGGCAGGCAGGGGCCGAGCCCTGACCTGTGGGCGGCGGGACTGTGGGCGGCGCTGGGAGGCGTCGGGTGTCCTCGTGCGGTCGCCCCTCGTGCCTGCCCGTGGTCCGTCCGCCGGGCTCCACGTGGGCCCCAGTGCAGGAGGCGGCGTGGGAGGGGGGCCCTGGGATGCAGGGTCCAGGGGCAGCGTCTGCCTCCAGGACACTGGCCACTCTGCGGGGAGCAGGGCGGGGCCCGGGGACCCAGGCCTCTCATCCTCCTGAGGGCCGGGACTCGCCCTGCGGCCTTCAGACGTGGAGCCTTGTCCTGCTTCCCTTTGGTGAAGCAGGACCCGGGGGACACATTGGCACGGGAGGCTGGCACGGGCTTCGTCTCCGGGCAGGTGCTGGGCCCTCTCTGCCTCGGGCACCTTTGCTGGACGGACTTGGAGAAGCTGCCCCCTGGCTAGTCTCTCCTTCTGCCCCCAGGGACACTCTGAACCTCCCAGCAGAAATGCCTGGTCACCAGCTGGCTGTCCCGTGGGGTGTGGTCGGAAGTGGGGGTGTGGATGTGACGTCACGGAAAGGCTGAGCCCCCATCAGACGCTCCGTGGGCCCCCCTCTCCCCCACCGGGCCCGCCCTGGCCCGCCTGCCTTGCACAGGGGTTCGGGGACACTGCGCCTGCCGTGGGGGCGCAGGAACCATCCTGGCCAGTACTGGAAAGGGGAATGCTATTTATTTTTATATTGTGTATATTTTGTCGTGGTCTGCTGATTCCCTGTTCCACCGAAAGCGACTTACCTCAATGACTAGTTCAATGTCGTGTGCTGGGTAACTTTTTGGAAGAACTTTTTAAAAAGCTTTTTGATCCTTGGAGGTCTGTAGATTTATTTCCATATGAACTGGTTATTTTGTATAAAGTACATTCTTAAAATAGCAAGTCTCACCCATGTGTGCGTTGTGTGTCTGTGTCTCACTTTCATCGTCAGGGTGGTCCTGGCCCGAGCGCCGTCACCCAGAAAGGGCCGCCTGGTCGCGGCCTCAGTCCCGGCGGCGGCGGAAGCAGGACCCCCCGGGCAGGGCGCCGGGGGCTGTGCCCCAGAGAACCTGCCAGCAGAAAAAACCACCCGGCCGGGGCAGAGCCCTCGCTCCCCGCACCCGTGCCGCCCCGCGCGGCCGGCAGGTGGGGCGCGGCCTCGGCCATCCAGCATGTGTCATGGCCACAAACGTGCGAAATCGCTCCACCGTCTGGGTTCCCGACGGAAACCCTCGTGGCGTGAATTCTTACCGAGAGCCAGGTTTTGACAGTTTCTGCTAATGGTTGGCTTTGCCTTCGTTTTCAACGGATTTTTAGCCTGGTGTTGCCAGGCTTCTCTGTGTGGGGCCAACACAAGGTGTCCGCCGCTGGCCGGCTCTGTTTCAAAACTCGGTGCCGTTCAGAAGCTGACCTTCGCCCTGAATCCCACCCACAGAGGGGACTGGCCCGTCCACACCCTGTTGGGCAAGAGCTGCCGTGGCCCTTCCGCCTGCTGCCCGGGCTGCAGCCACCTTGCCGCCCCGCCCCCGCCCCGCCCCCGCTCTGTCCTCTGTGGATGGGCTGGCTGAACCAGTCCCTGGCAGCGTGGTGGTTTTTTTATATGTCTACATCTACGTCTACAAAGTGTAGCACGTGTGCAAGTATTGTCGTCTCCTAAAAACCTTAACTGCAAAATGGACTGAAAGACGCAAGCCAAGAAGGCGACCGGAAAGCCCCCGGCTCCGGCTGCCGTGCTGGAGGCCCCTGCCCTCTGCCAGCATCTGCGTCCGTGTCCGCATTCAGGTGCCGCAGAGGAGCCTGTGCCCTGGAACAGGCCGCTGCATCTGCTGCTGTTCCTCGTGACCAAGTTCGAGCCAGTGTTGGCAGCGCCCGTACCGCGCAGTCAGGAGCAGACCCCGCCCCCCGCCCCGCATGTCAGCGCCCAGCTCTCCAGCCTCGCCCCCCGCCCCCCAGCAGCCCCGCAGTGTGTCCCCCAGTCCCCCTGTGGTGCAGAAAGGCGCCCTTGAGCGGCCGGCCTCAAGGGGGGTCGCTGTTAACTGGGGAGCTGGGATTTGAACCCGCGTCTCAGCACCACCGTCTTCCCCGAGTCCTTGCCCAGGCGACAGGGTCCTGCACTGTGCAGACCTGGTGTGGCTCGCCAGCTTTGTTGCCCCCACGGCTTCACCCCATCCCCAAACTAGACGCTTTGTGCCTGAGAAGCAGAGGGGGTTTGTACTTCGCCTCCAGAGCGGAGCCGCTCCCAGCTCAGACGGGGCACCCTGTGGGCAGCCCCAGCCGCTGAGCGCAGGTGCGAAGTCCACGCCGAACCAAGCACGGTGTCCCCAGCGAGGGGCCGCCTGGAGACCAGGGAAATGCAGACCGGCCGCCTGCAGCTAGAAAAGTGCCCGCGTCGGGGGAGCGGAGGTCAGCCCCTGGCAGCCGAGGCCTGGCCGCGTGTTTGCGCAGCATCGATTTCCTGTCGTTCGCCCTCCTGACCTCCGGGTCTCTGAGGGGGCGGTGAGTCTTCCATCCCCCCGCTGCACACGTGCACGCACTGCCTTGAGCAAACTTCAGCCCGCGTTCTTGTCCCAGTCTGACCGGCCGTGAGTCAACGGCCACCTGGGGCCAGAGGGCTGGGCTGCACCTCCTGGGGCTGCTGTGGGCTTGAGGGGCCGCAGGCAAGGCGGGGACGGTCGGGAGGCCAGCGCCCCGCACGACTCAGCCGCGGCCCGGCCTCTGCCTGGGCACCCGGAGAAGCCGAAGGTTGTTCCTGAGAGCAGGCGAGTGCTGGGTCGTCCGACGTGTATCAAGCTCGGAGTTGGTGGGAAAAGACGCAGAAGGTGTGGGAGCCTCCGGCTGCCCAGCTGGGCTTTTCCGGCCACACCTGGGTCGGGAAGCAGCTTGTGAGAGGAAGGGGCCGCTGGGTGCCCAGCTGTGACACCCCCTGGCCCCGGGGAGCGTGGGTGGCCGCTGGAAGGCAGGACTGGGGCCCGGGACCAGACTGACTGCAAAGAGCCGCCCTCCTGTCACCGATGCAGAGGTCGGCACTGAAGGACCCTGTGCAGGCCGCCCTCGGGTGCCTGGCCCTCTCGATGGGGCTCAGGCCGCAGCACACAGCGGTGGCCCAGCAGAGGGAGTGCTGAGACCGGGCGTTGGGCAGGGTCCCGGGGAAGGGCTCCTAGACACCTGTGGGGGCCTGGGGAGGCCATCACCTGTGGGGAGGGTGTACGGGAGGGAGCTGCAGCCCAAAGACCAGCCTGTAGTTGATGAGGTGGAGACGAGGAGGAGGTAGGGGCCAGCGCAGAGGCCGAGGCCCCGCTGAGCTGAGCCGGACGTGCAGAGGGGCCCACGGGGAGGGCGCGGCAGCGACTGCGGACGTGTGGTCGCTGGGGGTGGGTGAGCCCTGGGGCAGTCAACCTCGTGTTGGGGAGCAGGGCCCAAGGGCAGGGAGAGCTCAGCGGCCGGCCCGCGCGAGGGCTTCGCGGTAAGCGTGGCGCCCCTGACCGGCCGAGGCCCGTGGCCGGGTCTCCAGAGCCCAGAGCCGTCAGAGGTTGAAAGTGCCACGAGAGCCACACAGCAGCGTCAGGGCCCAAGGGTGTCCTCCCCATCCCTGGCCACCAGGAGGGGGTTCCGGACCCACGGCTGCCACCCTGGAAGCCCCTCCCCCAGGCCCGTCACGGTCCGGCCACTCTGCTCCTTTCTCCTGGTCTCAGCCCCCAACATCCGAGAGGTGCGGGAAGGGAAGGTGGCAGACGACGCCCCGCCCCATCGCAGGTGCGGGTCCCACACCAGGTGGTCAGGGCTGGTCTGGTCACTTCACAGAGGCCCCAGGAGGCGGCTCCCGCCACTCCCCGCTGACTTCCGCCCAGCCCGGCCGCCTCGGGGGGCCCGCGGCTCGGACCCGGACGCCACTTCCTCCACCTCAGCCAGCACCTGCCCTGAGGAGCGAGCCACAGCCCTGCGCCCCGGGACCCCCGAGGCCTTGGCGCCCCCTCCCGCAGGATGTCCAGGCAGGACTTGAGGTAAAGTCGGGGAGGCAGCCGGGCCTCCGGGCCGGGCCGGGGACGAGCTGCTGCGGGGACAGCCTGGCTCAGCTGCCCTGCCGAGCCCTGGAGAACAAGGGGCCCATTATCGCCCCCTGGCCCCCGCCAGCCCCCCGGGTGGAGCGCCATCCGGTAACCAAAGGCTGCCTATGGGAGCAACCGGTAGATTTTCTCCCTCCCCATCTCCCTTAAAACAAAACAAAGCAAGTCTTGGCTGCTGTGGCTCCGTGGATTGAGCAGCAGCCTGTGACCAGAAGGGTCACTCCTTCGATCGCCCGTCAGGGCACAGGCCCGGGTTGTGGGCCGGGCCCCGGGTCGGGTGTGTGGGAGGCAGCGGATCCGTGTTTCCTCTCTGTCCCTCCCTCCCCTGTCTCTGGAAATAAACAATTAAATTCTTTTAAAAAGCAATGGAAAAAAACGGATGAGGGTTGTTTTTTTTTAAGTACATATATAGTAATTTTTAAATATAATTTGTAATTGTAAGTCTATTCATCTAGTTTTACTGCTTCTAGGTAATATTTTGCCCACATCTGCCTCTGGCCAGAAACGTAAGAAAATGTTACTCGGCTCCCGGGAGCCTGAGGAACTTTATTTCCTATTTTCAGAGTTCAAAAACTCCGGGATGAGGGGCCCACTCACGTCAAGTGAGACGTTTCTTTTGGCCAGAACCGATCTCGCGAGTTTAACCCGGGCCTCGGGCAGGCGGGAAGCCCTCGTGCGGAGGGCGGGCCCTGTTAGGACCCACGATAGTCGGAGTCCACCAGACGCGCTGACGGTTCAGAGCCTGAGACGGCCGCTTGGCTAGCTGCCCCGCCGGGACTCATTCCAATGTCCTCAGATCCGAGCTAAAATTCCAGGGTGTTGGAAACTGCCGGCACGTGGCCCTGAGTGGGGACAGGCTCTGGAAGGGGTGCCCTGAGGCCCAGGGAACCCGGCGGGGGCGGGGGCGGGGGCATCCTTCCCAGAAGCCCTTGCAGCACCTGCGCTTTATGCACATCTCCCACCCTCTCACCATAGCCCCTCTTTCCGTGACAGCATCACAGCAAAACTCATCAACGGAGGCATGGCGGGGCTCGTGGGGGTGACCTGTGTGTTCCCCATCGACTTGGCCAAGACTCGACTGCAGAACCAGCAGGGGACGGGCCCATACAGAGGGATGTAGGTACCGGAGCGGCGGGGCGCGGAGAGGGCCACGCGCACCCGGGGGCGGCGGACGGGGGCCCGCGGGGGCGCCCAGCAGCGGGGGGCGCCGGGTGTCAGGAGGGGTTGGTGGGGGCAGCCTCCTGCGCGCACTGACGTCCCTCGGCCCGGCCTCCAGGACCGACTGCCTGGTGAAGACAGCGAGGGCTGAGGGCTTCCTGGGCATGTACCGAGGTGGGTTCCCGCACCCCAGGGGCGGCCGGAGGGGGCGCGCGGTGCGGGGGTGGGACGCGGGGGTCATTTCCGCCCGGGGAACTCCTGGGGCCGCAGGCTGCCCGGTGGCCCCAGACCATGTAGCCCTGGTCCCTCGGTGACATGGGCAGCCGTGGTGAGGTTTGGGGGTGTCCGCGAACTGAGGGGCCCGGGACCCCTGGACCCCTGGACCCCTGGACCCATCCTGGCACGACCCTACCTGCAGCGCGACCCTGGAGGCACAGAGCCCCCAACCCCCCTTGTCCCCCGCCCAGGGCTGACCAGCACGAGCAGGAGAGGGGGCTGGCAGGACTGGCAGGCAGGGTCCCCAGTGTCCCCCCGGCCAGGCAACTGTGCCCCGAGGGCGGGCAGGGGGTGGGGATGCGCGGCCGGAAGACGATGATGTGTCCCAGTAAAATGAGCAGACGGGTGTCCTTGACCCGCCCCGCCCAGGCGCCGCTGTGAACCTCACGCTGGTCACCCCGGAGAAGGCCATCAAGCTGGCGGCCAACGACTTCCTGCGCCAGCTGCTCATGGGAGACGGGTACGCGCCTCGGCTTCCCCGTCTGTGCAGACGGACGTGTGCGCTCCCGCGGCTGGGGCTGGCGTGGGACTTGGCAGGCGCACCGTGGGGAGAGGAGCGGCCGCCGTGCGGGGGTTCTGGGTGGATGCGGGCGGCGTGCGCGGGCGGGGGGCGGGCGAGAGGTGATGGACAGATGCTAGATAGGGATGAATACAGCCAGATGACACCGTAGAGAGAACGTGCGCACATCAGGGAGCTAGTGAACATCCTTTTAGTTTTTTTCTTGTTATTCTTTAATCCTCACCTGAGGCTATTTCATCATTGATTTGAGAGACACCAACAGACACTGACCGGTTGCCTCCCCGGACGCTCGCCGGCGCCTGCTGTGTGTGGGTTTATTGGTGGTGGCCGTTCTGACAAGTGTGAGGTGATGCCTCACTTGGGTTTCATTTTCGTCTCTCTGATGATGAGTGACGTTGAGCATCTTTTCATGTGCCTGCTGGACACCTGAGTATCTTCTTTGGAAAAATGTCTGTTCGGGTTCTTTACTCATTTTTTAATTGGATTGTTTTTCGTTTTTGTTTTCTGTTGAGTTGCATAAGGCCTTTCTCTGTTTGAGGCATCGATCCCTTGCCAGGTTCAGGATTAGCAAATACCCCCTGCCCCCCAGGGCCCGCCTTTTGCTTCGCTGGTGTTTCCTTGGCTGTCCAGCTTGGTCGTCTGACGTCATCCCGTTGGTTTATTTTTGCTTCTGTTGCTCCTGCTCTGGGCGACCGATGTCAGGAGCTTTGTCCGGGTCTCCTCCTCGTTTCATGGTTTCAGATCTCCCACTTAAGTCCTTTTTCCACTGCAAAGCGATTTTTGTGAGCTTCCTAAGACACGGCTCGCGTTCCCCTCCTCCGCCTGCATCCAGTTTTCCCAGCACCGGTGGCTGAGGGGCTCTGTTCTCCGCTGAGTGCTCTTGGCTCCCCCGCCCCCGGGTGTTGGTTGGGTGTACACGCTGGGGTCTATATCGGGTGTCTCGGTTCTGCTCCATGGGTCCCTTGTCTTCTTTTATGCTGATGAATTTTTTTTTAAGATTTTGTTTGTTTCTTTTGAGAGAGGGGGAGGGAGAAAGAGAGGGCGAGAAACATTCCTGTGTGGGACCTGGCCTGCAACCCAACCAGGTGCCCTGACCGGGAATCCAACCGGCGACCCTTTGGTTCGCAGGTGGCAGGCTCTCAAGCCACTGAGCAGCACCGGTCAGGGCTCTGCTGATGAATTTTTAAAAGTCGGCCCCACACACTTTCCACCTCTCCCCCCCGCCTCCTGTCGCCGTGGTGATGTTGCCCAAGGAACCGGGGCAACGCCTGCAACAGGCCGCTTCACTGCTTGGACTGGTTTCGGCTCCCGCACGGGCGCGGCCTCCTGCCTTCAGGGAGGCTGACGCTGTGCGGGGTGAGGGGCGGTCGTCGGCGACAGGGCGGGGGCTGCCTGGCGCTGAAGGACACTGACTGCCGGCCCGCAGGACACAGCGGAACCTGAAGATGGAGATGCTGGCAGGCTGCGGCGCTGGGATGTGCCAGGTGGTGATCACCTGTCCCATGGAGATGCTGAAGATCCAGCTGCAGGACGCGGGGCGCCTGGGTGAGGCCGGCCCCCTCCCCCCAGCGGGGCTTGGGCAGGTCTGCGTGACCCAGCCCGCGCTCTCAGTCAGCAGGCGTCTGCCGTTCACGGTTCCCATTCTAGACTCCACCACGTCCCGCTCTAGAACCCACAGCAGGAACGAGAACCCCGATGTGGGAGGGGCAGAGAACCCGCCCCCGACACCTCCAGCACATTGCCTTGACCTTGAGCCTTGGTTTCCCGAAGCCTTGAGCACGGCTGCCCACCACCCCGCCGTCCACGGAAGCTTCATTTTAATGCGTCACTTTACGCCGTAGGGGCTGGGCTGGGGTGGGAAGGCACAGGAGGGACGAGGAGAAGGGCTGCGCTTCTCCTGGTTTTCTCTGAAAGGGACGTTGGCCCTTTGCTAAGTCCAGGGTGGAAGGCTGCCCTGCTGGGGGTCAGGAATGGGGACGTGAAACAGCTTCCTTTCTGCAAGGGCTGAGGGTCCACGCAAAGCTTCTCGAACACCGAGAAGAAAACTGGCATTCACAGTTTCAGTGGACCGAGTCCCATGGTCACCAACGGGACTGACCGCACTTGGAAACGCTTGAGCAGCCCCCACCTAAATGTGTGTGATGTGCCCAGGAAAAAGTACCGCTATCCTAGGTATTCGATGTTTAACTCATCGTATTAATTTTTTAATAATTTTTTAAAGCTATTTATTTATTTTTAGGCAGAGAGGAAGGGAAGGAGAAAGGGAGAGAAACATCGATTGTGGTTGCCTCTCGTGCGCCCCCCACTGGGGACCCAGCCTGCAACCCAGGCCTGTGCCCTGACTGGGCATCGAACCGGCGGCGACCCTTTGGTTTGCAGGCCGGCGCTCGGTCCACTGAGCCGCACCAGGCGGGGCCTGACTCCTCAGATTATGAGCCCTGACTCACTCAGCCAGGAGGGGCTGGCTGCCTTCCCAAGAACCAAGCTCTGTAAAACGGCGCAGGGACTGGAAGGCATGGTCACCCAGCCAACGCCAGCAGGTGGAGGCTCTGCCGACATCGGAAGAGCTGGTTTTCAAACCAGCAGAGAATTCGCTGCTTCATACCTGAGGCAGAAGACACATGGGGTTCCCGTGTCCCAAAGAGCCTGCGGGCAGAAAGGATGTCAGTCAGCAGGCTCAAGGCCGGTTGGGACAGGGAGGGAGAGGCCTGGGGGTGGGGCGGGGGCCGAGCTGCCCGGACGGAGGCTGGACAGGACCGCGTGCTCGCCGCTCCGGGTCTCACAGAAGTCCCGGCACCAACGACCCGTGACCTAGAACTCAGCCTCCCTCCAGGCCTCTGGCAGGGCCGTCCCTGTGGCTCAGTCGTCCTGGACACGGGAAGCAGGGGCCGCGCCCGTGCACACCTGTGGGGCCTGAGCGGCCGCAGACACCGTCCCTTTTCCCCTCCAGCCGCCGGTGCCCCGGGCTCGGCCCCGTCGCCCCCCACACGTCCCTCTGCCACTCACATCGCCCGCGAGCTGCTGCGCACCCAGGGCCTGGCCGGCCTCTACAAGGGCCTGGGGGCCACTCTCCTCAGGTGAGGCGTCCCGCCCGGCGGGGACACAAAAGGGGCCCCACCTGCCCAGGCTGCTGCCGGGAGTCCACACCACCTGGGTGCTCAGGCGCCACCGGGGCCCGGGCGGGGCTGCACTGACTGGGTCCCTGGAAGGCGACTCCCGGGCCCCGTGTCCAGTGTCTGGGCCCACAGGACAGCGGGGTGACGGGGCCCAAGGGTCCCCGGGACGCCCTGCGTGCAGAGGGCTGTGGGTCCCTCCCCGGAAGCGAGAGGCCGCCGGCCCGCCCGCCCGCCCGCCCGCCCGCCCCGTCACTCTCTGCTCGGCCCAGCCCCCTCTGCTGGTCGGAGTGTCCAGGGTCAGGGCTGATCCTGTTCCCTGAGCGACAGACAGGTCAACGTTGCCTTCCTGCTCGCCCCGTCCCCTCCACTCTTAGCCCCGCCCCCAGCCCCCGAATCTGCCTCGAATCTGGGCTCCTTGTCGGGAGCTGCGGGTGCTGAGGGCAAGGGAGTGGGCTGTCACCTGCATTGTCGCGGGCCTGCGGGCGCGTCCCTGACCCCTGCCCCCTGGCTTCCTGCGTGGCCTGGGCCTCCGGCCCCCTCCTCTCCCTACAGAGACATCCCTTTCTCCATCATCTACTTCCCTCTGTTTGCCAACCTGAACGGCCTCGGGGTCAGCGAGCCGGCGGGCAAGGCCTCCTTCGCCCACTCCTTCCTGTCGGGCTGCGTGGCCGGCTGCGTGGCCGCCATCACTGTGACGCCTCTGGACGGTAAGCGCATCGGGGCCAGGAGGGGCGTGGGGCCGGCGCTACCGGACGAACCGCAATTCCACACTTGCAGGGTTGCGGCGGAGCAGCCCCCTCCTCGAACCCTCGGGCTGCCCCTGCGGCCACGGTCAGGTCTGCCCGGAGAACGTGGCGCCTCGGGGTTCAGCCGCTCTGTGCCCGGAGACCACGAGTGACACGCTCCCCACTTACTGTGACTTCTGCTCTAGTTTTGAAAACGCGAATCCAAACCCTCAAGAAAGGCCTGGGTGAGGACAGCTACAGCGGCCTGGCCGACTGCACCAGGTGAGCCCGCGCCCCCGCGGCCCCCGCGACCGCGCTCTGTCCCGTTCCTTTCCCTCCCTCCCACGTGAAGGGGCGCACGGGGCTTTCCTCTCCCTTGTGTCCCCCACGACCCACGGCCACGCCCAGCCGCCCCCTAAGGAAACTGCACACATGTCGTGGGGAGGCACCGTGGCTCCCACGCTGCTGGGACCTTGCTGCCACTGAAGCGACACCCCCCGCCCCCCCGGTTGGAGGAAAGGCGTCCCAACGCCAGAGGAAGGGCGCCCCGCGCGGCCTGCGGCGGGCCTCACCCGGCTCTCCTCCTCCAGGAAGCTCTGGATGCGGGAGGGGCCGTCCGCCTTCATGAAGGGCGCGGGCTGCCGGGCGATGGTCACCGCCCCCCTCTTCGGCATCGCCCAAGGCGTCTACTTCATTGGCATCGGCGAGCGGGTCCTCGGGTGCTTCGAGTGACCCAGCTGGTGCGCCGACCGGCCGGCAGCCGCCTCTCCGGCGGGTCTGCCCGGCCCCGCACGCTGTCTGCTGTCCTCCACCCGGCAGGACCCTCAGCCCTGGAGAAGCCGCCCTGTCCCAGCGCCCGAGCTGGCCGCAGCCCCCCTCCCCGACCGCCCCCTCAAAAGAACGGCACCTGCTCCGTTGTGTTAGTGGCGGGACCTTCACGGACAGGAAGTAGGAAGTCTGTTTGTACATTTTACGCCCCAGTGTTGCACTCGAGCTCAGCGTTTCTGGGTCAGCTGGGGATCTGGTTTTGTTCATCGGAATTAAATGATGGATGCCGAGTCCTAGCACTCATTTTGGGAGAAAGGAGACGCAGAAGGCCGAGGGCCCTGCGTGAAACCAGGGGACCTTGTCAGCTCGCAGGGCCGAGCTCAAGCAGTAGGGCCTGCCGACCAGGGCCCGGGGCTCCGCCTGAGTCCACGGACGCGCTGTGGCCTGGCCGTGCATGAGTCGGGGCAGCCGGCAGGCTCCCCTGCCACTGCGTCCGCCTCAAAACCACACAGCACCAACATGGGGGGGCTGGGGGGTTAGGCCTCACGGACGCGGTGACCCTGTTCTCTCAATCCCCGTGGCTTCTCGTCTTCCCTGGTGCTGCAAAGCCAGAACCACCGCTTCCTCAGTGAGGCCGCCCGTGCCTGGTCCCTGCGGGGGGCCGGCGAGCGATGCGTGGGGCGAGCGGCGGGAAGGAGCGCCGCAGGGCGAGGGTCTGGCAGACGTGAGCAGCGCCGGCGACGTGGGCTCCACGGTGCCAACTCCCACGGCCGCGGCCGGCAGGCGCTGCGAGGGCTGGGCCAGAACCCCTTTTCTAGGTGCATCACAAGAGCTTTGCCCTCTGAAACTGTGACCTCATGTGTGTAACATTACAACGCAATTCACATAGACCTTTTGTTTAATAAATAGAGCCCGTGGCGTGGGTTTTACATCACACGTGCAGACAGGAGCCCTGCCGGGCCCACAGGACAGGACGCATGCGCCCGCAGGGGGCTGGGGAGCAGGCACCAGGCGGGAGGCCACCCGAGGAACTAAAAGCAGAGGAGGGCGGGAGACGGTGGGGCCACGCAGCCACCGCCCGTTCCTTCACCTTCAGGCTGCAGAACCGGCGGGAGCCGGTCCCTTCAGAGGAGCTGGAGGCAGGTTCCCGATCAGAGCGACGCAGACGCTCTCCCGTCGTCACCGATCGGCCAGGGGGCGAAGGGCGTTCGTGCAGAGATGTCAGACACCCACCGAGACACAGACAGCACAGAGGGAGCCACACAGTGTTGTTTCTTCAGCGATCAGACACGCCGGCTTAGTCCAGAAACTTCCTGTTGGCATTTGCACCAAACAAGGCTCCGCGCACTTCCGGCATCATCTGCGAAGAAGCAACGCCGTTAATACACACGCGCAGTGGCCTGGAAAATCTGGGAAGGTCGGCACGTTGAGAAAAGCTTTATTGAATTTACGGGGGAGACGCAGGTTAATAGCTTCGTACAGGCTCTGGGGACACAGTCCTGCGCAGTGTCACCCGTGTGCTGTAGCGTGTGCTCAGGGCCCTGCGTCACGCCTCCCGTCTCCATTTGTGAACCACATGTTGTCACCACAGATGGCAGCTCACGACCCCCGATGGCTGGGAAGGGGCCACAGAGCCAAGGGCATCGGTTTGTCCTTGCTTGTCACAAATCTGGAGTTAAGACTAACTGCTGAAAGGGGACAAGGAAAAACCACACTAAAACCTGAAAGGCGTTGCTGTCTGAGGCTCCTGTGACGGGCAGACGCGCCCCCAACAGCGTGTGCTCTCTTCCCCACCTGGGCCGCCTATGGTCGCCCCACGGACGGCGCGGAAAGCGGGTGCACCCTGGGCAAGGGGCTCCTCGGAGCTGAACCGCTCACTTTGCTTAATGTAAACATCCATTTGCAGCAAGCGGCTGCTCTGCTGGGCCCCAACGCAGCACTCGACGCTGACACGCACCCGACTGCCCCCGCCGGGAGACACCCGGCGCTTCGAACTCCTTCCTTCTGTTCCCAGAATGTCCCCGTGTGCAAACGTGGGCACCGGAAGAGCCGGCAGCCCCACGGTGGCCCCTGGCGCAGTGTCCCCTCCGGTCCCCATCGTTCTTGCTGGACAAAGCTCGGCCAGCGCCCCCACGTGCAGCCAGTGTGCACCCCGGAATCCTGAAGAACCACCTTGGTGCTGGCCCCTGACGCTCCCTCCTCTGAATCAGGCGCCCCCAACGCCCGCCCGCCCGCAGCGCCTGCCTGAGCACCTCCTCCTAGTCCCCACCCCCTTGCACAGAACCGGTCTGGTGCCAGAAATGCGGGGCACTGCTGCCAGCAGATATGTAATCCCACGCCTTCTAAGAAAAAGTCAGAAAGTGGATGGAGAGGGACAGAGCCAAGCGCCAGGCCCCCGCCCTCCCAAGCCCCTGCTCACCTGCTGAGCGATGAGGTCCAGGCGGCTCTCCAGGGTGTTGGAGACCTTTATCTTGCGGTCCCCGTTGTAGATCTCGACTCCGCCAGCGCTGCAGAGAGCAGAGAAAACACCTGTGTGCACAGGTTTGCGGAAGACAGACACGCAGGCACAATTACGCGACCCCTGTCCTGCGGAGGAGAGCTTTGGAGTGTGGGGTGTTGCGTCACCCCACGGGGCCAGTGAACAAAAGCAGCAGCTTGAAATAAAGCCGCCAGCCCCTCAGGCTTGAAGGGACGAGCCAGCGGAGACTGCCGCTCACCAGGGACCGCCCCACGCTGAGCCTGCTGGCCGCAGCCGGCCTCGAAGTTAAACCTCTCCTGACCTACAGCATCAGAAGGCGGACCATTCCGTCCTAGTCTGCAAACGAACACGTAGGAGTGTCCTCCTCAGAGCGTTTCTTCAAGGCCCAATCGTGCTGACGACCAGGGTACTGACGCGGCCACGTCACGCGCCTCACACGGGGCGCCATCGCGGGAAGCCCTGCCGCAGCCACCCCCCACTTCCGCCGCCGCTCCCCCTTTCCCAGCCCTCGGCAGGCGCAGGGGTGAGTCCTGTCGCACGGAGCCTCAGGGAACAGACTCTGCTGCTGCGCGAGGCCGCGGCGTTACCAAGTAGCTCCCGAAACCAGCGAGCTGTGGGGCAGCGGCTGGGAGAGGCCTCGCCGGGTCTCTCTGGGAGGCGTTCATGGACCGTGACCCTAACATTTTCAAACTCCCTCCCCGCCCCGCCCGGCCCCCTTTGCCACGGTCTGAGCGGAGCTCTGCGTCGCGGCCGGGCAGTGAGGGAGGCGTGCCCACGGGGCGCCCCGCATCCTCACCGCATCACAGAGAAGACAGGTCTAAAGAAAGTTAACAAAGTGACGTTACTGAGTGAAATAGTGACAGTTAAACTCCCACTTGAAACTTGTGCTGGGACAAGCCCGCAGGCCTCGTCTGGAGCTCTCAACGCTCTGAACACACTGAACAGTTCGATTCAGGCGACACAGAAGCCTGCCCGCCCCTGGTTACGGGGCAGCACACGCCGAAGGGGCCTGCACGTCCCCTTTGTCCCTCAGAGCGGGGCGGGGGGTTGTGTCCCTGCTGCTCAGGGACACTCTGTGACGTGCGTGTTGGCAATGCTGGCGCTCAGAACACCGGGCCCCAGCAGTTTTGGGGGTGTGGCCTTGCCTGCAGCCCCCCGCCCCCACCAGAGCCCCACTCGGTGCCCCGCACCCTCCCTGCCCCGCGGCCACCGCACGGACGGGTCGGGGGGTGGGGGGGCAAGACGGTGGTCCCCGAGCCCACACCGGACCGGAGGGGCCGCAGACATCACCGCATCTAAGCTCCCAGAGCCCCGCGAGGCGCACGTCATCACCGGGCGGACAGGAGGTCAAGGCTCTGTGAGGTCACACACTGGGCCGAGGACACCTCATGGGCAGGTGGCAGAGTCAAACCACAGCTGACGGCGACGCGCAAGCCCATCCCCCACACTAACCCTCCTCCTGGTGGGTGGAGCCTGCAGTCGCCCTGGTCCTGCCCCTCTAGGACACAGAAAGCACACGTGTGCACCCCGCTTCACAGACGGGGTTAACCCCAGTCCCGGCCGTGCAGCCCTGCGTCGCGGGGGCGGAGGAGGGGGTCCTTCGCCCCTCAGGCAGCGCAAGGGCCGTGGCGTCCGCTGGGCTGTGTCCCAGGACCCTCACCATCAGCCACTTGGGGCTGCGTCCCGTTTCCGGGGGCCCCGTGGCAGGAGAGGCCACCCTGCTCGGCACAGGCAGGATCTGGACCCGGCTTGGTGTCCTGGTGCTGACCCAAGGCTGCTGCTCCGCAAGAGGAGCCCCGGGGCCCAGCAGGGACCAGAGCCACCCAGCCCGGCGGCAGAGGCGCCCGGGAGAACAGCCCCCCGCCCACCCAGGGGGCGGCCAGGCCCGCGGGGGACGCAGGTGTGAGAACGGGAAGGCCCTTACGTCTCCTCGGGCAGGTAGGCCTCCTGGTCAATCTGGACGTCGGCATCCTTCTTGGTGGCGATTTTGTACATGGGGATGGCTTTCTGCACAGCGGCCTGGAAACACAGGAGACAACAGGTCTCAGCAGAAACCGTGGCGTGGGCGTGAGGAAACTCCACACACTGTACAACAGCCTGGACTCCAGGTAAGAGACGACTCGCCAGCGGAGTGTGAAATGGTGCAGCCGCTGCCGAGAATAGGGCGGCAACTCCGCAGACCACCGGACAGAGCGCCTGCGCGGCGCAGCCACTCGACACTGGGCCCATCGAGCCGAGGAAAAGCAGAGACCCCGCCAGGCGCTGGCACCCCCCGCGGCCGAACGGCAGGGGCAGCCCCGGCGTCCGCTGACCGGCGACTTGTCACACGAGCAAGGCGGCGCCCGGTGCCACCCAGGAGAGGCCGGCGGGCAGCGTGGAGCCTGCACAGCGCGGGCGCCCAGCAACCCGGTTCGCCTACCTCCCAGATGAGGCCGCCCGTGCAGGCCGAGGCGGGGCACAGCGGGGCCACCTGGCCCACACCTGTCCTCCCAGGAGGCAGGAACCCGGGCAGATCACAGCAGGGGTGGGAAGGGACAGAGCGGCAGGCACGTGCTCGTTCACGAGACCCGCGACGGCTGAGGGTTCAGCACCCCCCGCCCCGCGCATGCTGCGCGGAGGAGCCCGGAAGAGCCCCGACGGCACAAACCTCGGCGAGGGCGGGCGCCCTGGGGCCACGGGCTTCCCGCCTCAGAGCCCCCTCCTCCTGCCACAACCCGGGGTGCCCAGCACGGCAAGCAGCTCGCACTGCAGACCAGGGCGCCTTCTCTCTTGGGATGGGCGCGCGGGAGCCCCGGGACCGTGGCTGTGAGCGGGCGCCACTGGCCAGCCGGCTCTGGTGCCCAGCACCCTCCTGGGGGCAGGGGTTAGGCTGGAGCCTCGCCGGCCCAGCACAGGGCGCTGCCCCGTCGCTGTTCCGCGGATCAGGGTCTCGCTGGGGCCCCAGGAGGGGAGGCGGGTTCGCACTCGCAAGGCAGCCTGGCGAGGTCACAGGCGAGTCGCCACGACCTGCTAAGACCCCTCTCACCCCCGCAGTCGAGCGCCACGTGCGTTCCTTCCCTACAGGAAAGGACTTCTTTCTCCGGGCCCCTCACCTTGACCAGAGGGAAGTCCTGCTTCCGGCAGCGAACAATCATCCGGGGCTCCAGTAACTGGTACATCCCCTGCGACACAGGCAGACGCGGTTAGTGGGGGACACGCTGCAAAATGAAGCAACAGCGAAACAGACGCTTTGACGACGCCCCCCCCCCCCCCCCCGGTTCTGAAAAAGTATCTCCTCATAAATTTCCCCAAGACAGTGTGTAACATGAGGACGTGAAAACACAGTCTCGATGTCACAAAGCAGGAACACGCACCCGAGGCTCCGGCGGCAGAAGCCGAATCCCCGTGGGAGTCGTGCCTCACCCCGGGCGGGTCGAGGACAGACACTACCGTTGATGAGCCAGGCAGCAAGCGGTTAAAATGTAGAGCCTTTAGCCTGAACCCCAACATTCAAAGCAAGTAATATTTTCGTGGTGAAATCAAGTTAGGGAAATGAATTCAGCTGTAAACGTGAAAGCTGAAGGTTGCGAGCAAAGCTCCAAGTTGTAAGAAATCAGTGAGACGCTACAGAAAGGCGGCAAACAGAGCCTGGTCCAGCCACACGGATGGCGCTGCCTCCTCGCGCAGCACACGGTTCTCGTTGGACGAGGAGGAGAGCAAAGGGAGGGAGCTGAGATGAGGAAAGAGGAGCGCAGGACCTGGCCTCTAATACAGCCTGTCAATTTTTTTTTAAGATTTTATTTATTTTCAGAGAGGGGGGAAGGGAAAAGGAGAAAGAGGCGGTGAGAACCACCGGGATGCACTGTGTGCAAGAGAAACATCCATCGGCTGCCTTCTGTGCCCCCTGCTGGGGGCCTGGCCCGCAACCCAAGTCTGTGCTCCGACGGGGAATCAAACCTGCAACCTTTCGGTTCACAGGCCGGCGCTCAGTCTACTGAGCCACACCCACCAGGGTGAGTCTGTCAATTTTTTAAGCACTGTGGCTATAAACTGGAGTAGGCCTGGCCTACACAGATACCTGGAGAACCAGTCCGTCCAGCAGCACCTGATACCTGGTCGTATCTTTCACCACCTTGCTGAGTCTCTGTTTTGCTTCATTGAGTAGGTCCTACAATGAGCAGAAAAGAAGAAAGTTATCTATTCACCTGGGCAGTCAGCGTGAAACGCATCCTGAGCCTGGCACCAGCTCATGCCCTGCTTCACAGCGCACACGGGTGCCAGGAGGCGGGCAGCACCGCGTGGCTCCCCGGAGGCCAGCCAGGCCAGCCAGCCCAGACCTTCTGTCAGCGCAGGACGCACGCAACTGGCCGCTGCAGAGGGCGTTGTAGGACAGATTCAAAGAGCAAGCTGTTAGGACAGCTATACAAGATGATTCTGTTTTTTGGAAAGATTTTATTCACTTAGTTTTAGAGACAGCAGAAGGGAGAAAGGGGGAGACACATCACCGTGCGAGAGAAACGTCAGTTGGTCGCCTCTCACACGTGTCCCCACCAGGGACTGACCCTGCCCGGACCGGGGCTGAACCGGGGCCACCCCGCCCACTCCGCCACACCGGTCAGGGCTCAGGCTTCCACTTTTACACGGAAGCACCACTCTCCTAGGCAGCCAGGCCTGACATTTAGTATTTGGCATTCACCTCGGAAGAGGGGGGGTTCCGTCAGCAGTCACCCTCTGGACCGTCCTCCTGTGAAATGTGTCAACAGTGACACCGTGCCAGACTCACCTAGTGAGAGCTGTATCTTACCATGTTTGTTTCTTTAATCATCTAAGATAATAGTATGTTTTCCATTTATTTAAGTTTCATAGCTTTTCTCATATAGGTCTCATTCACTTACATTTATTCCCAAGAATTAAAAATAATTTTCGTAGCTATTATAAAGAGATCCATCTTTTATTTTACTTGCTAAGTGGCTATTGTTGGCATACAGGAAAACTTAATTTCTCTACGTTCTCTTTGTAGCTGGTCACCTTCTGAACTAAATACTAGTTCTTCGTGTTTTTTGGATGTTGTGTGTTCTGTGTAGATGTTCTGATCTGCAAAAATGGCCATTCTTTCTCCCTTTCCACTGTTCACGTAACTCTCATTTTCCCACTGGGAAAGGAAACGAGGCCCCGGCAGTAGCTGTGGGAACAGCGGGCTCGCCGCAGGCCGCCCTGCTGGCTCCGGAACGCGATTCTGCGCCTCTGGGCCCTCTCGGGGAGGCGCCGGCTCCGCAGGTCCCCGCCCTTCCTAGGACGACAGCGCTTCCCAAACAGTTTCCTTGCGTCTAACCTGTGCTTTGGTTTGCTGACCTAAAGTTCTCGCTCTAAAAATCACTCAACTCTTTAATAACCTAACGTTAACTAGTAAATGCTCTGTAATAGGCAAATAAAGATTTTATAATTTTATAACCAATAGGGGCTAATTACTCACTGTAATAAGGTCATCTCTTGCTCTGAGGACTTTGAGTCTTGCTTGATTCATCAAATTGGACATCTGACTGCAAAGGATGTGAAAAAATAGTATTGGTGCAACATAAAAAACAAAAACTGTAGAGAAAGAAATATACAGCTTCTTCCGTATGTGCCTGCCCCAAAGAGAACGCCACTGAAACATATACAGGTATTTCTACCAAATTATTCTCAAAGATGATGAAATATTAATTAAATGCTTACCAAGCAGCGAGCAATTACATATCAATTATTTCAGTTTGAGCGTCCCACAGTCCTCTGGGGCTCCCACGTTCACACGTGAGGAAGGCAAGCTGAGCGACAGCCCAGGTCAGGTAAGCGGCCCGCGGCCCACGCCAGACGCGCCCCGCGGCCCCTCCGACTCGGGGCAGCCCCCCTAGTGTAACACCGGGACCCGGGCCCTCTTACATTTTCTTCTGCTGCTCTATCTGCTTCTCCTTCTTCTCGTAGTACTCCATGATCTTCAGTCTCTGGGTTTGCACAAGACGACCTTTCTCAATGTTGAACTCTTCTTCTGCCTGCCAGGGAATCCATTCATTCATGACACCAGATTTTGACAGCTTTATTTTAAGCAGTTGGTGACGAGAAGTACTTGCTTATAATCATCTTTTTCCGGATTAAAAACAGGAAATTTATGGTGACTCATCCTCAAGGCAAACCTAATTTACTCAAAGGGGGAGACCAGTGATTCCCATAATAAATGCCGAACCAGAAGACTGAAAACTTGCTCAAGGATCATGGTACCCAGAAACAAAGTTTCAGAAGATATAATCAGGCACAGTATTTTGTATATAAACTATTATGCACTCTAAATGCAATCCATTTGCTCGCTAGGGAGCTAATGAAAACAACACAGAGTTTGCGGTTTAGAGGACCTGGGTTACTGCCTCAAGAACAACGGGATACCCTGTGTGTGAGTAACCTGCCGCTGGAGATCGCCCCACGATTCCTAAACCCGGGCCGTCGCCTCTGTCACGGCCGGAGCTTTCCTGTCTACCTTACGTACTTCCGAGGTACGGATGTATTTTTTTTGCAACAAGCACCAATGGACAAAAAAAGCAAAATAGCAACAGAAAAATACTACACCTTCCTTAACCACTATCACAATTAGTCCCAGATGCTAAATATCCGAATGCTGGATTCCGTGAGAAAAATCAGTTCATTACATATTTTTTAATTAAAAAAATGTTTCACTGTTTGTGTGTGGAAAATCTGAGATTTACAGAAAAGTTGCAAAACTATTAGACTGCACCTTCAGCCAGTTTGCCCATTTGTAAACATCTTATATACAATTAGTCAAAACCAAGAAATACCGGCCCATGACAATGAACCAAACTGCAGACAACATTCAGTTTCCCTTTGCTGCTACCGCAAGCCCTTGCGCCCCCGGACACCGCCCAGGGTGCCGCCCCTACGCGGTGCGGCTCCTCAGACACCATCTGATCTGCGACTGTTTCCTTCCGGTTTTCAGGGCCTCGGCAGTTTGGAAGGTGCTGACACACACGGCACATCCCTACCGTGGGTTTGTCTCGTTTTTCAAATTTAACTGGGCTGGTGTTACAGTCGGGGCGCGGGGGACACGGCGCCGGTGAAGCGCCGCCCCCTGCGGCCGCACCGGGGGCACCCCGAGCCCTTACCCACAGCGCCCGGCGGGCCGCCGCCCTTCCTCTTCCTCCAGGGTGGTCACCGAGCTTCACCGAGGGGCCGCCCGCCGTGTCGCGTGCGCTTCCCCTCTAAGGACAGTGCCTCTCCCCCCCGCCCTTCCTCTGCCGTTTTGTGGGGTGAAGGTGCAGGGCGCTGACCGGCCATCAAGGTGCATGGAAGGAAAACTGCTTTTCACAGCGAAGCCTGACATCCTCAGTAACCCTATGCAATGCGCTGTCAAACCTCTTTACTAATTACTGTTTAGCAAAGCAAAACAATACACAACTTAGTAACTTCTTAAACCTCAAAAAATGGAATCTTACTTTTGCATCTATTTCTTCTGCTTTCTCATTGGCTTCTTGTTCAATAAAAGCCATCATGTGCTTAATCTAGAAGGAAAAAGAAAATACTATTTTACTTCTCAATATAAAAAGAGAAGAAACGTCCTTCCCGACGACGACTCACTGACCAGTGTGGCAGGCTCTGCGTAGGGGGAAACCGGACAGGCTCTGCGCCCGGGTCACGCAGTGTCTGGAACGCGCTCCCGCGCGCGGGACAGGTGCCGAGGTCCGGGGCCCAGGCGAACAGGCCGCCCCTCCTCCCAGGAACCGAGGTCCACGCCACCCCGCTCCAGCCGGCGCCTCTGCCCCCGCCCCCACCGCTGCCGCTGCCCGACTGGGTCCCAGAGCTGCTGCGTCCACCCGCTCAGCTTTCCCACCGCCGCTCGCCATACTCCCACTCGGCTCCGCCCTTCTAACCCACGGCAGTTGCGTGTGTGGAACCACAACAGTCTCCTCGGTCTGAAATCTTGGCCTTACCCTCCTTGATCTTCTACCATCTTTCTCTTTTTTTTTTAAAGATTTCATTCATTTTTAGAGAGAGGGAAAAGAAAGGATAAAGAGAGGAAGAAAAACATCGATGTGAGAGAGAAACATCCCGTGCTTGCCTCTTGCATGTGCCCTCACCTGGATACCAAACCTGCATCCCAGCCCTGCGCCCCGACTGGGAATTGAACCGGTGACCTTCCGCTTTGCGGGAAGACGACCAACCCCGAGCCACACTGGCCAGGGCTAGAGTCTGTTTTAAAAGTAACACAACGCTTACAAAGCCTCAAGGCTCGACCTACTTGGGGCACCTCATCGAGAGCTCCATGTACAGGAGGCCCTGTGACCTCGCAGAAAGGCCGCCCCTGCACCTGTGTGCGGCCCCCTGAGAATGGCAGCTCCGCGAGTCCAGTTGGAAGCCGCAGAGAACTCGGCCTGGGACTTTACAAGTAGTCTAACTGCGTACAGTAATCAAGTCGGGTGTTTATAAACACTACAATGGCGCTAATTTTAACCCAGGTCACAAAAGCCTGTTTACACCCAACCCCTTAAGGACATTTAACTCCACCCCAAGGCAGAAACATCTGACCTTCAAAAAATACTTTCCTTTTTCCAGCTACCCTGGTAATTTGATTCTTTGGAGTCAGACTGCTTTGAAAATCTGACACAGTAAATGACAAAGCAAATGCATGTAAGTATTTTATACAAGGGGAAAGCAGTCGGGGAATCTAGGATAGACTAAGCACAACGATGTGCTTAGCGCTTGGCCTATTCATGGCTGAAAACACAGGGACCAAAACCCCCCGGTGTCCGAAGCTGCCGTGTAGTGTGCAGGGCACTGCAGACGTCTTCGTCCTTTCCATTTTACAGAAGGAGAACGTGGTTTTGCCCTCGAGTCCAAGGAAACACACTGCTTTACCTTTATGTTCCCTGGGGAAGCCTTCGTCTTCAGAATGCAGAGCAAGAGGAGAAGATGAAGGCGCAAGAGGAGAAAGAGAACCAGTTCTAGCGGCGGAAGGACCGCAGTGCCTGGAGGGCACTGTCCTTGTCCACTTACCGAGTTTCTCCTGCAGTAAAAATCAAAGCAGCAGCGATAAATGTTCAAAAAGTCCCCCAGTCAGCCCTGGCCCGGTAGCTCAGCTGGTTAGAGCAGCGCCCCGATAGTCAAGAGTGCAGGTTTGATCGCAGGTGAGGGCACATACAAGAATCAACCCACGAGCGAATGCATAAATGAGCGGAAAAACAAATTGATGTTTCTCTCTCTCTCCCTAAAGTCATAAATAAAAACTTGGAAATATAGAAATTAAAAAAGCCCACTGTTCTGTAAGAACATTGAAAGATTTCTTGAAATTCTCCCTAGATGCCATTTGTCACCCTTTTTTACTTTGTGATTGGCACAAGAACCCCTGAAATGAAGAAACGCTCCATTCTTCTTGGTGCCTGTTAGGTTAAGACTAAAATGCAAAAGTATTTTCAAGGAAATGGAAACATCCGAAGAAAAAACCCTCCATTGCTCATCAAAGAACATCCGTAAGCCAGCGAGTGAGCTTTAGTCACAGGATTTTCCTGCTCCCTTAAAAGGGAGGCTTAGTTCTCTAAATTAGGCGGAGATTAAATTGCAGCGTTAATAAGCTCCCTCGTCTATCAAACCTATTGGCAACATGGCCCCTAAACCAAGGACCCTAGTTTCAGAACGTCTGTTGGCTGGACAGGTTCTGCCAAGAGGCTTTCGCAGTTTAACATTCCTACTGCCTACAGACTTGAAGGCGCGGCTCATTAAAAGAAAAAAAAGAAAAAAAAAAAAGAAAGAAAACCGAGGATACCCAGGACTGATTATTCGCCTGCAAAACTGCTGCGCGTTCACAACCTTCGTAACAATCCTCCCCATAAACCTTGGCTCATTTCGTGCCGAGCACCGCCGGGCGCCGGGGCGCACGCAGGGGAGGCGAGCTCCGCGCTGCACAGACAGGAACGCACAACCTCGCGGGACCGAGCCCTCCAAGGGGAAGGCGACAGTCGTGCAAGTGGGCGACCTCAGGACGGCGCCCGCGGGAGCGGCTCTCCGCCCTCAGCACCCTCGGGCTTAAAACCTCGGCCTCGCACTCCGCCTGCCTCTCGGCCCGGGTCTGGCAGGCTCTGCGCCATCGCGCACAGCAAGAACCCGGGAAGCGGGGGCCGAAGGGCCGGGCGGCCATCTAGGCGGCGCGCGAGACTGGGCACCAGTCACGGGGGTTGGCATGACTCCCTCCCGCAGACAAGCCACCAAGTCGCGGGTCCTAGGGGCCAGGGTGCCTCCTGGGCACCCGGGCTGCGCGAGGCCGCGCCCGCCCGCCTGGCTCCGGCCCGGCCCCGCTGGGCATCGCCGGGCCCAAACGCAGCCCCCCACCTGCTTCTGCACGTCGGCATCGCTGAGGGCCATGGCGACAGTGAGGCTGAGCCGGTGCGCGACGAGCTCGAGTTTACGCCTGAAGAACACGACGGAGGGACAAGAATAAGGAAAGCGAGCGCAGATTCCGCTTTCCTTTGCTTTATAATCCCAGCTTCCGGTTCCTGCCACGTGACCGCGCGGCTCTGGCACGTGAGCCTTCTCAGCCAATGGGAAGAGAGCAGGCTCCGGAGGACCCGGCCCCCGCCGGTGCTAAGCGCCTGCGTAAAAGCCCCTGCGGTAGCCCCGTCACTTCGCTTGCAGGTGATTTGTCCGCGCTGTTTTCGTCAACAGCCTCCTTCCCGGGGAAAGAGGGAAGGTCAGCAGTTCTGGTGTCTGCAGTTAGTGGAGCTTGCGTGAATGTCTCGTCTGAAGTTTAACTATTTCATTTAGACAAGTCCAGAGTTTAGTGTTTTACTGATTTGGGCTTAATGGAGGCAGCAAACTCAATAATCGTTTCTTCATCAATAGATTTTATTTTTAGAACGATTTTAGATTTACAAAGCAGACAGTGCAGAGGGTGTTCAGAAACCTTTGTGCCTCTCGCACAGTTTCCCCTATTATTGTTTTCTTGACTGAAGCTATGAGGGGTTTTTCCAGTTCCCCCGATTGGTAACATCTTAGGTTAGTGTAAAACATTTGTTACCCAATACGGTGTATTACCTGACGTGCAGGACTTACTTGGGTTTCCTTAGTTTTACCCTAATGCCCGTTTTCGTCCCAGGGCCCCACCCACGATACTGCATTTCTCTTAGTCTTCACATCTCCCAGGTTTCCTCGCGGCTGTGACAGTTTCTCAAGGAACCGGAGGGTCTTGGGACAGTTCTGAGGGGTCTGGGTAGGTATGTGGCCGGATGCACCTCGATCGGTTGGGAGTTTCGGGCTTTTCGTAGGAAGATCGCCGACGTCGTGTGCCTTTTTTATCAGGTCGGGGCAAGCATTCGCGCTGTCGGCACCTCCTCGGCCCCGGGTGTTGACCTTGACGGGCCGGCAGAAGGCGGGTGTCAGGTTTCTCCCTCCCGCCCCTTTCCGGGCGGTCCTCGGCGGAGGAAGTACGGAGAGAGTTGCGTGGCGCCGCCGCCCGGAGGGTGCAGGATCTACATGATTTATTTGGAATTCTGAAAGGGGTCTACGCACTTTTTTAGCGTCGTCCTCGGAACCCATTTAAAGGGAATTAGTCAGAAAATTAGGGGAGAAATTCCTCCGGGCGTGTTTACTTCAAACCCCAATTCCCCACCCCCCAGCTGTAAAGGCCAAGACTTGAAAGCCTTATTTTTAGGATAGACTCCTAGTAGTAGAATTATGGGCTAAAAGGGTCACACATTCTTAACACTAGGTTTTTATTTTGAAGAAATTTCAAATGTAATAAGCTGTAAGAATAGTACAATGAATTCCCTTCACCTAGATCCACCAATTGTTACCATTTTGCTGTTTGCTTTATCACTTTCTATATACAGACAGTACTAATGGTTAGACTTAAAATTTTTTTTAATTTTCTATTTTAAAGAGAGAGGAAAAAACAACAAACCCATCGATTTGCTGTTCAACTTCCTGATGCATTCGTTCATTGGTTGGTTGTTGTCTGTGCCCTGACGCGGGATTAAACCTGCAACCTTGGCCTATCGGGATGACACTAACCAACTGGGCTACCCAGCCAGGGCTGGACTTAATTTTTTAACCTTACAATAAGGCAAAAGAAATATGCTTTCAGTAGAAACTGTACTTCGAATTCTGAGTTTTAATCTCCCAGTCCAGCCACACGCAGGCGGCACGTGGTCTGGTTCTCCCTGGTGAGGTTGGGCCGCGGCGGCAAGTCCCACCTCTCGGGCAGTCGTGAGACCGGTGGGGTGAACAATCGATTCTCTACAATGTACTGTGTTGCGAGCATTTTTTGGATATTATTTTCACATTTTTGCATCCCATGTGTCTACAAAATGGTGTCTCCTGCTTTCAGTGAGAAGAGGAAGAGCCATTACACTTGAGATGAAACAAGGTAATTGCCCAGTTTGGGGTAGGCTAAGCTGTGATGTTTCATGGGTTATAGCACAATAAAAGCATTTTCAACTATGATGGGTTTATCGGGATGCAATTCCATCTTAAGTCGAGGAGCACCTCTCTGTGTGTGTGTGTGTGTGTGTGTGTGTATACATCTATATATGATGACTCTAAAAGAGTTCAGTGTTTAAGGGTGTAAATCAATCAAATTCAGGAAACTTTAGAAGTCCACACTCCCACTAATACCCGTCACGTTTTTTTATTCAGCATCTAATCCAAGATCACCTATTGTGTTATGTCTTTTTAGTCTCCTTTCATGTGGAATAGTTAGCTCCTTGACTTTCTTTCCCGATAGTGGCGTTTTTGAAGCGTATCACATTGGAAGGGGCCGGTTTTGTCAGACGGTTCCCTCATACTCAGGCTCAGCTACGCACACGGGAGGAGCAGCGCACGTGTGGTGTGCGTCCTCAGTGACGCGCCTGCCCGTTGTCCTTGTCATGGCGATGCTGCACATTTTTCAGGCTACCAGATTGTTTTCCAGCTCTACCAGTGGGGGGTGTTCTTTGAAGTGTATGACAGATCAGTGCATGTATTTGATAAAACTTTTAGTATTTTGTAAGAGGATTCAGCCGCAGGAGGGTAAAGCTTCAGGACAACCCAGCTTCAGAAACCCAGGAAGTTGACTGTATCTTACTAATAACAGAGCCACACCAGGTAAGTTTGTTTCTCTCATTTTGCTAGTTTTTGCGTCAACATCATTCTTCACCGTCCCAGAGAGACATTTCCAGGGTGATACCTCCCTGTACCGTCCCCAGGACAGCATGGGCCGATCCTCAGTCTTTTGGGTTACGGATCCCCTACCATTTATTTTTACAGTGTTGGGGAGTGAAACGAGCAGTCTAGTGACACACATATAATCATTTATGAAATTGCCTGCAACAGACGGAGGCAGCACTGTCACGATCAATGTGCTTTTGTTTTCTTGGAAAACAGTGCACTGGTCTTTATGATTTATTATAATGTTAAGACTCAAAACAATACGGAAAAGTACTGTGGGTGAAAAAAGGGGTTGTATGGAAACTAACCTCAGGGAGTGATCGCACCATAAATTCCCAGCTGGACAGGAAGTGATGTGTGGCCAGGCCCCTCGTGTAAAACATCTTTCCAAAGGGCTGTCCTAGCCTCTAGCAAGCCCTGTGCATTGTTCCCGTGCATCTAGGCTAACACCCCTTTGAAATAAAGTCTACCTCCAGGGGAGCAAATGACGGGCCAGCCGTCTTAGAATCCAAGCTCTGCTCTGCTTTCTTCCATCACCCTGTGATCTTCCTTTCATCCCTTCCTTAATTTCTTCTTACTTAATCCTCACCCAAGGACATGTTTGTTGATTTTTGTGAGAGGGGTAGAGAACTGGGTCCTTTGTCCTAAGAATTCTGACCTGTTCTCTAAAGCAGGGATTTTAGGGGAGGTCTGGGAGGGTCCAATGGACTATTCAGGAGCTTTCCAGTGAGTCCTTTCCGGGCCTGGTCTCCACGGACTGGCGGCTCCCAGGTCTGGTCTTTCGCACCCTCCAGACAAAATTTCGCAAAGGACGCTGGATTCTATTCCCGTTCAACGCACGGTGCTGCGAACAAAACGGATCGCCACTGGGGACCCCCTTTCTGTCCGCAGTGCCTCTGCTCAAGCAGGGCCCTCCCTAGATCGGCCTCTGCGCCTCCCGCCCCCGAAACCCTTCCCAGCTTTCCAGGGCGCCTTCCTGCCGGCTCCGCGGCTCTCTCGACACTTCTCTAACGGCCTTGTCTGTGGACACAGAACGTGTTCTGCGGACGCAGCAGCGCTCCCACCGCGGGAGCGGCCCAGCCTCTCTCCGGGCACAGCCGGAGAGCGTCCCACTCGCCTCTCTGCAGCCACCAATGACCTCCGCCAACCCCAGGAACCAGAGACCAGAGTGACTCCTGGAAAAGCGGCCAGGAGAGGCCGGCTCTTCCGGGTCACCTCTGCGCCAAGAGACCTCCAGGCCTCTATGGCTCGTACTTCCGCTCCGGAGACGAGGCCGCCTTTTCCGGGCTCCCGGGCGCCCCGCCCCCTGCGACGCCGGCGGTGACGGAAGCACGCCGGCGGTGACCTAGCCCCCCAACATGGCGGCGGCGGTAGATTAGGGCCGCGGGTCGCAGCCACCGGCGCCGCTAGCGGAGGGACGCTGTGGGGAGCCAGTGCCGCCGCCGCCTCTTCCGCCTCCTCTGGGCCAGGGCCAGGTGAGGGCAGTGGGGTCCCGGGCGGGCGCAGCGGGCCCTTGCCTAGCCCCGGCGGCGGCTCTCGCGCCGTCGGAAGACGTCCGGAGAGGGCGCCGGACCGCTGTCTGCTCAGCGGTTCCGAGGACGCGGGAGTGTCGTGGGTGTCGCCCGAGCGTTCTCCAAGCTGGACCTGTCCAGCCAGGTCCACCGCGACCGCGCGCGGAGCGGGGTTTCTTGAGCGGGCGGCGGGGGCCCCTCAGCCCGAAACGCGGCTCCTCTGCCAGAAGCCGGCGTTCGCCGCCCTGGTCGTTGGAGCCGTTTGTCCTGCCTGCGCTGACGTGCGGACACCCACGGCGGCGGTGATGGTCGCTGTCACACACCGCCCCGGGTCGTCGCTGCCTCTGCCGGCTGTCCTCTCGCCACTTCGGGGGGACCCCGCTCTTCTCCGGCCTCGGCCTCCGAGCCGGGGCTCGAACCTCGGCTGAGACGGGCGTCCTGGCCGCCGCGCCCGCACGAGCGCGTTCCCCGGCGGACCCCGCCGTCTCCGCCTGCGCCGCGAAACCGCCCCCCACGGGCTGACGGGCCAGACCGCCGGGCAGCTGGGTGCGTTCGCGGGCGAGGCGCCCCGGGGGCCGCTCGGGAAGCCGCGCTCGCTCTGCCCCGACCGGTCCGGCGGCCACACCCTCGTCGCGCCTGGTCTGGTCCCGTCGCCGGGAACTGGGGCCAAGTGCGGCGGAGGCCGAGCTCACCCCTCAAACTGGAAACGGCACGACCTCAGGAAATAAAGAGCCTCCCTCTGATGGGCGTCGCAAATCCTCCCCCGCACCCCGAGTAACCCGCTTTCTTACGGAGGGCGAAGCCCCGAGAATTCTGCGGGGCCGAGCGCGGACAGGCGCGCTCACCGGCGCGAGGTGGTATTTACTAAACGCCCAGGCGCCGAGCTTTCTGGGCAGCGACTTACCGCGGGGACAGTCAGCGCTTTAAAAAACGTATTTCTTTCCCAATGGCGTAGACTTCCAAAGCAAGTTCTACTCACTTATTTTTTTATCCCTCACCCGGGGACGTGTTTATTGATTTTTCTTTTCTTTTTTTTTTTTTTTTGAGAGAGAGGAAGGGAAACATCGATCAGTTGCCTCCCGCGCCCGCGGCACCGGGGAGCCAGCCCCGAGCCCGGGCCCCGTGCGCGCCGCGGATCGAGCCCCTCAGCCAACCGAGCCGCCGCCCAGGGCGCAGAGCACGTTTTAAACAGTCCCTGGGCGCGGCCATTCTGCGTTTTATCCCCGCTTTTTAAACATGGCTTTGATTTATATCTTAGTCCAAGAAAGTGGTGACTAGGAGCTCTTAACGTATCTTACAGAGTTGTCAATATTAATAAAGCGTTATCGGGCGTGTTAGCACGGGGCTCACCGGTTGCATAGTTGAAGAGTTCCAGAACATTCCCCGAGCGCCCCACCGGGCACCGGCCTCGCAGCCCCGGAGGCCTCCCCGACCGCAGGCGCCCCAGCTCGCGCCTGGGCGGCCACCGTCCTCGCTCTGGACAGACATTTCATGTAAAGGGCAGTCACATGTGGACTCTACTACTTTTTTACTTAGCATGATCGTTTGAAGATTCTGTTTTTATTTTTACGGAGAGGGGAAGGGAGGGCGAGAGAGGGAGAAAAAGAGCCACACCGACTGGCTGCCTCGTGCGCCCGCAACCAGGGGCCTGGCCGGCCACCCAGGATCGTGCCCCTCCGGCCAGGGGCTCAGCCCCGTCGTCTCGGGGCTCAGCTGTGCATGTGTCTTCAGCTCTTGTTTCATGGCCACATGCTATCCCACCATAAGAAGCTACCGCATTTTTGTGTTTGTCAGGTGATAGGCAGTGATTTCCACTCCGTGGCTTAGACTGCGGTGCTGCTGTGGTCACGTGCAGGTTTCTGTGCAGACATGTGCCTCCATTGCTCGCTGGCCCCGACCCGGGAGCGTCACAGTAGCTGAACTTGGCCTCCCTGTTACACAAGTGTCGGCACATGCACAGGAGCCTGCGGCGTTCACTGTCCAAGTCGAGACACGTCTGTCTGTCTGTCTGTCTGGGGAGAGGGTGAGTGCCAGCAGATGAGTGAGGACATTTTAAGGCAGCTCTTATTTATTTATTTGTTTATTTTTAAATTTGTATCAGTTTGTTTGAGCTAAGCTGACAACAATTGCAGGGAAGCAAAAATCTCAACCGATTGAGAAACTGCTCCCTGGCAACTCTTTAGGTTTTATTTTTAGAGAGACGGGAAGGAGAGGAGGAGGGGAACATCAATTGGTTGGTTGCCTCTCACACGCCCCCAACTGGGGCTTGGCCACGACCCAGGGCTGTGCCCTGCCTGGGAATTGAACCTGCGACCTTTAGGTTCACAGGCCCGTGCGCTCAGTCTGCGAGGCCCCATGAGCCAGGGCTGAGCTGGAGTGTCTCAGTTGGGCGTGTTTGCCTTGGACAGGGATCGCCTGCATTGTAATACATGGAGTCTGCTGAGTTTTCAGAATTGCGCTTTGCTCAGTCGCATTTCTCAGCTGGATGGAGTGAATTATTGCAACTTCCAGTTTTCATTAGGGTTATTTAATTTTACTTTTATTTTGGAGAAAATCTTAGAATTCCATAGGAGCTAATAAAGCATGGATTTAAAAAATAGTCATTGGATTCATGTTAATTTGTGGAACTTCAAAAATAATTCTTTACTCAGACCACCAGTGAATCTTGAGACTAAAGGTCTGGTAAGCAAACAACTTGGTTAATGTTTAAAATTACAAGTTTTGACTTGCGGCTGAGTTATCTGTGGATTTTTATTTTTCCGTTTACAGACCAGGAGCATAGATCTGCCTGTGTGGCTGGGGTGCTCAATAACCTTGTTAGGGTACAATTTTATTACAGTGGAAAGACGTGACCTAAACACAAAGAGCTTCCTGAATTAATTTAATTAAATATGTTACATTGTAATATGTTTCTGTTATGGTTCTAAGGGGTATGTGAGAATACAATATAGGTATGACATTCTGTTTTTAAAATTTAATTTTATTTATTTTATCTTTATTGTATTTTTTTCCAATTACCATGACATTCTAAATTAGTATGTCAGAGGCAGGTGGTGTAAATTACTGTATGTATATTTTTACTCCTCCCCTGAGGATATGGTTATTGATTTCAGAGAGGAGGTTAAAGGCGGAGAGAGAAACATTGATCGGTTGCCTTCTCTTGGGCATCTGGACCAGGAATCGAACTCACAACCTAGGCATGTGCCCCGACCTGGAATTGAACCCATGATCTCTTGGTCGGCCGGGCGGACAACATTCCACTCAACCAGGGCCGTGAAGCTCGTGTTCTGACACTGAGTTGCTCTGTTCTCCCCTCTGCTTCAGAACTTTACTTCATAATTTATCTCTTGCTCTGTGTTTCTTTGTATCTCATTGGTTTTTTCCTGAGCTGAGTGTAAACATGCTTAATTCTCCATAATTGTGAAAAGAAATGAAACAAAACAGAACAAACTCTCGACCCTTTGTTTCTCTGGAGCCTCTGTTCATTTCTTCCCTGCCAACTGTGCTCCGTCTTTGGGAGAACAGACCCAGAGCCCCGCTCCCACCCGCCCGGAGCCGTGCTGCCCGGTGGGACGCTGGCGCCCCCGCCTCGGGCGTGCTGCGCGCCTGCCGGCCCCCTGCCTGGAGCGTGGGCTGCTCGGCCGGTCTCCTCCCAGCCCTCAGCTGCCGCTGCCCGCTGCCCGCCTCTGGCCTCTTGGCCGCCCCCGAAACGCCCATGTTGTCCTGAGTGCTCACTGTGTTTCCTTTTTACAGCCTGCCTCCTCCTGAGAGGTCAGTAGTCCTCTGGCCCGTACTGCGGTGGTCGGGTGCGGGGGGGGCAGAGTTCTTCCCTCTCAGGACCTCACTGAGCGTCATTGACCCAGACAAGGTAGGGGGTTTACTGCCCTCTATTCTCTATACTTTGTAATCTGGAAACAACAGGTAATGTTTCCTGTGTTCGCACTCGGGAGCCCCCCCCCCACCCCCCCGTGCTGGCTCGCATCTGTGTGGACACAACTTCGCGTCCCTGGTCTCAACCTCCTCCTGGGTCTGAGACCTGTGTATCCAGCTCGTAGCTGTGCGTCCCCACCGGGACCGCCTGCAGGCGCCCTGGAGTTCAGCGGCACCGAGGTGAGCTTGGTCCCCAGTCCCCAAGCCAGCTCCTCTCCTGTGTCACCTGGCTCGGGAAACAGGAGCAACACCATTTCCCCCGCAGCTCATGCAGCCTCTCGCTGAGTGAGTGGACGCACCTCTAAGCTCTGCCTGTTTGCCCATGCACCGCCTTCGCCCGGCTGGCGTTCCTGCCGAGTTCGTGCCCGTCCCGTTCCAATGTTTCCAGCCCTCCCCTGGCTCGTGTCCTTGCCTTCCACCTCCAGTCTGCCTCCCGCGCCAGCTCTGGGGTGATGTGAGATATTGTGGGATCTGCTCATGTGCTTCTCTGGCTGAAATCCCTTCCAGGGTTTCTAAGAGGGTTCTGCAGTAGTTTTTAGCCTGTTTACATCATTACCTAGTTTGTGAATCTAATGAAAGAAACGGAGTGTTTTTCTCTCTGGAAAAAAGGGCTCATGTGGATGGAATTTGCGCAGTTTTAGAAGGTTTGTTCTTGGGCGTGGCCTCAGCGATCCCTGGCAGACAGGACCCAGCGCCAGCTTCCTGGCCTCCCGCGGCAGACAACCCCAGCAGCCTCTCCTGCTGCTGAGGCCTGTTGAGCCCCAGCAGCCGTGTTGGACAGGCGCAGCTGTGCCGGGCGCCTTGGTTTGCGAGTTGTCCGTGCTGTGCTGTTCCACGCTGTGCCTCTTCCTGACCGGCTGTACACCTCGGGTTCAGCCCTGTCCCTCTGCCCAGCTGGCTCGGTCTGATGCCTCTGCATGTCCCCGCGGGGCTAAGGGTTTACTAACCCAAGCCTTTCCTGGCCTCTCCTCCCTCGTCTCCTTCCCCCAGGAGGCCTGCCCAGGTCCTCTCCTGGGCCGCTGTCCCCACTCCGGACACTGACATGCACCTCTGAACTTCGGTTCCCATTTGTATGTGGTTTTCTCTTCTCAGGTGAAAGCTCCTGAGGGCAGGTGACTGATTCGCTGTCTTGGTGTCTGATGCCTGGGGTGTGCTGTGTGTCATAAGGCATGCGTTGAATGAACACACACAAAAATTGTCAGAAGGGATTGTCTTTTATTTTAGTAGATAAAATTACTAGGTCTATATGTGCACTTTGTAGAATTAGAATATTTTCTAACCTGTAAATTTGGAATGTAGTGTGTTAGGATTGTTGGGAAACTGCTTTAGAAATTTTAAGAAAAGTAGGTTCCAGTTAGGTCTCGGTGGCAAACACAAAGCAATGCTGCAGTACCTGCGGCAGCAGACAGGCGCGTACGGAAGGGCGCGGGTCTCCTGCAGGGCGGGCAGGACAGCGGGGAAGGAGGCCGGAGCCGCGGGCGGTCCTGCTGCAGGCTCCACCGGCCCGGCCACAGGACCAGTAGGTGGTCAGCGCCTCTGCGGACCACCCCCTGCCTTTCCCACGAATTTCCTTAACCGTCTTCCAGAGTCCAAACCCGAGGTGGAGCCCCTGGCCTGGCTGCACCTGGGCCGCCTCTCGTCCCTGGAGGTTGCGGACCAGAACAGGAGGGAGAACCGCCGGCCTGTCTCAGCTTCCTTGGGGGGGGACGGGGGGGTGCTGCGTATACAGGAAATTGGGGTCAGAGAGCAGGCTGGCAAGAAAGTGAAATAAAAAGGCGAAAGCCCGTTCACGTACTGCTGCAGGTCGACGTCGGAACGCCGACGTCAGAATCTCCGTCAGAAAACTGCCCCACGGGCCTCCTTTGTCACGTCTGCAAGTTTGGAAGGTGGGGGCGGGACTGAGTGAGCTCTGCGCACCTGCGCAGGCTCCCGGGGCGTCGGCGTAGCGCCCGCCCCTTCTTTGGAGGGTGTAGTGACAATTTTGAAATACCTGTCTGGAGCTTACAGGAACTTTTCAAGTTGAGCAGGGCAGTCCAAGGCACGTTGTTCGATTTGTTAGATATTTTGATGGAACTTTATAGCTTTGCCCCAGAAGATAGAAACAGTATTCGTTCTTGGACACTTCTCTTTGTTAGCTTGTTGCAAATCTTAAATTTTGCCACCCTTGCTTGTCTTTATTTCTATTTGTTGATTATCCAGACCTCCTTCTTTTACCGTGTATTTCTTGACATCTTAAAGCAGTCCGTATTTTTTTAAATAGAAAACAAAGTTATTTAGAAACCCCTTAATGAGACAGTTTGGTTGGAAACAACTCGTAAGGTGACGTGCACCGTGGGGACTGCAGTTAGTGACACCGTGTTGCCCAGACCGGGGTGGCTCGGTGGGTGCAGCGTCGCCCTGCAAACCTAAGGTCCCGGTCCAGTGCCTGGTCAGTGCACAGCCCCGCGATACAGGTCATCCCGGTCGTGGTGCCTCCGAAAGAAACTCATCGACGTTTCTCACGTGGATGTTTCTCTCCCTCTTTCTCCCTCCCTTCCCCTTTCTCTCGAAGTAAATAAATAACATCTTTAAAAAAAAAAAGTACATGGCGGGTAAAATGGCTGCTAAGCCCAACTGAAAAGGAAGAGTTGTGCTTGTGTCGATTAGGGAACGAGTTAGGGAGCCTAACGAAGAGCCTCAGAAATCAGGCGCTTGACTACCAGCCTGGAAGCCAGTGGGCGAGGCCGGCGAGGCCTCTGGGTAGCACCGGGGTCCTCGGGGCCAGGGGCCTTCTGTCTGGCGGCCTCGCCGTCCCCTACAGTGGTGCCCTGGTTCGCACGTCACAGCCGGGCGTCTGACACCTTCATAGCTCAAACCCTAGAAGGTGGGGAGAGGGAGGCTCGGGAAAGACCCACATGGCGCAGAGAGAAGGTCTGCTCACGGCCCGGGGCGGCCGAGCCTGTGGTGTGTCACTGCGCACGAGATGGGGAGGCAGGCGACCGCCCAGGCCGGGGCCTCGCTGACATCGGGGAGGCGTTGGTTAGTAAGAGAGGGGAGGGCGTGTGCCCTGGGGTGGGGGTGGGGGCATCACCAGAGTCCTTGCCAAATGGGTGAGAGGGGAGCAGCTCGGGGGGAGGGGAAGTGGCTCCTGATGTGAAGTCTGAATAAACTGCCGCTGGTAAGTACGTGCATTTTTAAAACATGACCGAGGAGAGGAGTCTGACAGGCACCTGCTTCGGCATTCAGGGGACTCGCTGGAGTCAGTGGGAACACGCACTGGCGTGTAAGCAGCTTTGAACCGGAACCAGGCCTTTCTGTCCGCAGGTCGCCCGCCTCTGCCGCAGACCCTCCGAGAGCCCCCGCCGCCCATGGCGTCCGCTGCCGCTGTGCCCGTGGGCTTCCACTACGAGACCAAGTTCGTGGTGCTCAGCTACCTGGGGCTCGCCTTGCAGGGGCGGCGCCTCCCCTCGCCCGCAGGTACTGTCCGGGGCGCAGGGGGCTCTGGGCCGCAGCAGGGGCGGCTCCCCGCACAGAAGGACGTGTGTCCGAGGGGCTGACGCTCTCGGTGTCTGTGCTCAGATGACACCAGGAAGCTCTTAGGGAGTGGCCTCTCTTCCCATCCCCGATCCATTCCCAGAAGCAACTGCTAGGAGTGCCTTTTAAGAGCTGGATGTTTTCTTTATTTATTTGTAAGCCCTCACCGGCGTCCATTTGTTCACTGCTCTCAGGGAGGGAGGTGGGGAGGGGTGAGGGAGGAGGAGGGACGGAGGCATCAGCTGGTGTCTTTCGTGCCCACCCTGGCTGGGGGCTGGAGCGGCCCCCGGGCCTGTCGCCCCAGCACGACCCCAGCGGCCGCCCCGCCGGCCAGGCCAGGGCTGGGCGTGTCAAAGGTCAGCCCCGCTGCGCACACATGACTAGGCTGGCTGTTCTGAGAGAGCGTGTGCCCAGTGCGCTGCGTTAGGACTGCCTGAGGGGCTTTCAGGGTCCACTGCAGTGTAGTTCCTTGGATCGCCTTTTCTCAAGGGTGTTAGATTGAAACAGTGAGGTCTTCTAGCTGCTGATTTTTAAGTTTTTCTAATTTAGTTTTTAATTCTCACTGGAGAATATGTTCATTGATTTGAGAAAGAGCGCGCAGCATGGCTTTGTGGTCCGCCTTCGCTGGCCGATCCCTGTGTACACCCCGACGGGGCCCCACTGCAGCCCTGGCTCGCCGGGGCGACGCTCCCGCCGCCGGAGCGGCCGACCTGGCTTCTGAGTGGCCTCCGAAGCTCATAGGCTCCTGCCTTCCTGCCTCGCCACGCGCACACGGCTGTGTCCTTTGTTGTCTTCTAATCCTTACTGACGTGCACGGAGTTTTTACATCGTCATTAATTATTTGTGAATTTTTTTCACTCAGTTTTGTCTTAAAACATGATTCCATGTTCATCTTCTTTAGTGTATGCGTAGTTTTTTTGTGTTCAGTCAATAGCTCTGCTATGAAACTTGGCGTCTGCTGTGGGGGCCCACCCAGGTCCGGGGCCCACCCAGGTCCGGGGCCCTGGCGGTCGGGCTGAAATGGAAAGAGTTGGTCAAAGTGGGAATCACAAGTAAAGAGTCATACATAAGAAACTTCCGTTTAAAATGTTAAAAAATGTGCATTTATTTAGCGATTTTGAAGTAGGGCCAAGGCTTTTTTTAAATATGGGTCTGTTTACAATTCCCAGTTTATTTCAAGTAGAGTAAGAACATAAACACACGTGTAAAAGTCATCTGATTAAAGACTCATCGTTTATACGATTTCCCCCCATCCTTCTACAGTTGTTTCTCTCACACCCGCTCTGAAATGGTATTTTTAAAGCAACTTCCCAAAATGTTTAACTTGTTTAACCAAGTGTCTTCGTACAATCATACTTCAGTGATGTCTGTGATTTTAAGTAAATTACAGAATTGCAATTTCAACTTCCGTACACAGGCTGGGAGGAAAATAGCCGGCACGCCGCTAGCAGCCGCGGCGGGGGGCGGGGAGCCCGTCGGCAGCCCCTGCCCAGACGGCCGCGGGCCTCTCCGCGCAGCGGGAGGGAGGTTGGTGGCCCTGCTTCCACTGTGCACGGACTTTTTAAAACCTTATTTCTGCTAAATTAGCATCTGGAGTCAGACGGCCCAATCAGAGCAACACTGCTGTCAGGAGCGCCCTGCCGTTTAAAATAAGCAGGTGGCCTGGCCTATCGGGTGTCCTACCAAGTAGTACCTCTGTTAAAGTTCTCAGGCGCTGCCTTAAAAACTGGTCGTGACCCCTGAAACCCCGGATCCCGTTGTTCGGAGCCTCAGGCGTGAGGCGCCGCGAGCCTGTGCGGAGTGTGGCCGGGAGGCCGTGCACCGGTGGGGCCGTGCACCGGCGGCGAGGGGCCTGCCCAGGGGCTGGTGTCTGCGCGGCGCTTCCATCTGAGGGAGGGTTCTGGGGATCGATGTTAGGCAGCCCGCGGTCTTTTTGCCTCTGCCTCCTGGCCCTCTGTGGTGCCAGAGCCGACGGCAGGGTTGGGGCCCGAGCAAGGCAGCCGGTGGCTGCAGCCTGGCGGGCCCGGGAGGGCCACCGAGGCGACGCCGGTCCCCTGCCCCCAAGCCCCACAGGGTGCTGCGGGGAGCCCCTGGGCGGCATCTCCCGCAGGCCCGTCCCCGGGGGCCTGTGGCCTCTCTGTGGCCGCTTCTGCCCGCTTGTGTTGCCGAGGAGGCTCAGCGTCAGAATGGGGCCCTGGGCCTCACTCTCGAGCAAGGGTGGCGGGCCGCTCGGCTCGCCCAGGCGGCCGCTCCTGCCGGGCTGTTCTGCAGGCAGGCCGGGCGGGGGTGCCTTGCGTCTGGCCTGGCCCATGCAGCACAGGGCGAGCGGGGGGTGGGGGGGGTGCCCTTGTGAGTCAAGGAGGCAGACCCCAGAGGGGCCTGGGGTCTCAGACCCACCAGCATCAGGAGGCAGCCCCCTCGCCAGGAGGTGTCGCCAGCCCCCCACCCCCGCCCCCGTGATCCTCCCTTCTGAGCCAGGATGTGGTCCCAGGCCAGGCCGTCACTTGGGCAGCTGGCGCGAGGGCACTCAGACGCCCTGCTGACCATCCGGGGCTCGTGCCAGCTCACTGGCTCAGGGAGCCACCGTGAAGGACAGGTTTCTAAAATCAAAAATAAAAATAAACTGGGACACAGAGTTCACGCCCGGGCCCCGCTGCTATAAACAGGACCTGCCGCCGAGCTGATTGGTGAGGTGTGGGGTGGGCCCGGTGCCCAGCGTGGGAAGCGGTGAGTGTGAGAAGGCAGGCGACAGGAGGCGGCCACTTGCGTGACTCAGGAGTTCGGTCCCATTAAAAATGTCTTTCGTTTTTCCCTGTGAGTCGTGTGCTGTGTACAGACCCTTTTTTATTGCACACTCAAATGTTTATTTTGCAATTACAGCTGACGTTCAGTATCGCTCTGTGTTGGTTGTCGGTGCCCAGTGTGCCGGTCAGACCCTCGCGTCCCCCGCTGCCCCGAGGGCCCGCCCGCGGCCCCCCTGGTTTTCACGGGGTCGTGGGCTCGTTCCCTACGTTGTGCTTCACATCCCACGGACTTTCCGTAAACAGCGCTGGCCCACCCTTGCACAGAACTGCCAGCCCCTCGCGGCAGGGCCGGTGGGCGCAGAGCCGTCACCGGTGAGGGCGCACGTTCTGACTGGCGCCGTCCTGCTGGCTCAGTGTTTGGTGCGGCTGAACGGCCGCTGCTGTGTCCGACTTTGCACGTGTGTACCAACGCAGAGAGTGCCTTGAAGCTGCAGTGATCAGGACAGATTTAACAGTGACACGTTTCTTAATAGGAAGAACACAGTAAAGATTAAATTTTAAAACAGACATTTTTTCTTAGGTTAGGAAGGAACCTTCCTGTGTGGTGATTGGTAATGTGACTATCAAATACATGTGGTTGTGATTCTGATTTATTATTCAACCATTGCACATTAATTCCACATTTTCCTCTCCTCCTTGCAGACCACGATTCTGCTTCCTGCCTTTGTGAATTTGACTATCTAGGCACCTCATTTGAATTAGGCAGTATTTATCCTTTTTTGTCTGCTTCATTTGCATAGCATAATGTCTAAGGTTCATCCGTGTTATAGCACGTGTCAGAATTTTGTTTCTTTTTAAGGCTGAAGAATATGAGGGGGGACCCCCAAAGAACTGGAATCACCTTCTGGAGGGCGGGCCCTGGCAGCCCAGCTCCCCTGCTGGGCGCGTGCTCTGGGAACCATCAGTGTCAGCGACCAGCTGGCGCTGTTGTGAGAGGCTGCGCTGGGCTCCAGTGAATTTCTTGAAGGCTCTTTTGACGTGGTTGCCCACCTCATGAGTGATTCACAAGCCCACCTGCCCACACCATGCTGAGTGCTCAGCAGTTTCTGAAGAAAAGCAGCATGGCCCCCACGCCCCGCCCATTCACCTGATCTCGCCCCAAGTGACTTTTCTTTTGTTTCCATGGATGAAAAAAGTCCTCAGAGGGAAACAGTTTGCCCGTGTGGAAGAGGTGAAACAAAGTCAGAAGCACTAAACGGCATCAAAATCAGTGAGTTTAAAGATTGTTTGGAAGCGGAAAATTCTCAATAGGTGTATTGCATCAAAGGGAGAGTACTTGCAGGGACTGATTTAAACATGTAAGAATAGAATAGGCCACCGCCTCACAGGGCTGCCCGCACCTGCCGTGAGATTCCATGGGTCGGGCTGGACCGCAGCTCCAGGGGCACGGAGCCTTCCGGAGGCCCCGCCCCTTGCTCCCCGCTCGCGGCCGTCTCCTCGCGGGTCCGCCGCCACAAGCAGAAGCTCTGGCGACTGTCCCGGGGTGTGGGGGGTCTGTACCCTTAATCTCACACAGAATGGCTTTTCGTTTTCTTTATTTCTTTTAATTTTTGCCATTTGAACTGACTTCAAAATACACTGATAACTTTGTTTTTTAATTCGGGATTTATATGACTTTCATGTTGTCCTCTTTCCTCAGCGTCCTATCTCCCCAGCCAGGTCCTTTCCGTGTAAATCCATTCATTGCAACCCTCGGAACCTTCGTTACGGAAACAGAAAGGCAGAGGCGCACTGCGTTCCGGAAGCCATGTGATCTTCTTTTAAGAGCTTTATTACATGAGGCGCAGAGAGAGAGATACAGTAGGAAATGTTGTCCATGTCAAATACAGCATTAAGTTTTAAAGCTCTCCCTTAATGTGACTCTGAATAAAAGCTAAGGATATGTCACCAAAGTGCAATTAAAACAAATAGTTAACACTATCTGGAGACCTTGGTTATAGGTATGTAAAATCTAGAATGGAGAGGTATGGAGGGACTACCTGTCAGATCAGGAAGCTTATGAAAAATTAGGTCCAGCAGGCTGTAATCTTCGGCAAGTGTCTGGAATGCTTAGTTCTATGTTTCTGATTAAGGGCAGGGCAAGAGCGGACTAGCAGGGATTAAATTTGACATGTTTCTGCAGAACTTGGAAAGGCTAACCAAAACTTTTCAGCATGGCCGTTACCTTCCTTCTCTTGTGGAAGCAGATTTGAAAGAATATCAGTGTATATAAAGAGGATTCTCTTAAAAACCCTTTGATTCATTGTAGCTCATGACAATAATTGATCAAAATTCTAACATCCTTGAGCATGGCAGAGATTGTCTCAGCCTGGACAAAGTTTGAAGTCAAGCCTCTTAAAGGCAAATCGCACCGGCAAACGCAAAACCATGGAACATCTGGTATTAAGGAACGAAGCTCCTTAGTGAAACTTCTTATACAAATCTATTGTGAACTGTACCCATGATTTTTTATCCTCACCTGAGGACATGCTTATTGACATTAGAGAGGAGGAAGGAGGGAGGGAGAGAGGGAGAGAAACATCGATTGGTCGCCTCTTGTAAGCACCCCGACCAGGGACCAAATCCACAAACCAGGCATGTGCCCTGACTGGGAACTGAACCGACAGCCTTAGAGATAACCAGACGACCCTCCAGCCCACTGAGCCAGAGCTCTAACCTTAAACTTTAAAATGAGACTTCCTGTCAAGATGGCGGTGTAGGCAGACAAGGCTCGCTTCTTCACACAACCACATCAAAATTACAACTAAAATAGAGAACAACCATCACTCAGAATGGTCAGAAATTGAGTTGAATGGAAGTCTGACAACTATTGAATTAAGGAAACCACATCCATCCAGGCTGGTAGGAGGGACGGGTCCCATAGCCACGTGTGATAGATAAAAATCGGGAGGGAGACCTCGGGAGCAAGGAGCCCAGGCTCCCCAGCCCAGGGTTCCCGTGCCAGGAAGGTGAGTCCCCACACAGACTGGCCTGCTCAGACCCCCTCCCTCTGCGCTCCAGCACCGGGGCGGGGCGGGAAGGCACCAGCGGCCTGCGGGGGAGGCTGACGTGTGTGGCATCAGGGCGAGCAGAGGCCATGGTCCCTCTTCTAAACTACCCGCCTTCCCAGAGCCGGCAAGCTGATGTCACTGGAAAGAACAGGATTGATGTTAAATCAGTCTTCCAGTCTGTGTGTCCCTTGTTTTGGTCACGTCATGGCTCATCCCGGAGGTCTCTCTGCCGGGCGCGGTGTAGGCCTCAGCGCCGGTGCAGAGCCGTCTCAAACTGCCAGCTGTTCGGAAAGGGAAGCCGGCCGTGAGGAACAGGCAGCCCTCGAGGTTCGTGAGGAGTCAGTCTGTGAGTGAAACGAACGAGTCTCTGGAAGACAAGCAGGGTGTGATTCCACTTGCGAAGTGCTCAGAGGAGCCCCGATCAGAGCGAGAGACCGCAGCGCCCTGGCTGTGGGGGAGGGCTGGGGAGGGGGGATGAAGGGCTGGGGTCTGTGGGTGTGAAGTCCGAGCTTTCCGAGACGAAGGCTCTGGGGCGCTGGGCGGTGCTGGCAGCGCCGCGTCACGACGCGTTCAGTGCTGCGGGATTCCATGCGCAGCAGTGGTGAAGACGGCAGATTTCACGTGAGGCGCATTTTACCATGAGAAAAATTGGGAAAATAAAGCCTATCTGTAAAGGTAGACTTTTTTTTAAGTTTATTTTCTTTAAAACAACCACCATTCTGCCTGAAATTAACACTTGTAATTTTGCCTAACAATGTCTTTTTCCCCCCAAAGATACAAAGATTTTATTTATTTTTAGAGAGAGGGGAAGGGAGGAAGAGAGGGAGAGAAACATCGGTGTGTGGTTGCTTCTCACGCCGCCCACTGAGGACGTGACCCCGGCAGGTGCCCTGACTCGGAGTCCAACCGGCGACCCTTTGGTTCTCAGGCCGGTGTTCAGTCCACTGAGCCGCTCCAGCCAGGGCAAGACTTTCATACTGACGAGACTTGATAAAGATTACCTCCTTCCTGGGATACCTTGCCTTCAAATTTTGCTTAGTAGGTTGTATCCGTTTCTATGTAATGTTTGGTATTTTTATTTTTTGAAGGATCATTTTCATTACTTTTATGTACAGAGAACTCAACAGTGTGACTCAGCCTGGCAGCGCGTGGCCTCTGCGAGCCACCCTGGGGCGGCAGGCCCCGCCCGTTTGGTGTCTGTCATCGTGATTGGCCCGGAGGGCTGCCCCCCCCCCTTAGCCAGAGCTCTCTGGTCTCCCGAGTTAACCCGTGAGAGCCCAACGGTGGTGCCGGCCTCCCGGGGCTGGACGCCCACCGGCGTTGCCCTTGATGAAGCAGCGGGGAGCCCCCATTTCTACCCCGGGCCCGCCCTGTGGCACCGTGTCATGTGCCGGCCCGACCAGCGGGCCTCCTCTTCTCCCCCAGGCTGGTGGCAGTGCTAACCCCTGCCCGGGGGGCAGGCGAGGACTCCCCCTTTGCCAAGCAGCCCCTGGCCTCGTCCCGGGCCTGTCCTTGCGGGCCGGCGCGCAGCCACGTAGCTGCTTGGTGGTCCGAGGCCTGGGCGGGCGCTGGCAGGGACCGGCCTCTTGCCACCGAGGTCCGGTGTGGCGGGGCCCTTTTGAGAGCGGGTGCGGCCCCCCGGGGGCCGGGGTCCTGTCCAGGGCCAGAACCCTCGGGCCTTTTCCCAGGCGGGGTTTGCCGCCGCCTTGGCCCTCTGCGTCTCCGTGGCACCAGGGCCCGGCGCCCCCTCCTTCCCTTCGGCCTCGCGGGCGACGTGGTGGGGGCTCCTGCAGTGTGTTCGGGTTTTCGTGTGTGTCATTTCACCCAGGGCACGTGTGTAGGCAGAACAGGTACGTGAAGCGCCTGTTGAAGCGAATGCGCGTTATTCCCGGCATCGAGGGGCCCTTCATGTCGCACTTCAAAGAGAAACTGAGGAATTTTATATTTTCCACAAAAAAATATTCTCAGCTCAGAAGGAAAGTTTTTATGTGGCCTAAAGGAAAACTATTTTTGTCAACTTTAAGGTTGAAAACTAAGTGGATCTAAGATACAGAAATGTTTAACCTTTTGTTTTTCCAAGGTATTTTAAAGACTCACAGATGCTATAATAAGTTTATTGACCTAAACTAATACACTTATCTTTGGTTTTTGTTTTTGTTTTTTTTAACTTACTGACTTTTTTAGAGAGAGAAACATCGATGTGTTGTTCCATTCATTCACGCATTCGCTAGCTGATTCCTGTGCGCGCCCTGATCAAGGACTGAACCCGCAACCTTGCTGTAACCCACTGAGCTCGCCAGCCAGGGCAATAAGCTTATCTTCAAATTCAGAATTTTTTTGCTTTCCAAAATGAAAACATATAAGAAGCCTAATCTCTCTTTATGAAACTTGTCAGTGGTCGAAAACAATGATGTGAACTACTGGGAAAGTACCGAAAATGCATCTATAAATATATTTGGAATAGGAGGGGCAGGCAGTGTTGTATTTGGGTCCAGCGTTTCAGAAGAAACAATGAAGTTCTCCAAATATCTGAGGCAGAAGTTAGTAAACCGGCAGGCGTCCGGTCCGCCTTTCTCCCCCAGACTCCTGGCCTTGGGTCTCCACCCTGTGCCAGAGGCCCAGGGCTCCCCTTGCCTTTTACCGCCTGAGGGCGGTCACGGTTTCCTTCCGGGGAGGGCAGGAGTCTTCTGATGATAACAGGCTTTCTCTTGGGCCGAAGTTTGCATGAAGATGAGGGACCGTGAAGGTCAAAGCAAAAGATAGTGTCACGGGTCTGAGCCGACAGGTGTCCGCTTCTGTCACATCACAGACATTTCTGAGCGCGATCCTCCCCGGCCGCGTCCAGCGACGCACGCCGCAGGCACGAGGGGCTCTGCCCCCAGCTGGCCGGGTCCAGCCTCGCTTCTCCCGGCAGCGGTGGGGCTGGCCCGGGCCCCTGCCCCCTTTTCTAAGCCTCTCCCGGCCGCCAGCCTTCACAGTGTGTTGTAACTTTATGTTTTTGATTAATAGTTAAAGTGCTGCCCCGGCTTTAATGGCTTCTCTGTCCCTCTGTTGGTAATAACCTTTTCGTTGTTTTCAGGAGTTCAACAAGATGTAGCTTCACAGCCTCTGGATCGAGAAGTTTTATTAAAAGTAAAAACTGAAATTGAAGAAGAGCTAAAATCCCTGGACAAAGAAATTTCTGAAGGTCTCTTTATTCTTACTTTCCTAGTTAATTAGAAGATTGTTTGCTCCGATTTATTGTTGGTTTAATTTGATATTTTACAGTAGAGTATTCTCAGCATTGCCCGACTCGACTAGCATGGGGTTACAAGGGGAAACTAGTGGCCTCTCACCCTTCTTTCCGGGGGGACCTGCACCCACCCGAGGGCTCCCAGCAGTTCCCACGCGGCCTGTTCGGGGGCTGCGTGCTGGGCCGCAGCGTTCCGCTGGGGCCGTCTCCCCTCAGCGCAGCCGTGAGGACAGCGCTGAGGGGCAGAGTCGGCAGCCTGCCTTCAGGTGTGCGCCTGCCGTGCCGGCCTGCGGCTGCGATGTGAGAGCCACGCGCTTTCTGCTTTGCGTTCCATGGTGAGCTTTTAAAACAGTCACCATTTTACTAACTGTGGAATTCTATATATTCAATGACTGTTCCATTATTCCCTTAGTATTGAGAGGAATTTGGGTTGTTTCTTGTTTTGGTTTTGATAAATAAAGATGCATGGGACATCTTTTTTTTTTTTTTAAGATTTTATTTATTTTTAGAGACAAGAGAAGCGAGGGAGAGAAACATTGAAGTGCAAAAGATGCATCTTGGTTGCCTCTCGCGCACCCCAACCCAGGCCTGTGCCCTGCCTAGAAATTGAACTGAAAACCTTTTGGTTCCCAGGCCGGTGCTCAGTCCACTGAGTCATACCAGCCAGGGCAGATGCATAGGACACGTTGCCCAATGATTTCCTTTGTAGATTTACTTTTTTTTTTTTTAAAGAGATTATTTACTTTTAGAGAGAGGGGGAGGGAAGGAGAAAGAGGGGAAGAGACACATTGCTGTGCAAGAGAAGCATTGATCGTTTGCCTCTTGCACGCCCCAAATCGAGGACCTGGCCCACAACCCAGGTGTGGGTCCTGACCGGAATCAAACTGGCCACCTTTCGGTTTGCGGGAAGATGCCCAGCCTACTGAGCTACACCCGTAGCTTTGTTGAGATATATTTTACATGCAATAAAATCTGCCCATTCAGAGTGTACAAAGTGTTCAACCATCACCACAATTTAAATTTAGAATATTTCTTAAATTCCAAAAAGAAGCACTAGGCACATCAGCAGTCACTTCCCACACCCCACCCCCACCCCCAGCCCCAGCCCCAGCCCCACCTAATCTCTTCGGTCAGATCTGCATCGGCCTGTTAGGGGCAGGCAGGGCAGGCACGGAAATGGGGCCCTGCACTCTGTGGCCTTTGCGACTGCCTTGCCTGCGGCGCGGTTTCTCCGAGGGCCGTCCGAGCGGCCGCGTGGAGCAGCACGCCATCCCGGTCTCTGGTGCAGTGGTTCTCCATCATGGGGAGACGCCGCCTCTTGTTTCCCTCTCATCAGCTGAGGGGCAGTCAGTGGGCCCCACTTTTGGCTGTTATGTGTGATGCTGCTGTGGACATTCTTGCACAGTCTTTGTGTGGGTATGTATTGCCCAGTAACTTTTAACAAGAAAAATTATAAATCATGTTTATAATAATCAGTTCCCCATTCGTGGAGAAGAATAGGAGTAGAAATTTACAAGTAATCCAGAAAAAGTTCCAATTCTATTTTAAGCCTTCCTCCACTTCTGGCAGCAGTACTTACACTCATAAAATAGGCAAAAGAAAGAAAAAAGCAACAAAGTTTTCATTGCATTCACCTCCTTGAACCCCCATATTAACAAAGACTGGCCATTATATTGGCGCACCCAGACTTGCTCAGACAGGCAAACACTTGTGAAGTTGGCGGCCATTCGCATCTTTCTTGGAGGAAGCACTTTGTAAAGAATAGTGGACTTAACACTGGTAGAATTCACGGCCTTCCAGGAGCAAGCCTTCAATGAATGCAGACGTTCTTGGGAGCAGGTGCAGCTGCCTGCCCTCCTGGAGTCGGTGCCCTGAGCCCCGTGTGTCCCTGGGGCAGCGACTCCGCGCGGCTGCGGAGCCTGTGCGGGAAGCCCAGGAGGACTGGCTGGGATGCTTCCTCCACGTGCCACTCCTGTCCCCGTAACCCTTCAGGTTTAATGTGTACCCACGTGCAGGACTGTGGAGCCAGAAAGTGTGTTTGGAAAAGAAACCAGTGCCCTGGCTGGCGTGGCTCAGTGGATTGAGCACCAGCAGCCTGCAAACCGAAAGGTCACTGATGTGATCGATTCCCAGGCAGGGCACCTGCCAGGGTTGAGGGCCAGGTCCCTCGTAGGGGGGCGCAAGAGGCAACCACACACTGATGCTTCTCTCCGCTTCCTCCCTCCCCCTTTCTAAAATAAATCATAAAACATTTTTTTTTCATTTACTTATTTTAGAGAGAGGAAGTGGGGGGAGAGAGACACCGATTTGTTGTTCCCCGGCTCTCACACTCTCGGGTCGAGTCCCTTGTGCGCCCTGACCGGGGTCGCGCCCACAGCCGGGGCGCCGGGGGCGGCGCTGTGGCCCGCAGCTGCCCGGCCAAGGCCCGTTTGTCCACCTGACACGACATTGGTCTGTAGTAATGTACTGCATTGGTTTGTGTATCTTGACATCTCAGTTTAGTCTTTTTCTTCTCTTAAAACTAAGATTTTCCAGAAAACGTTTCCTTTAAAACTCTAAATTTAGGACCAAAGATTAACAGTCCGTAGTGACCCTCCGGCCCTTCAGAGGGCGGGGCGGGGCGGGGCGGGCAGCGCGCTCCAGCGGCGGGGTCCCCTCCCCCCACCCCCGGGGGCTGCTCTGCGCTAAACCCGCTGCCTCCGCCCTGTGTCCAGCCTTCCCCAGCACAGGCTTCGACCGGCACACTTCGCCCGTGTTCAGCCCCGCCCACCCGGAGAGCTCCGTGGAGGACTGCTTGGCGCGCCTGGGGGAGCGCGCGGCCCGCGAGCTGCAGGAGCCCCTGCGGGCGGCGCTGGAGACGCTGCTCCGCCGGTGAGTGACCCCGGCCCGCGCGGCCCGCCTGCGCGCGGCTGCGCTCCGCGCCCACCGCCTCGCTTCTCTCAGCCCTTCCTTTTCTCCGCTGCTTCTCCTTTGCTTCCCCAGAGCATCTGTGTGTGTGTTATGAGTGGCAGCTTTCGCACCAGAGAAGCGGTTTAACCCTCCCCCTGGATTCGAGTTGCTTCCTGTTGAGCTGTGAGCGGCCGTCGCTCTGTCCCGCCCGCAGCCGACACAGAGATGGGGGCCGGGCTGTGGGCCTGGGAGCGGGGCTCACGCTCCGTGTTCCCGGCGCCCCGAATGGGGTGGGCTGCGGGGGTGCGCATCTGCCCGTGGAAGTCCTGCCGCTTCCTGGGGTGGGAGCCCCCGCGCGGTGGCTCCGGCTGTCAGAGCTGCGGCAGGGCGCTCACGGAGGAAGGGGCTGAAAGAGCCAAGTCACTTACTATGAGCCGTAAGAATCCATTTCCCCCAATTCTTGGCTCAGAATCACTGTGGAATGGGCATGAGTTAGGAAAAACATTTGTTTTAATGAAGATTAACAACTATCTAAAATAGGATGACGACTGTCTTTCGCTAAAAGGGCCAAAATTCAGAAGCTAAGTTGCCCTTGCAGTCGGGTTCTTCCTTGATTTGCGTAGGAAAAGCCATACGTTACCGTTTACTAGAAGGAAGCACCGTGGGTTTAAGGCGAGTTCAGCTTGTTCCCGCGTGTCCTGGCGACACACGCAAACGCGAGGCCCCCGCCTGCCGGGGGGGAGTGGGGGGACCCCGCGCGTGGGGCTCTCGCCCTTCTGCGCACACGGCGCAGGGCGAACGTGGAGATGAGGGCGGTGGGCGGGCGTCGGGAAGTGCAACCGCTCAGAAGCCTAGGGGCGGGGCGGGCCTGGCGGGGGACCTGGGCGCAGAGGGCTCGCTGCTCTTAAACTGGGGGGGCGGGGCGAAGGGGGCAGGGGGAGCGGGGCGGGGTGGGGGGCGCGGGGCGGGCCTTCCGCGGATGCTCCCTGTTGATGTGTCACAAGCTGAAGGCAGTTTGTCTGCCCGAACAAACCCTGTGAAAGCTACTGGGACTGGGAATAAAATAACTGAGATGTGCAAGACAAAAAAAGTCTGTTTCCAATTTTGATACAAACGATCTCAATTTATCCATCTGATAATTTTAACTTTACTAGGATATCACAGGCTCTCTGAAGAACAATATTATATAGTTTTTTTAAAAGTATTATTTTTGGAGTCCTTTTTATAACGTACCAGAAAAATTGATGTCTTCCCACTGCCAAGTAAGTGATATTTTAAAAAATCTTGTCTTTGCCCAGGCTGATGTGGCTGAGTGGATTGAGTGCCGGCCTGTGATCCAAAGGGTCACTGGTTCGATTCCCAGTCAGGGCACGAGCCTGGGTTGCAGGTCAGGTCCCCAGCAGGGGGCGTGTGAGAGGCAACCACACGTTGATGTTTCTTTCTCCCTCCCGTCCCCTCTCTCTAAAAATAAATAAATAAAATCTTATAAAAAAATACCCTTGGGGCATACCCGTAGACCTTGCCTGACTGTGCTCATGGCCAGGCAGGGGGGACAGTGTATGCAAGAGTAATGTGGAGTTTGTGCCAGCTCTAGCCATCTTATTCGATGGCTGGATAAGTTGCATTACTTCAACATTCTTAAAAAAAAAAAAAAAAAAATACCCTTGTATTTGACGAATATTCAGTTTGTTTTTTCTTAAAACCCTGATTACAGATACAATTATTTTTGAAATTGGTATGTCTGGTTGTATATCAATGATAGACCCCTGAATACATTTTTTTTCAGAATTATTTTTCTTTTTTAGTATTGCATTTATTCTCAGTATTTTTTTTCTACTCAAAGATAAATATTTGTACTGTTAAGACACATGTTAAGCCCTGGCTGGTGTCGCTTAGTGGACTGAGTGCCAGCCTGTGAACCAAAGCGTTGCCAGTTTGAGTCCCAGTCAGGGCACAGGCCTGGGTTGCGGGCCAGGTCTCTGGTTGGGGGGGCGCATGAGAGTCAACCACACGTTGATGTTTCTCTCCCTCTCTTTCTCATTCCCTTCCCCGCTCTCTAAAAATAAGCAAATAAAATCTTTTTTTTAAAAAAAAAGACACGTTACGATGTCCTATTTACAGAATCTAAAGGATAGCAAATGGCAAATAGTAAAGCACATTTTCAGTTTTTAAGGAATAGCGAACCCTGTTTAGCAGTCAAGAAGAAATGCTCTGTTAGACTTTAGCCAATTTTGAAGAAAATAATTGTGATTATCAGAAATATACTTTTGAATGTCATTACTGCTATTATTAGTACCTTGAAAATAACTATCTGATGATGAACCGTAATTACCCTTTGGGTTTGTGGCAGCATCTTTTAAGGTGGAAATGACCACCTTCCCCAGTTTTGTTCTGGGAATTTAATCCCCACCTCTTCCTGTAGGAGGAGCCTTTTCAAAACTTTCCTGCTACCCCCCCACCCCTTTTTCTTTTTCTTCGTTTTTAAAATGTATTTTTTTTTTTTTTAGACAGAGGGAAAGGGAAGGAGAACATGAGGGAGAGAAACATCGACTGGCTCTCTTGTACCCACCCTGACCAGGAGCTGAACCCACAGCCCAGGCCTGTGTCCTCACTGGGAATTGAACCTGCGACCTCTTGCTTTATAGGGCGACGCGCCAGCCCCCTAGGCACACCAGCCAGGGCTTCCCTTTTCCTTCGCTCTGTTTCACATAGCTAGCTCATCAGATAGGTCTTATTTTTCGGCTACTTCCTTTTCTGTGTATTAGATTTCCTTTGAATGTTTTAATCTGCTGGATTGTTTATTTGCATATATGTGTGTACATACAATGTTTCAAGTCCTTTCATTCTGAAGGAAGCTAAAGTACTCTAGCCTGATAGGCAAACTACCAGCAGGGCCCACCGGCTGCACCAGCAGCAAACGGCCCAGGAAAGGGAGTGAAGGGGCTGAGTCATCTGGGCCGGCACCTCCCGAGGCCTGCTGACGTTCGGCTGCCACCGGCGCCACGCCTGCTGACGTTCGGCTGCCACCGACGCGTAGTGTTTAGTCCAAGGCTTCTAACGAACACTGAGCTTGCTTTGTTGAGGATATGGTATCAGGAATGTATCATACTATCAAAAAGGTCATCCCTGGTATCTTAACATCGCTGTAGTATTGATTTTATTTTGATTTGTATAAAAGGATACCTGCGTCATCAGAACATTTTTTTAATACTAGATTTACTTTTTTAAAAAAATTCGTTGATTTTAGAGAGAGAGGGAGGGGAGAGAGAGAAACATCAGTTTGTTCTTCTGCTCATTTATGCACTCCTTGGTTGATCCCTGTATGTGCCCTGGCTGGGGATCCAGCCCACAACCTTGGCACATTGGGACGACGCTCTAACCCACCGAGCAGCCCGGCCAGGGCTCCAGAACCTTTCTCCAGAAATATCTAAACAAGCACCGTCCGAGAGCTACAGTGTGGGTTGCATATATGTAAGTAAAAAATTGTTAGCAGCCACATAAAAAATTAGATTAAATTATGATTTTTAATAATATATTTTACTTAACATATTCAAAATTCAGTTTTAACATATGCTCAAAGTAACAGCTTATTAATGAGACACCTGACATTGTTTTTCTCTGGCGGAGCCTTGGCGATCTGGCAGGCGCAGCGCGCTCTCTGCGCTTCACGAGCCCCCCGCAGGTGCACTTCAGCCACGGCGGCATCTGGGCGTAACCAGGGCAGGGCCAGCGTCCGCGGTCCACTCGGCGGCGCCCCTGGTTGGGATAGATCCCCACGTTGCTCCGTGCCAGCTCTGTGGGTTTGGGATAATCTCTTAGCTTTCCTGAGCTTCAGTTTCCTAGTATTTAAAATGGTGATCTGAAATATAAATGTATGAAAATGTAAGCCCTAACAACAGGCTACTGATAACAACTGGTCACTGTTACCAGTCGCCTGTGTTCGCAGGCTGAAGAGATCACAGACCAGAGTGGTCAGAGCAGAAGACACCCTCGGATGGACTTTAAAAGGAGACTGCTCTCCTTTTTATATGCATGCTGGTCTGTCTGCAAAAAAGGGGAAGAAAATTTTATTAAATCTATTCCTTGAGCTATTGATGCCTTCGTATGTTGCTTGTTAATACTTGTAAAAGTAAGGCATTTTTATTGTTAATTTGCACAAGAAACCAAGACTTAGAACATGTGGCGCTTGGGGCCCCCCAGTAAACCACTGAGTGACGTTGCCGTCACTGACCGGCTGAGCCCCGGCAGGGCGGGGCGCCCAAGGCCACGGTCCGGGGGCTTGTCTCTGCCCTCCAGGGCATTGGTCAGGAGACACCACGTTAAAAATAGCCCCCACCCGCTAGCCTTGCTCATGCCACCTTCCATGCTCAGTTTGAAAAGTCTTCCAGTGACATGGCTCTTCAATTTCTAAGTATTTTAGGGTTTTTGCCTTTAAAAAATTAAAATTGTGCTTTTAATTTTAAGATAATTTTATCATTTGATCCTATGTGAATAATCCAAGTGTTTATCTACAACATAGAATCCCAGTTGGATAAGTTTCAAGCAGTTATAAACGTTTGTTATTTATTATTACTTGTTACGTTAGCTGCCTGCCGGCCTGTAGAGAATGCGTGAAGGGAACCGCGCACCGTCTCCTACACACAGTGTGGTGGGCAGCCTTGGTTGCTTTCCCCAGAAGTTCGCACAGCGTTCGAGGGGTGACTGTGTGTTCATTCGTCTGGAAATGTGGGATTTTCCTCCCGAGTGACTCTGACTTTTGAACTGACCCCGCAGGCCAGTGACGTACCAGACGTACCAGGAGTGCGCGCTGGAGACCGTGGGGCAGGCCGGCGGCTGGAACAAGGTACCGGTCACCTTCTCCTATGGGGCGTCCGTGTGCCCACGGCGCAGGGCAGGGGCTGCCGGCGGCCCCCGGGGGAGGACTCAGCGCGCTCCTGACGCGGAAATCCCACCATGTGAAGTGGGGGTTTTTGATTGAAGTAGCTTTTAGGTTAACGCTGCAAGGTCCTGCCCATCCCCAAAATGTGTGTGTCCTGCTGTAAGCCACGCGTCTCCTGCGTGCCCCGGACCCCCCCAGGCGCTTCCTTCCCCACGAGGCACCCTCCCTGCCCGCCCACCCTCCGCCCTCTGCCCTCCGCCCTGGGTTTGCCTTCCACGTGTCCATGGAAGTTCGGTCATGTCGTGTGTAACTTCAGCCCCTTTTCACATGTGGGCTCCTCTCCCCCCTTTCTCTCTCCGACTCACTCGCATGCTGTCTGTCCCCTGGGCCTGTGGACCGTGCCGTCAAGGCGCCGTGTCCCCGACTCCAACGCGGCGACTTGTTTCCACAGGTAGGGGGTCCGTGGCCCGGGCGCGTCGGGCTTACCGTTGGTGGCAGCCTTGCTGCTGCCCCGTGTTGCCACCCGCGTTGCCCTGGGTGGCGGCAGCGCCCGGTGTCCACCTCTGTCTGGGGTTTCGTTTGGCAGCAGGTGGGCCGGAGATGTCAAGCCCGATGGAAGGAGTCTGCAGACAAAGGTTTTACTAGAGTTGCTGAGGCGCGGATTGTTCAGTTGTTGATGTGGGGCCAAACCGCCACCCCACCTCTCTTCCCCTGGGAGGCCCCGGGAGCTGTTTGGTGCACCTTCGCCCAGACTGGCTCGCGTAGTTGTCAGCCGGGGGTGGGGGGTGTTAGCAGAGTCCGGCTGCTGGAAGGAGAGGCAGTGGTATTTCGTGGTCAGAGATACCTTAGGATTGTGTCACAAAAGTGACTGAAGAAGAAAAGACCCGCATGTGCTGTGGGGGTGGCCGCCCTCCGGTGCCGCAGAGAGGAGTTCGAAGGGGAAGGGGCAGGGCTTGCTCTGCAGCCCTCGAGAGACGAGGACAGTAGGGCCTCCTAGGCATGGACGCGTGGGAATCCAGTTTTATTCCAGCACTTTTTTAATCCTGTGGGAGGGGAGCTCAGAAATGTGTCAGGTGTGCAGCTGGGATCAGTCGTGTGCAGAGCCCGCTCCCCGCGGGCGGGGCTCGGTCACGGGAAGAACCCGTGAAGCGGCGGCCGGAGCTGTGCTGGCGAGGCAGCGGCCTGGGGGTTGCACCCGGGGTTGCGCTGGGCCCGCCCCTGCCCTGCAGGCCGGGGAGGGAGGCGCAGGGGGTCAGCGAGGGGCCGCCCTGCCCAGAACTTCGGCCCAGAGACTGAGAGGGAGCGGGACTAGGGACTAAAACTGAGGCAGCAGTGAAGGAGTTAGAGCCGTGTCTCCAGGGGGCTGCTCTTCGGGGAGAAGGAGGGGCATACGGCCATGAGGCACCTGCAGCTTACTTCCCTGGGCAGTGATGGAGCTCGCGCAGGAAGCCCTTTAGAGGGCCGCATGTGCGCAGCCAGGCGCGGTCCCTCCCGGCCTTTGTTGGCTGTGAGGGGATGTGTCAGTCCCCAGGCCGCTGTCGCTGCTCCTGCCGAGTCGGGGTGCGGGGCTGGACGAGCAAGACGTGGCTTTGTTTTAACAGTGTGGCAGGTGTTTCAATCATGGAAAACCCTAATGCTTTCTTCCTTGTAGCCCTAGGCCCTCCGCAGTGTCAGGAAGAGGCTGTCAGCGCGCCCTGGGCTGGGGTTATTTTAGGGCGTCCGCCCCCCAGGGCCGCTTCTCCTTCGACGCCGAAGAGTATCGGCGTGAATGCGAACTTGCTGTCGCTTCTGCTTGTCTTCTGCAGGAGTATTTTGCAGTTTTTCACTTATTACTTTGGCAATTCAGTAGCAAGAAATTGGAATTGGTTTAATTTCCTTTTGCATTTCTTTTCCAGTCATTTGTATACTTCTTGATGTTTTAGAAAAAAAGAGGTTGCATGCAGATGGTTAACTGAAAATGCTTAGGGCTTTTTTTTTTCAGTAGACCATTTAGGGGGAAGGCAGGGAACTATGATTAGTTTCTGTCATAAACTTTGATGATGTTAAAATACTGAGCCATGAGGTTATTAGGGATGATGATAATGCCTCCCTTGGTTTTGGTGACTTTTATAAGGTAGCTCAACATTTTGACAGTTCTCATTTTCAGATATATAGGGATTGGCAAAAGTAGGTTTACATTAATAATGCAATAACTAATAAACAGCAACACAAGCATAAAACTGTTTTGCGTGCCCTCGACTGTAACCTGCTCTTTCCCACCCCAGAACGGCAGGCGCGTGGCGTACAGTGCACAAAGCACAGGCAGCGAGCGGCGCCGCGGCCAACGCCGTCCGCCTGCCGCCAGCGGCCCGGGCCCCCTGGGCGCGCGCTCCCGCGGTTGCCTGTGTCGGGGCGTTTCCCCGAGACACTGTGGGATTGTGCAGACACCTGTGTTTGTTTTGTGTCTTTTACACAAAAGCCACGATTATCGTACACACTCTCCAGGATCTTGCTTTTCTCGCCGACGGTGAGTGTGGGCGGCTGGGCGCGGAACAGGCTGACGGGCCGCGCGGCGGTGCGGCGGCCTCCGCGCTTCCTCTGCGCCCGTGGAGCGGCGCGCGCAGCGGTTTCTCTGCGCTAATTCTCTCTGGCCCCCAAGGCAGTGGCCCCACCGCTGTCATCTCCTGGCCCGTGAGCCGACTCCACAGGGCCCGCAGCATGCCGAAAATGCATGTTTTTGCTAATCTCACAAAAAATAGTCCCGATTTGGATCCGTGCGCACCGGACGGCGCTCGTCGTACTGGCTGCTGCCGTTTTCCCGTGTGACGGTCTGACGGGAAGGGGCCGCACCCTGCGGCCCGGTGCTGCCAGTTTCAAACGGGCTTGTGGCGCAGGGGCGGAAATCGCTGCCCTCAGGCCCGAAGCCGCCGGCCGTTGTTCGCGGCAGGGGCCGCTGTTCCAGTTCCCTTGCTGCAATGAAAGCGGGACTCCCTCGCGACGCGTCTGTGCTGCCGTCCCGCAGTCGGACGCTGGGGGTCGGGCCGCGAAGCCTCGTCTCTGCTCTCACTCTCTCCTCTTTGCGTTGAAGGTCCTGGCGCCCCTGGTGTTGCTGCAGCGCCTGCTGCTGGAGCTGACGCGCCGCGGCCAGGAGCCCCTGCGCACGCTGCTGCGGCTCGGGGTCACCTACCTGGAGGACCACGCGGCCGAGTTCATCGTCCGGCAGGGCGGCTGGGTACGCGCTGCGGCCTTTGCGGCCTTCCCTTTAAAAATATTAAGTATAGATTTAATATCGTGAATATTATCATTTAACGTTACCTAATACGGGTTGCATGACGACCCATGGGGAGGCTGTTCTACAGTTTCAGTTAAACTGCTCAGATTTCACACGTCGTAAGCGGATGTGTGGCGTTTTTAAGCCGTTCTAATCATGTGTCCCAGCCCCCGTCAAGCTGGTTGAACGTCTGCTAAACTCAGGTTCCCGGGAGGCAGCCAAGCCCGTGTGTGTCCCCACCTTGTTTTCTGCGAAGTCACGGTCGGCGTGAAACAGTCACGCAGGGCGCCCGCCCTCCGGGAGCGCCCGGCCCGGGTCTGGCGTGTGGCGGGGCCGCCTCTGGAGGACGCGCCTTCAGTCCCGTGGTGTCTCGGGGAAGAGATGCGAGAGGAGGGGGAAGTGTAATTGCCTGGCAAGGGTGTTATTTCAAGCTGCTTTTTTACTTTTTAAATTTTTTCTGTCTAGATGGTATTTTATTTTATTTTTTTACTTCTACTAGCATTTATTTTTATCCTGAATTTGCTCCTGGGCACCAAGTTTTTGTTTCTTCGTTTTCTTCTGGGATACCTTTTTCTTCTGTGCAGCCCCCCACTCTGGTTCGGGAACCACCTGCCCTTCCTCGGCAGGCGTCGCCTGGACAGGGACAGGGCTCCCCGAGGGCTGCGCCGCGTCCCTGCCCCGGAGCCTGTCCGCCAGGTGCTTGGTGGCCAGAGGGCCCGCACCTGCGCCCTGCCGCACAGCCTTCTCCTCCGCGCTTCTAAGCACGTGCAGCAAAAATTCAGCACGGTGCCTGGGCCACCGTCCCTGCTTCCTGCCCCGTGTTCGCACAGGGCGCACCTGCCCGCTCCCCGACCGCCAACAGCAGAAGGGCACGCGTGGCTTCTGTAAAGCAACACCGTTAGGTGCTTGGCGTCTTTTGAGCACGCACAGCCGTGGTGGCCCAGGCAGGTTCAGGAGTGTGGTGGGGTGAACGCACAGGTCGAACCTCTCAATGTGCGTGATTTTGTGGCGCAACCTCTGAGAATGAATTGCCGAGTCAGTTTCAGAGGGCGCATTGGGCTGCTCACGGGAAGAGAGCAGACGGCACTTAGAGTGGCTCTGTCCCCTGCTCACGCCTCCAGAAATAGTAGCGACCAAAGCGAAACGGTGACGACAGAGACAGCAATGGGAACGGCCCCATTTGCTGCCTGCTTGCCGTGCACAAGGCGCGAGCCGAGCACTTGGAGCACCACATCCAGTTCTGTGGCAGTTTTCCCACGTGACCGGTCCTGTTTCCTTTATGAAGGAATTGGAGCGTACAGACAGTTAAGCAGGACGTCTGGGCCGCAGAGCCGTGCCGGGGGCACGGGGCTCAAGCCGACACTTCTCGCTGCCACGCGGCTCGCCTCTCCGCCTGCGTTCATTCTGGACGACGCGATGCCTGGCAGGACCTCTTCCTGAGACTGGAAGGGGGCACTCGGAAGTTGACGTTAAGGCCCCGTGATTTGCTTGGCTGTATTCCTCGCTTCCGTTTTGTGGGGCGGTTAGGGGGACTCCTGATTTAGACCCTTGGTGTGCACAGAAAGCTGCTGGTCTTGACTGAAGAGTGGAATTAGTCTACGTTGCACATCCTCGCCGCCCCCCCTGCAGCACGCACGAGTGCCACCCCGACGTCCTGGAACGCTCGCTGTAGAGCCCCAGCGCGATGCTCCGGCGGCTCTCTTCCTGTCTTTCTGGACACGCCCGACCTCTGGGCTCCCCAGGCACCCTGTGCACGCACCTGCCTGACACCTGGCCACACAGAAGTTCACGACTCACATGCCGGTCTTCCCATCTAGACGCTGAATTTTTTTTTTCAAGATTTTATTTTGAGAGGGGAAAGGAGGGAGAGAGAGGGAGAGGCACATCGATGTGCGGTAGCATTTCGTGCATCCCCTGCTGGGGACCCGGCCTGCAACCCAGGCCTGTACCCTACACTGGGAATTGAATCAGCGACCCTTTAGTTTACAGGCCAGCATTCAATCCACTGAGCCACACCAGCCAGGGCTAGACGCTGAATTTTTTAGGAACAAGAATCACGTCTTGTTTGTTCTTACGACTCTGGTGCCTAACGCCGCTCGTCCAAGGCCATAGGCACACAGTGGGTCCTGTTAAACTAGACAGTTAAATGTGGAAATGAAAACCAACACTGCTTGCTTTACAAGAGCCCCGCGTTCTGGTGCCTGGCGTTCTGCCGCAGCCACAGAGCAGTGGCAAGGCGGGTGGTGGCCGCTGTGTAGCACAGACGCCGCGGACTAGCCGCCTCCCTGCTCCCTGGTGAGGGAGGTGCATGTTGCCGGGCTGCACCGCCATCCTCCCCGGCCCTGCCTGGACTGCACGTCCTGTTCTCCTCCACGTGCCCTGCACCCGGGGTAACCGGGGCTGCTTCCCGCTCCCCTTTTCCCCTTCTGTGCTTCTGCTGGCGCTGCATCTTCTGTGTGGCTTTCACCGTGAACGCTTCCCTGGCCTGCAGATGCCGGGAGGATGCACATACTGGTTCCCCCACGGCACTTTCCATCGCCTCCCTGCCCCCTCCAGCCTGCACCAAAAAGTCATTTCTCCATCTGAACCCTTTGTTTTTTTGACGTTTTTAAAATTTACTTTTAGAGAAAGGGGAAGGGAGGGAGAAGGAAACATCAGTGTCTGAGAGATACATCGATTGGCTGCCTCTCGTGTGCCCCCTCCTGGGGACCTGGCCTGCAGCCCAGGCCTGTGCCCTGACTGGGGACTGAACCTGCAGCCTTCTCTGTGCAGGCCGCGCGCGGTCCCCTGAGCCGCACCAGCCAGGCTCCACTGGACTCTTCCTGGTGCTCCAGGGCATGGTGGTGTTTTTGTGCTGCACTTAGTCGTCACATCCTTGAGAGCAAGTTTCTAGCCTTGTTTTCTCTGCTAGTTCACATTATTTGTTGTATTGAATATATATAAATTTAATTAAATGTGAAATAACTTTTTTAGCTTCAAGGAAACTAGTTAGAGGACCATCTCTTAAAAAATTTTTCCTCTTCATTGATCTACAAGTAATGCATTTAATCCAGAAAGTACCGTATGTTTAAACGATGTATCGTGTTTGTTCCTGGCACTTCAGTTCAGGAAGGAATTTTTGCTCCAGATTTATGTTTAAATGGTGTTCACCCTTCCTTGTGTTGACTCTCCTGCTCCTTTTCCAGGGCACTGTCTTTAGCCTTGACTCGGAGGAGGAGGAGGACCCGGGGGTCATCGCCGAGGACAGCAACGACATTTACATCCTGCCTAGCGACAACTCTGGGCAGGCCAGCCCCCCGGAGTCTCCCACGGTGACCGCCTCCTGGCAGGCGGAGAGCCTGCCCGTGTCCCTGTCCGCCAGCCAGAGCTGGCACACCGAGAGCCTCCCGGTGTCCCTGGGGCCCGAGTCCTGGCAGCAGATTGCCGTGGACCCGGAAGAAGTGAAAAGCTTAGACAGCAACGGGGCTGGAGAGAAGAGCGAGAACAACTCCTCCAACTCGGACATCGTGCACGTGGAGAAGGAAGAGCTGCCCGAGGGGGCGGGGGAGGCTGCCGCGGCGCCTCTGGTCTCGTCAACCAGGGGGCTGCTAGAGGCGTTCCCGGAAGCCCCGGCCCCCTCGCCTCTGCGGATCCCTGCCACCTCCTCGCTGCAGATGCGGGACCCCGACACAGAGGCAACTGCCGCCGGGAAGGTCAGCCTGGCGCCCTCCTCGGCCGCAGAACCTGGTGACGCAGAGGAGCAGGCAGTCCCCGCGCTGGAGCCCACGGGCACGCTGCGGAGTGAGGGGGCGGAAGCAGGGAGAGGGCGTCTCCTGGCCGGGCTGTCCCCGGCGGGCGAGGAGAGGGCCCTGCCGCCTGCCAGGGGCACGGCCACACTGCTGTTCGGAGGGGCTGCCGCTGTCGCCGCCCTGGTGGTGGCGGTCGGAGTGGCACTGGCTCTGAGGAAGAAATAGCCTGTCTCTCAGGAGGGAGGGACAGCGAGGTCGCTAGGTTTCATCTGTGCTGACTGACTCAGCTGCCAACAGCTGCCTGCATGGCCACAGAGCACGCGCGAGTCCCCGGGGCGGGAGGGGGCGGCTCTCAGGGGCTCCGGGTGACTCTCGGTCCCTAGGGCCATGGCTCAGGCTCGACTCCGGGGCTCAGGAGCAAAGTCCTCCGCTGGGCACGGGTTCCCGAACCTCTGCACCGCGGTGTCTCGATCACCCTTCACTGTGGGAAGCTGTCCTGTGCGGTGCAGGATGTGGACCAGCATCCCTGGCCTGCACCTGCCACATGCCTAGCTCCCCGCCCCCAGTCGCGACAGCCCAGAGTCCCTCTGGGCATTGCAAGTGTCCCCTGGGGGTGAAGCTGCTGTCCCTGCGGAGCCACTGTGTGTGGGGGGGTGAAGTTAGGAGCCTTGGGGTGGAGGGCCCCTCAGCCACGGGTGGCCCTGCCCCCCGACGCCCTCGCTCCAGACGCCCCACGCCCTCCTGCAGCCCTCCTCTCCTGGCTCCTTCCTGGCCCTCCTCTCGGTCCCGTTGCGTGAGGGGCTCTGCCCTGTGACCCAGCTGCCTCTCGGGTTGCCCCAGGTTCCCTCTGAGACCTGTGGAGCGAGCCCACTCCGTTCCCATCGCGCCCGACGCTTCTCACAGCTTCACCCGGTGGAGGCACTGCCCGTGGCCGCCTTCAAGGAGAGGGAGCCGTGGGGCCCCAAGCCCGGGCCGCAGGCTCACGGGCCTGCCGCCTGGAGGGGCAGGCGGCTTCCGTGCAGATGGCCCCGCAGGTGTGGCCTGAGTGAACGCAGGGCTGCGTCTGGGGCCGGGCCCCAGGCTCCGCCTCCTTCCCGGTTGGCCAGCGGGCTCCTTGCGGGCTCCTTGCGGTCCGTACCGGCCCCCTGAGTCATACGTAATTCTTACTAATAAAGACAGAAAGTCTCCTAAAGGCCATTGAACTAAAAAGTACGAAAGAGAAGCTTGACTTTTTTGGTTACCCCAAGATTCTAGTTTTACTTCTTCGCTGAACCCTACACAGCCCAGCGCCGGAGCGAGGGGCCCGCGGGTCCGAAGCGGCAGGTGCCCGAGCGGACTGCGCAGTCTTCCTTCTGCCAGCCCCTCCATCGCTCGGTGGGGGCTGTGTCTCCCTGTGCCCGTGGGTCTTGGTGTCGTGGTGTGGACACAGTCGCCTGACCCCGGTTACCTCGGATCTATCTCAGCAAGTGGGACATGTTACTTTTTAGATCCTGAAATTTGTGATAAAATTACCTATCCTGACCGCCAAAACTTGATGTTTTAAATGTGCTTCTTTTCTTAAATTTATTTTTAAAAATTAAGCCTCCCTAAAGCAATACTGTTTAAAAGTTGGCCAAGTCCTGGCTGTGAGGCCCAGTGGACTGAGCGCTGACCTGAGAACCAAAGGGTCACCTGTTCGATTCCCAGTCAGGACACCTGCCTGGGTTGCAGGCCAGGTCCCCAGCAGGGGGCGAGGGAGAGGCAACTGGCAGATGTTTTTCTTGCACATCAGTTTTTTTTCCCTCCCTCTCCTCCCTTCCCCCTCTAAATTTTTAAGAAAATGGTCAAGAGACGTTGAGAAGTCCGCACACCAGCCCCGCTCCCCCACAGCGTTTCCACGCTCAGTGTCAGCGCTGGGGGGGGCCTGGTGTCCTCTGGGGCCTCAGGGATGAGCAGGCTGGTGCATTGCCTTGCTTTGGGTTCCTCTCCCCCTATTATAAAAAAACATTTTTCTTACATGGTTTCCACCTCCTCGCTTCTCGCCCTCCTTTCTTTGGGGGCTGGCAGGGGAGGCCTTTCTACTTTGCGCCCCCGCCCGCCGACTTACGTAACTAGATCTGGGACAAAGGGACAGTTCAGCAGAAGTCGTGCTCGCAGAGCCAGCGCAGAGCCAGGGTCACCGTTCGCCCTTCCTCCTCCTTCCAGCCGTTGAAGGGTGTGCATCCGTCCTCGAACACTACTTGACTCTTCTGCTGGAGGGAAGGGTTTCTGGTCACTTGGCAAAAAAAGCCAGTGACTGCTTATTGAGAAAAATACCAGAATTAAAGAATATTCACTTACCCTCTCTGTAATAAAAGGAGGAATCCGAGCCCAGAGAAAACGGTTTCTGTCGTGTGCCTTAGGGGGCTCTCCGAGCCTCACTGCCTCCTAGAGGGAGGCTCCCTGGATGGAGAAAAACGCCCGGCCACCGGGCCCCACACAGGCCCTACACCCCGCTCCCGCCCCACCATCCCCGATGCGTCCCCTCTCTGGTACCTGGGTCTGCGCGCGGGGGCGGGGGGGACACCGGGGCCGGGTGCGCAGGGACGTGGCGTTGGGAACCACGGCTGCATTCGCGTCGGCCTCTTGCGCTCGCTCCCTCCCGTGGTGTCAGGGCGCTGCCGCCCCCCACTCTGCTCCCACAGGGGTGACTGTGGACCGGGGGCAGGCCCACAGAGTTTTTAAATTATTTTAAGAGCTGTTTTATAAAAATAAAAGGTACTGCAGGTAAAATTTTCTTTCTCTTTTCTCTTAATTTCTTAAGACTTTTTACATGAACTTCCAAAAAAATCTGAGGTCGCGACACTGCCTCGGTTCGCAGCAGCAGCCCCGGGCCCTGGCCTGGCCCCCAGAAGTGCTGTGAGGAGGCCGAGGCGCGCATGGTGCGGCCGGCGGCACGTTCCGCCTGGAGGGTCGGCAGGGCCTGGGCCTGGGTCCTGGGGGTGTGTTCTTCCTCATTAGGTTATCTTTTTTTTTTTTCTTTAAAAAGTGTGGGTACTCGTTTTTCCATAAATACTAGTTGAGCATTTACTAATTTTTCTGAAGTCCTCTAGCCCAAGAGGCAGGGATTTGGATTTTTCTGGTTCCAGGTGTCATGTGTTTGTGGCTTTCACTTTTTGTGACCTGCCAGGTGGGACTGGCAGGCTGGGCGCACAGCACGCCCGCCCGTGGCACACAGGGCGGCCTGGGCGAGCCCCGCGCGAGGGGAGCCTCTCGGGGTCTGGCCGGAGGGGCCCCCCTGCAGGCTGGGGACCTGCGTGCCTGGGGCTCCCCTGGGGCCTGGTCGCGCCGGACGCCCCCTCTGCTGTGGCGGGAGATGCCTCAGCGTCCCGCGCCCGCAGCTCATGTAGGATGGTGTTTCTGCCTCTGAACGAGGCAAGACGCTGGGGCAGGAGCTGCACCGCACCCTGTTCCCTCCGCTCTGTCCTGGCTGGGCCTTGGGGAGCTGAAGGCAGTGGGGCCGCCCCGGGCCCTGGGCCCCCGCGGCCGGAGGCTGGCGGCAGGTGAGCCACGCGAGAGCCCTGGGAAGCGGAGTCGGCAGCACCTTGACGGCAAATCCCAGGATGGCTGGAAACTGCCGTGTGGCCATCACCGTAACACATCTCGCCTTTTTCTTTACACAAAACTGACCTCCGCTGAGCTGGTCCGCAAGGTCCTCCCCCGGAGCCGTGTTTCCTTGGGAGGAGCCACGCGCCTTCGCGGCCTTCGCTCAGGTGGAGCTGCTCGGCCTCAGGCACAGCTGCAAGGCCTTGGGCGAGCGGAGCAGAGGCTCCGGCTCAAGGCCCTTCCTGCCCGACCGCCCTGCCCCCCACCCCCGCCTCCCCGAGGGGAATCTGCAGTGAGATTGAGCCCTTCACTGCGCGCTGGGCACCACGCGAAGAACGTGGTTGGCTCGTGTACTCTTTGGAGCACAGCCTCGGCCAGTGGACAGGTCGCTGCGTGAGGGTGGCGGGCTGGATTCCCGGTCGGGGCGCAGGCCGGGGTTGCGGGCCAGGGCCCCAGCAGGGGGCGCGCGAGAGGCGGCCACACAGGGGTGTTTCTCCCTGTCCTTCCCCTGTCTCTGCAAGTAAATAAAATCTTAAAAAAAAAAAAAAACCCAAAAAACGGTTCGTTGCATCCTTTCCCAGGAAGAAAGGAGGCCGAAGTACGGTCTTCCCCGTGAAAGTCTGCAGTAACGTGGCGGTTCCGGTGCTTCTAGCGAGAGAACTGTGTCAGAACACAGACCGGGCCGTGAGGGGAGAACGTCTGTTTTCCTGGGCCTCCAGTCTTCCTGTCGTCGTTTTCCGTCTCTCTCTCCCTTGAGGGAAAAGGTGCCTTTGCCGACCCACTTCTGTCCTCGGCCGCGTGAAGGGCGTTGTTGGTTCGAACGGCCTCGCAGGGACGGGCCCGAGGCGGTGCCGTCGGGCGGGGCCGCTGCGGCTCCTCAGCTCCCCCCGGGGCCCCGCGGGCGGCCGCCGTCCCTCCTGTTACCGGCACCTGGCCCCTCGGGGACCGACTCCAAGTCAGGGTTCGCTTTCCGTTAGAAGGGCCGCGCTGCGGGGAGAAAGGCCGTGAGGAAGGAGACCTGAAGGGAGTCGGTGGGCCCGCCTTCCGACCCAACGAGCGACTCCGGCTCGGGAGGGGTCGTTCCCGTGACGTCATCTCCCTGAGCGCCCGCCCAGTCCGACCGCTGCCCGAAAGCCCGAGCGGAGCCGAGCGCCTTCCGGGTAAGTTACCGGTCGGCACAGGCCACGAGGTTGCTGGGGAGCCCGCCCGGCGGGGCCCCGCCGGCGCCCGCCACCGCCTGGCTTGCAGATGCGCCTTTGGGAGAAAACCCTTAATCTTTTTTCTTTTTTAATCCTCGGCGGAGGAAAGGCTTGACCTTAGAGAGGAAGTAGGGGAGAGAGAAACGTCCTTCGGTTGCCTCTCCCACGCACCCTGACCCCAGGGGGCCGGCCCGTCCGACCGGGGATGGAACCGGCTGACGCCCCGGGGCGTGCCATCGGGGAGACGGGTGGCAGCCTTGCTTTACAAGCAGTTCAGTCGACTGCTTGTATCTAAATTGTTTTCTGGAAGAATCGCCCCCCCCCGCCCCCCGCACTGGTGGATACAGGTGTGGGCGTGTGCGTACAATGCGAGAGATTCAACTTGTTTCCACTGTGATAGGAGCCCTTTGAAAAAGGGAGTCCACTCCAGAACACGGGGAAATTTCCTCCCAAGCGATGGCCCCCACACTGCGTGGCGACACCTGTTTGCGCTCCGCAGCGGCGGACCTTGCACCAGGCTGCGCCCCAGCCCACGTGCTGTGTACTTAACGCTGAATGAGGTCCTCTTAGTTCTGTTTTCTGGTGAATTCAAACACTTAAGGAACAGAGACGCGTTTGGTACCAGGAGGTGTTTATTGGTACTTCATTACTCTTGTTCCCCAGTGTCATCTTCACAGGAACAAGGGTGTTAGTGTGGAGCAAAGGTCAAGTGCATGACGGACCAGCACCCACCGTGACACGTGCAAACGGGACCCTAGGGAATGCTCGCTGGGAGCCAGGGCCGCGGGCAGCGCGGCGCCACCGCCAAGTACACGCGCTCCCTGAGATCTGATTTTGTGCCCCTAGAAAAGACACTTCCTCCACTCTGGAATTTTTAAGTCTGTGTTTTCAGTTTTTATGCCTAGAAACACCTGCTCTCTCCTGGTACAGCCTCTAAGGCTCGAAGGAACTGAGGGGCGCAGCTGGAAAACGAGACACGAGATTGCAGGCAGACAGCCCGCCCGGGACACGTGTGCTCGTCGGTGGCACCGCGGCACCTTGAAAATTTTATCGAAGCCCCAGGCTTCCTGGAGACGCGGGTGCCCGCAGTGACCCAACTCTGGGGACTGGGTCACGTGGGCCCTCAAGCCCCCTCCACGCCTTTTACTCGCCTGCGTTTTTTCTCAACTCTGATAAAAGGGAATCCAGTTAAAAAAATCCAACGTGTTTTGAATCCAGGCTCCCCGGGCTGTGTGGTTTTTAAACAGGAAAACGGGTCTGTCCTTGGCGCTGAGAGGCTCCCGGTCCTGCGAGGGCTTTCATTGGTAAGGCGCCCGCGCGACCCGTCCCCGGCCTTTCCCCACACACGACGCCACTGTGAGCTCTGCTCCACGGCTGCACTTACATGTTAATGAACAGTTTTGGTTTTTTTGACAAAGAACATGAAATGTTTTTTCTCTTCTGCCTTAGAATCTGCTTCTCTTTTAAAAAGATTTTATTTATTTTTAGAGCAGGGAGGAGAGGAAGAAAGAGTAGGAGAAAGAAAGGGGAAGAACCATCTGTGTGCAGCTGCGTCTCGTGTGCCCCCTGCTGGGGACCTGGCCTGCAACCCGGGCAGGCGCTAGTGACTGGGGATCGAACTGGTGACCCTTTACAACCTGCTTTTAACTTTAGTTTTGCTGTGTGCACCTACGCAGTTGAAAAAGATACAGACACAACATACAGATTTAGAACATGAGCTCAAACACATTGAAATATGCCCGAGTTGCCATTTTCATTCAAGTATATCGATGGGGAGACTTCCGCGTGGGGCACCTGCTTCCCCTCCACCTTGAGAACCACGGGAAGCGAGCGGCGGTTCCCCGTGCCCGTGGTTCTGCGAGCTCTTCGTCCGCGGTCGGGCTCCTTCCCCACTGCCCGCGGCTGCTGTCAGTCCATCCCCTGGGGCGAGAAAGGAGGAGCCAGCATTAGCTGCGTTCTTTATTTTACCACCAAAATATTAGGTCATAAATCTTTATTTTAAATTTTTAATCACTGATTTGGGGATTTGAGGGGGAGAGACGTGGGTCTGTTGTTCCACTCGTTGATGCATCACTGGCCGACTCTCGCCTGTGCCGACGGGGCGGGCGGCCGGGGGCGGGGGTGGGGGGGGCGCGGCCCACGACCTGGTGTGTCTGGACGATGCTCCAACCGACCGACCCCGGCCAGGGCCGGCCTTTGTGTCAAACGCTCCCTCCTCGGACTTCCTGTTTGCTCGCTCTCCCCCCTTCCCTCCCCCACGGGGACGCTTTCTCTGCTGTGGCCCAGGCGGCGGGCTCAGCTGCGGACGCCCAGGGACAGCGCAGATGCACGACCACGGCCGTGCTGGGCGCCGGCGCCTCTGTGAATGGCTGGGGGTTCCCCACGCCCCTCGGCTGACCGAACCCCGGCACTTGTCAGGACGGCCCCCCAGGACGCACACAAGACGAGTTCTTCCCCTGCCTCTGCCGGCAGCCAGCGCCGGACTCGGGCGCCAGGTCGTCTCTCTGCTCTGGGATCAGGGCCGCCCTCAGCTGCGCCCTCACCCGACGCGCACCCTGGCCGGCGGGCGGGCGGCCTCCTCCTCTCCGGGGGTGGCTCTGGGACGCACCTGTTGCTCCGGCCCGCGGCCCTTGGTCAGGTCAGTCCCCAGTCACACCCCGCCCACCAGGGAGCCTGGGGCTGCCCTACACGGGAGGGCCGCAGGCCCCGCCAGGGGACCTGCCACTGGAGGAGGCGGGGGTGGGGGGGTCCAGACGATGGACCGCCGTCCCCTGCCCTGAGCTCTCAGCACTCACTCCGCGCCTCTCGTTCAGCGGATTCCACGGCCTTGTTGACGCTGCTCTAACTTACAAGCCAGAATTCAGCCCTTAAGCAGCAGGGGTTTGCGCAAAAGCACGTTCCCCGGGGGCGCTGGGATGTGGCTGTGCCCACCCATGGGGTCTTGTGGTGCCAAGAGGCACCTCAGCGGGTCGAGACTCTGCTGGGACCCTCCGGGCTCTGCGCAGCGGCTGCGACAACACGCCGCCACGCCCGTCAGGCGGCGGCTGCCCAGGGATCTGCCCCGGAGCCGCCCCTGCTCCCTTGGCAGGCAGAGCGTCAGATAACAGGGGCTGGTGTCCGAGCCGTCCTGCGGGGGGTACCGAGCAAACCTTCCCCACTGACAGCACATCTTGAAAATAAAGCTGATGAAGCCCCGGCTGGGGCGGCTCCATGGACCGAGCGCCGGCCTGCAAACCACAGGGTCGCCGATTCGATTCCCAGCCAAGGCACCCACCGGGGGTCCGGGCCAGGTCCCCAGCAGGGAGCATGCGAGAGGCAGCCACACACAAACGTTTCTCTCCCTTTCTCCCCTTCCCTCCCCCTCTCTAAAAATAAATAAATAAAATCTTTAAAAATAGAAATGAAAAGTTTGAAAAGCAACGTTTAAAAAACAAAATAAAAATAAAGCGGATAAAGCTCAGAAGAACGTTAGGGGTTCCCGGGCCCGCCCACCACAGCTCCTCGCCCATGAAAGCAGGACCGCGCCCTGCGCCCAAGCAGGGGCCTGTGACGGCCTTCCGTGCGGCTCGAGCATCAGATACGGGGCCTTGGCCGGGTGTCCTGACCTCGGGCGGGCCGGGGGGGGGCGCGGGGCGCAGCTGGAGACCGAGCGGACGAGGGGAGCACCGAGGAACTTACGTTTCTGACCAGGTTTCTCACGTAGGCGAACAGGTTCTGGTTGATGAAAGCCACCGTTGTGCGGAAGACCTCGCGCAGCAGGGACGGGGTGTGGCCGGCCACCTTCCTGGCCAGCAGCATGGCCGCCAGCAGCATGGCCTTCTCCGCCTCCATGTCCCTGGGGCAGGCCTGCAGGACCTGGCCCACCGCGTTGGCCAGGCACGTCCGCCGGTCCTGCAGGGGCAGAGCAGGGCGCTCGCACGGATCGGGACCGGGACCCGGACGCCCTGTCCTTCCCCCAGCGGCTCTCGCGTCCCAGGGAGGCAGCCACGGAGCAGCCCCGGCAGCGGGAGAGGGAACGCGCAACAGGTCAGTGCGGAGGCGGCCAGAGGGGAGATGAGGCCGCCCCCTGGAGTGTGACGCTGAGGACCAGTCACGCGGTCCCCGAGCACCGTGTGCCACGCCCGGCACCAGGGACCCCGGCCTCTAGGGCCCCGCCATCGACAATGAGCGAGCTCCCCCGACGTCTCAGGGGGACACCCCCCGCCAGCGGCGGGCAAGGACCCTCAGGCGAGTGGACGTTGGTAGAGGGCCCAAGGCAGGGCAGCACAGGGGACGCGACCGCTGAAGAGGGGACGGCCTGCCTGGAGGCCGGAGGCCTGGCTGAGCCCTGGAGGACCGATGCACCCCCACTGGGCAGCGAGGGACACTTGCGTTTTTAGCTGGGAGCCCAAAGAACGGAACCCTTCTCTCCCTGAGCTTCCGTGGGCACGAGTCTGACAGCCTTGCGGTCTTTCTCCCGCCCCCAGGCCGCCTCGGAGCGGACACAGCACCGCAGAGCTGCGTGCGCGGCCCCCGGCCCCGGGTGGCAGCTCTGGGAGTGCCCGCGCGGCCGGCCGCGGTGCCGCTGTGCTCGCCACCTGGGGAAGCAGCTTCGCGTTCTCTACCCGTGACTACAAGGGAGTCATACGCGTTTTGTTTATCTTTCTGTAGGTTTTTATCCCCCGACCCTTGACTCTGGCTTAGGTTCAGGTTTCTTAAATGCCAAGTGACTTAATTCTTCTCACAGACCCTTCCTGGCCCTGTAATTTCCACTGCCAGCTCGTCTGGGGGGGGTCATGGGTTGGGCCCCTCACTGGACACTGGTCTGTCTGATGGGGGATGGAAGACCCCTCCCACTTCGCAGGGACCCCAGAGCTGGCACTGGGGGGGGTCTCACTCACTTCCTCTGACAGGCGCCTGTCCCTGAACTGCATCGCCAGCTGGTCCACCAGATTCGGGGAGACGCTGCGGTCCATGCTGTCCCCGATCAGGGCGAGCTGCCAGGCGATGTTCCGGATGATGTCCTCCTGAGTCTCGGAACCTGAGCGTCAGGGCAGGGGCGGCGGAGACAGAGCAGCCTCAGGTGGCGGCCGCGCCCCACCCCTTGCCCCCCGCCCCGGGTGGGAGAGGCTCTGCTTTGCAACAAGGCAGGCTCCCACTCGCAGAGCGCCCCACGGCGGCAGGGGAGCCCCAGGGGTGGACCGCGGGGTCTCCCTGAACACAGAAAGGGTCCGTGTCGGTAGAGATGCAGGAGCCCGCCGGCGGCCTGGCCTCCACTGCTGGGCGGGCGCAGCCCAGGCCTTGTCAGGCCCAGGGCTCCGGTCAGGCCGAGTCAGAGCCCCCCCACCGCATCCCACTCACCCAGCAAAGCCTCGGCTGCTCCCGCCAGACCCGGGAGGCTCTGCAGGCCCCTCCCCCACCCCTTGGGCGGCTCAGCACCCGCCCTGTCCACGTGGACACCTGCTGCCGGGGGCGCCCCCTCCCCCACGCGGCCGCTCTGACTGCACGGCCGCCCCCACGCCGCGCCCTCTGCCTGGCTCTGTGGCCAGAGCGTCAGCTTCAGGACGGCCCTGAGTTTCTAGTCTGTTTTGTTTCCTGTCAAACACTCAGCACCGACAACAACGTGCAGGAAGGTGGTGAACACACAAGTGACCGATGGCTGTGCCCGGTGCCCAGCGAGGGCTCCGTCAGCGGCAGCCGACCCTCCGGCTTCCTGCCCGTCAGGACGGGGATCTTGGCCTCCGCTCCTCGGCCCGCGGAGAGGTCTCCCCTCACGGCCCAGACTGGCTGCCTCCCAGCCTGCTGCCCCCCGCCCTCTCCAAGGTGCGGGTCCGGCGGTGGCCGTGGCACCTGCAGTGCCAACCGACACCACGGTCCTCCTCGAACTGCTCGCGTGCTCACTGCGGCTTCTGGGCCCGTCACCACCGCGCTGTGACCCCCCTGGACCCCTACCACGCCCTCAAACGTTCCGGCCAGACGCAGCGATTCACAGGACCTTGCCGCCTCCCTCGGCTGCACCGCCGGCTCGGGAGCCACAGAGCCCGTCCGCGTCCCCGCAGAAGGGCGCCCTCCTGTGCCCCGGTCCGCCCCCCTTGTCCCAGCCGCTGCAGCCCCCGCGGCCCCTCCACAAGGGGGCCCGCCCCGGGCATGCAGTGGCCGGAGCCCCTGCTGGGCCTCATCTGCACGGTCATTTCTGTGTGAGCGCAAGGCAGCACGGGTGGCCGGGCGACCACCTCGGCCAGCAGCCCCGAGCGCTGCTGGGCTCCGCGCCTGCGGCAAGGAGGTGCCGGAGAGCAAAGGCGCGCCCGCCCCCGCCCGCCCAAACCTCCCCCAAGGGGGCCGGGGCGCTCACCCCAGCGCAGCGCCGCCCGAGGGCACTCGCTGGATTCCAAAGCAGGACCGCGGGCCAGACCCCAGCCTGAAACGGAGCTACAGGTCCGAGGCTGGACGGGCTGCTAGGCCCCCTCACGGCCACCAGAGGGCAGTGGAACCCCCTCGGCCAGCAGGTGTCCGGGAGGCAGGACCCAAGCCCATCCGGCTTTCAGAGGCACCTCAGGCTTCTGAGGCAGCGAACCTCGCACGGCGCACCCTGTGCTTGGAAACCAAGGCCCCCCAGCCTGGCACGGCGGGCGCGCGCTCTGCTGCGGCAGGCCCAGCTCGCCCCGTCTGCAGGGGCAGCAGAAGCGGCCGCGGGGAGGGGCCCTGAGGCTTAGACGTGGACGTGGGCAGCAGGGAGGTCGGGGGCAACGTGCCCGGACGCAGAGCGGCCACGGGGCTGCGCGGCTCAGGGACAGAGGCCCGGCCGTGCCCAGCCCGTGTCCGGCTCGGGCTCGCTGTTTGCTGTTCTCTGGGCCGCGGTCTCCTCAGCTCCAACGCCCCCTCAGGTGCGGAGAAGTGAGCGAGTGACCTGTGCCGACTCCAAGGCTCGTGGCAGCGAAACTGAGGCCTCCACCGTGGGGGCCTGGGCCCCACCGCCCCTTCGAGCCCCGGGCCCCCGGCGCCCACGCCACGGGGGACGCAGGCCGAGGGCACGGGCGGGCACCCACCTGTGCTCAGGCCCTCGAGGACGAAGTGGCTGCAGCGGCTGCCATCCGTCTGCAGCTCCTCGTCGTGCTGCTCCCCGGGGCCCTGCGCCCAGAAGACCGGGGGCGGGGACAGCGTGCGGCCCAGCCCCTTCAGCTCCTCCTGGAAGTGGCAGCCGGGGCTGTGCTGCAGGAAGTTGTACACCAGCAGGCCCGTGAGGGGCTCGCCCGGGAGGCCGGACCCGTTGTGGACCTGAGGGGAGAAGGGACGGAGGCCTCAGGCGCCGGCCCCCTGGGTGGCCTGCGGCGGCCACAGGAGGTCCTCGGGCGCCCCGACCGCCGGCTGGTATGCACAGGCCGCACACGAGGCTCCAGCGACACACAGGCCGGTCGCCCACTGAGGAACCGACACCCTGACCCCAACACCCTGACCCCGTCCCGCTGGGGGGCGCTCGTGCGCAGGCGAAGAAGCCACAAGGCGGTTTTAGGACGTCCCGGCTTCTGCCAAGTCCCCCCGCCCCGTCCCCCGCGTCCTTCACCGACCCCGGCCGCCCCCGCCCCCCGGCCGCGCCCGCGTCCCCAGGAGAAGCTCCGTCTCCTGCGCCGTCCACTGTGCGGGCCCAGGGCGCAAACAGCAGGTTCCCAACAGACACAGGTGGGTGGCCCGACACCCCGGCCCCCAGGCGGGGGCTCCAGCCGCAGCCCACGGGGGCCGTGACCTTGGCCCATCCCTGACCTTCGCGCAGCCTCTGTCATGGGCGACGGGACGAGGCTCTGGCGCGTGGGCTGCGCGGGGGACGGCGTCCGCAGCATCGGCGGCCAGGTGGGCTCAGGGCACTCAAAGGCCCGGGACGGGGGCGGAGTCTGGAAGGGCAGGTGCCCGCGAGGCGGACGGGGCGGCCCGGGGCCGGCAGGGGACAGGGTGCGGGTCCAACTTATTTCTGGCCTGAGTCCGTAGCATTTTACATTAGAAATATCAGAAAACTCTTCAAAGGCAGTTTTTAAGAGGCAAACTGTTTTAACAAACAAAAGGCAGGCGACAAGGTGCCGGGACCAGCGCCCACGGGGACGGGGACGGGGACGGGGGATGGGGATTGGGGGCAGGGGAAAGGGGGACGGGACGGGGGACGGGGGAGGGGGAACGGGGACAGGCGGGGAACGGGGACCCGGGGACGGGGGCGGGGGAGCGTGTCCGTGAATGCGCCTCATGCCACAGGACACAGGACACGTGAAACTGGTGACAGTGGCACCGCAACCTAAAATCTTTTACCGCAATTTTTAAAAACTGAAAAAAAAATCAAAGACAAAACAGAAAAGCCTCACAGGTGGAAAATGCCGGCGGTGGCGGGGGGCGGGGGCAGAGGAGGGAACAAGCCCCGCCCACGACCCCCGCTCTGCTCTGCAGGCCTCGGGCAGCGGCTCTGCGCGGTCCCTGGCGGACAGAGGGCGCCGGGAGTCACTGGGGCAGAGCCTCCACCTCCCTGCACCGGAGGGGGACCGGGGCGGGGGAGGGGGCGCCCCCAGGGCCAGCCGCTGCGGGCACAGGGCGGCCTCGGGTGGGGGCGGGGACAGCGATGGGCCGGCAGGAAGGGCCCCGGACACGGGAGGGCTTCTCCGCGACGCCTCCCGGGCGCAGCTCTGGGGCCAGGAGTGCGACCCGCCGCAGCCCCTCCGCCGTCCACAGAACCCGCCGGGCGCAGCCGCTGGGAGCAGCAGGCGCCCAGGCCCCCGGGTGCCCGGGGAGGAGCTGGGGGCCTCGGACACACAGGGCTCAGCCGAGGTGGGGGCGGGAGGCGGGCCGTGAAGGGGCCAGAAGAGCTTTTGGCGGAGCGCTTCACGACTGTGTTGTCTAAGCTCGTTCGGTGCAGACAGGGCCCAGGGTAGGTGGCGACCTGAAGGCGGGGGCCGGGCCACTGAGAGCAGAGAGGGTGAGCCCGCGGGAGCGCACCAAGCCAGAGGGCCCTTCTCGCCTGGGTCTGCTGCACCGGCCCGGGCCCGCGGCCCGCCCCGCCCCCTCCCCTCCCCCCGCCCCCCGCGCGGGAGGCACCTGACCTGAGGGTCCATGGCGGCGGGCGGTGCGGCTGGAGTCCGGGCACAGGCGTCGGGCCAGCAGCCTGGAAGGGACACAGACACACAGGTGGGACGCCCCCTCCGGAAGGGACCGGGGACGCTGCCCCAGACCCTGGCCCTGAGGCGCTGCGGCCCCCAGCGGCCCCCTCGCCGCCCTCCTCCCACAGAACCCGGCGGCGCGCGGCCAGCGGACCCTCCGCGGCGGAGACGGGCCGCGGCTGGCGGAGCAGGTGAGGAGGGCGTCGCGCCGTGCACGATTTTTGAGTCGATATGCACGTTAGTGGTTTCCTACGAGAGCAAACTCGGCCGATAAACCTGCCCCCGCGTTCCCAGGAAACCCAGTCCACCCCCGGCACCAGCAGGACCCCGAACCACAGCCCCTTCCTCCCGACGAGGGCCCGGCCCCGCGCCCCCCCAGGGCGCTCGGCCGCGCGGGGGAGGGGGGGCCGGCGGGGCCGCGGCCGGTCAGCCTGTGCCGTCACTCAGGCCACCGAGGCCTCTGCCACCCCAGGGCCCGAGACTGGAGAAGAAGAGGAGACGTTTTCTTTTGTTTTTTAATTAATAAACAATTATTGATTCGAGAGACAGAGAGAGCAACACCTCTTTGCTGTCCCCCCCATGTACTGCCCCTTTGGCTGAGCCCTGGCTGGGGACCGAACCCGTGACCCGGGCGCCTCGGGCCGGGGCTGGCTCTATGGCTGCCTCGCCAGACACAGATGCAAAGCGAGTTTTACATTGTCTTCTCCCCAGCTGTTACCTAGAAAAGCCCTTGAACACTGGAGTGGACAATCTGACTACACTGGTCTCTCGGGGGTAATTTTTAAACGAAGACCAGGGGCTGCATCGCTCTGTGTGTCCACAGGTGTTGGGAGGCATCTCTCGCTGCAGATGGTGCTGATTTGTAAAAGGGGCCTGTTTAATTGGCTTCAACAAATAAATGTGTATAGTTAAAATATCAAAAATATAATAAAAACTGCTCTGGCTGGTGGGACTCAGTGGACTGAGCACCAGCCTGCAAACCAAGGGCCACGGGTTCGGTTCCCGGTCAGGGCACAGGCCTGGGCTGCGGGCCAGGTCCCCAGGAGGGGGTGCCCGCGAGGCAGCCACACATAGATATTTCTCTCCCTCCCTCCCGTCCAGTCTCTAAAAATAAATAAGATCTTTACCTAAAAAAAAGGAGACAAAAGGCTGCCAGGGACTGGGCCACCCCCTCGAAGGCCCACACGGCCTCACTCACTCACACCCGCCCACCCTGAGCCCCAGCCAGGGGGACATCTCTTGCCAGTGTCCGGCTCCAGGGAGGGGGCTGCAGGCACCTCTGTCCTTTGTTGAGACCCCCCACTCACAGCCAGCAGGGGCCTCAACCCTGAGCCCCCGGGGCTGGGATCCCGAGTCCCAGCCCCGCCCACGTGGGTCCACGGGACCTGGGCCGCGCTGCAGTCTTTCCTAACACCCGTCAAGGCTCCGCAAGCCCCAGGCACATGGTGAATGTGCCTCTTGCTAAGTAGCCCCAAACCAGTCACGCGTTTCTCAGGCAACACATAGGGAGATTCAGTTTCCAAACCGATCGCTTCTCGAGCTGTTTTCCGGAAGGAATCCGCCCCCGCGCCGAGGTCCCCCTGGGCCCAAGGGCCGGCAGTCTGCGAACAAGCCTGTGCCACTGCCCCTCTCAGGAGACGGAGGACAGCTCACCAACCCCCTTCTGCCACGGGACGCTTCCAGGGCGGGCTCGGAGGCAGGGACGCCAGGGGTTCAGACCAAGTCACCCCACGACGTGCCACTGGTATGTAAACTACCTGGCTCCGGGGGCACTTGGGCTCCCCCTTAAAGAATTTTCGGTCAGGGGCCTCGCCCCTGGGACCTGAGCCGTCGCCGGAGGGCCCTTGGCGCCCATCAGCGGGCAGGACCGCGTGCCCCTGGAGCCCCGGCTCAGTGCTTTCGTCCGTCTGGAAGCCCTGCTGTGCGCGGGCAGTTAAATGGGGTCATGTTCTCTTGTTCATGTGTGTCGCGTGCACATGCTCCTCAGAGCGGCTGGGAGCGCCTGACCGCACAGGGAAGCCTCCCCCCCCCCCCCCCGCAGCCCAGCCCCGCTCCCCCCTCTCCTCAGCCCCCCGGGCCGCACGGGCTTCCCTGGCCCGGCCGCCCTCCTCTGGGCTCTGCTGCCAGCTCCCAGGGGGAACCCTCGTGGGGTCACACCCAGGGCACAGCTCGGTTCCCCTCCCCTCCCCCACACCCCCAGGCACAGGAACCACTGGTGTTGCCCAGCGGTTTTGCAACCCTGGCCGCACACGGAATTGGAGTTCCTGACGATGGTGACCTCGTGTGTGTCAAGGGACCATCGAGAAAATGAAAGGACAACGCCCAGAATGGGAGACAACATGTGCCAATCCCTCATCACGAGGGATTTACAGCCAGAATATTTAAAGAATTCTTGTAAGTCAACAATAAAAAGACAACCCAGTTAAAAATTAGGCAAAAAACTTGACTAGTCCAAAGAAGATATACAAACGGCCAATAAGCACTCAAAAAGTGCTCAGCATTTCTAGCCCTTACGGAACACTAATCAAAACCACGATGAGACGCCCGCAAGAACGGGGCAGGAAGTGTGACGCCCGCAGGGACGGGGCAGGAAGTGTGACGCCCACAGGGACGCAGACCCGCTGGGAATGTGAGGCCGTCAAGGCAATTAGTCGTCCCGTGACCACCTGCCGAGCCGGCGGCCGGGGGAGGTTCTCACACCGGGCGCCTGGAAAGCCCTCCCCACCTGGCCCCTCCGCTGCCAGACGGGGGGGTGGGCCGGGGAAGGCAGCACACGCGCCCGGGGGTCAAACGGCACAGGCGAGGGGCTGGACCCAAGGGGCCTGTCCTGTAGCCTGGGGCGGGGGGGCTGGCTGGGAGCTGGGACCACTCGAAGCAGGTGAAAGTCTGGGAAGTCGGTCAGTCGTTTTGAGAGAAGCACCTGGTCCGCCCCAAGCCCGGCTACTGTCCTCCCAGGGACGCAGAGCAGCGCTTGGCTCCCACCCCGCTCTCCCCCGCCGGGTGACGCCATCCAGCCTAGAAGGACGCAGCCTGGAGTCGCGTGGCCTGTGGCCGCTCAGGCCCCCAATGCAGACGCCGAGAGGGAGCCTGGAATGCACAGCAGCCGGGAAGAAGCTCGGCCACCTGCAAGGGGACTGAGACCGCTGCACAGCCACCTGCGGGCCCCCGAGGCCTGCCTGTCCTTTAAAGTGGAGCCGGGGATCTGGGCGCGGGCTCTTGTCCTGGCCGTTCTGAGGACACCACTGGGCCTTCCCGCAGCAGAAAGAGGAGACGGGCTTGGGGACAGGCATCTCCGCTCTCCCGGGTGTTCTGCTTCCTTTTTGGTTGCACTATGACCTTGCAGTTCCACTCCTAGGTATGCGCATAAAAGGAATGAAAACACACGCCTGCCACTTCCCCCTGTACAAAACCGTCCACGGCAGGATTGTAAAAAGTAGTTAACCAGGATTCACCCAAATGTTCAACTAACGAATCAATACACACAATGTGGTCTATCCCTCCCATGAGACGCACGGGGCCACAACACGATGGAAACGTCGCACTGAGTGGAGAGGCCTGTCCTGAAGGCCACAGGCAGCTGCACGTGCGCAGACTTCCCGCCGCGGGCAGGTCCCAGCCACGGGGGGCGGGGCAGGGGCCAGGGGCTGGGCAAGGCGGGCAGTGTGAACGGAGTTTCTTTAGGGGGTGTTCAAGTTGCTAAAATTAGATTGCGGTAACAGCTGCCCAACTCTGGGATACACTAAAAAGCCACTTTAAATAGGTGAATTTTGTGACATGGGAAATACCTCCATCAAAGAAACAGCGGCCTCAGGGGAGAGCTGGAAGGCCCAGCTCGTTCCTCCATCGATTTTAGGAAGAGATGGGGAGTCAGCGCTGCTGCCCCACCCACGTGCGGATCCACTGGGCGATGCCCACCGCTGTAACCCGCAGAGCCGCCGGCCCCGCCCACAGCTCCAAAGGGAAGCCCATCGTCCTGGGGGCTCACGGCGGGTGACCGGGTGTCTCCGGCTCCCTGCTCTGCTCAGCCCAGGGGCTGCCACCAGAGCCGCACACAGCGGGGGAAGCCAGGAGGGCCAGCAGGGACGGGGCTGGTGTCCCGGGCCCTGTTCCCAAAGGTCTAGGTTAGCCGTTGCCTGTCTCCCTACCCCGCCGGTCCGCTCGGCACAACTGTCCTCCTCTTCACGGTCGGCCAGGGAGGAAGACGACGGGACCAAGGCCAGGTGCGAGCCTCGGCCACCGCTGTGGGCAGGAGGTCTGGTTCCTGCGTCCACGGAGACCTGACTGGGCAGAGACGGGCAGTGCCCATGCCAGTCAGTGCTCCTCCGACGAGGTGCTGGGACCAGCGGAGGCCCAGGCTCCACTCCTGGTTGGAGGTGGCCCAGGCGCCCAGGAGCTGCCCCGGGAGCAAACGAGGTTCTCTGGGCGCGGCCGGTGCCTGGGGCTGGGGACCCCCGTCTGTCTCACAGCTCACAGCGACTGCGGCAGGGCAGGGCAGGGCCTGCCGCAAGGCTCCTGCAGAGGGGCCACCCCCTCGGCCACTGTGGCGCCCATGGGCACTGAGCCCACTGTGGTCCCTCCCCACCCCCTGCCACTGGGCACAGGGGCCGCCGGGCCTGGCCAGGGGCCAATCCCCAGAGCAGCACCCTCCCTGACTGGAAGCTGGACCCAAAGCTCTGGGTGCCCAACTGAACCCGCAGGCTGCCCCCCCTTCCTGTTTCCAAGGAGACTCCTGCAGACAAGGACCTGCCTCCCAGCCCCGCCCTTCATGAGGAATGCAGCTGATGCTGGGGATGCTGGGGATGCTGGGGAAGCTGGGGGGGGGGCCCACAAAGGCCCTGCGGGTTTTCTCCACCCTGAGTGCGCACCTGCCAGGCCGCAGGCCCGGGTTCACCCTCACGGGACAGGGTCTCCAGCCCCAGGCCCCCCCCCCCCCGCACCGAGCCCTACCCTGTCCCATTGTCCTGCTGCTCCAGCCCAACCAGCGAGAGGGCGGCAGGCCCTGCGAGAGGAGCCCCCAGGCCAGGGCCGCGTGGTGGCGGGGAAGGCCCAGCACCCCCGTGGGGCGGCGGTGCCCCCTGAAGGCGGGCAGGCGAAGGGGTCCCCGCTGGCTCCGCACCTGCCACGTAGCCTTGCTTTCTCCACCTGGAACAAAGCCACACCTCCATCCCCTGGGGTCACACAAGGTCACAGGGAAAGCGCCCAGCACACAAAGGCACCCACGGGTCTCTCCCTCCGCTGTGTCTGGGGTCAGAGTCCAAGCAGAAGCGCTTGGGGCACGGCCGGTCCCGGAGCCAGGGTTGCAGCCCCGGGACACCTGTCTGGCGGGGAGTGTGAGAGAGACCCCCGTGGATGAGCTTGGGAACCAACTCGCCACAGGTCGTTATGCAAATTAAACCGAGTCCGGAGGCGGAGAGGAGCACTCACAGACACACAAGGACTACCGGGCTCGGCCGGCCCCCGGAGGCCTGGCAGGGGGACACTCGGCGGGTGGGCCGCCCCCCCCCCCCGCACACACACACTGCATTTGGTACACACGTGGGCGGGAAGGGTCGCGGACCTGCCCCCAATGGGCACAGCCGCCGGCGGGTTCCCCTCGGGCCAGAGGCCCGGCGGGCTTTGCAGTGAGCGGGTTGGCGGCCCCTCACGCCTGCGCCGCGGCGCCCCTGTGCTCCAAGCCCCCTCCGCCCCCGGCAGCGCTGCGGGGGCGTGTCCGGCCACCCACTGTTCCCTGGTGTTCTCAGGGGTGGCTTCTGGGACCCTGGGCACAAGCGCCGGAAAGCCAGACCAGGGTTGGATTCCTGGGGCGGCAGCACCCCCAGAGCGGCTGCCTTGTGCCTGGCGCAGGCCAGCGTGTTTGCCTTCCCGCAAAACTTCCCCATTTTGAGCGAGGCCGGCAGGAAGAGGAGGGGCGCGCCAGGTGTGGGGGCCGCGGGCCGGAGTCCCACAGAGGGACCCAGGTCGGCGGGGCGTGCCCCCTCTCCCGGGCACATCGAGGCTGCCTTGTCGCCTGGGCCGCCGGCACGGCGGGGTCGTGGGACCCCTCCACTGCTCACCCTGCGGTGGACCAGGCGGGAGGCAGGGCGGCCGGAGCCGGGCAGACCGGCACCAGGTCCCGAGCTGGAGCTCAGGGTCTAACCCCTTCAGTCCTGACCCCAGGCGAGCCACGTGGCCTCTCCGTGCCTCGGTCTCCCCCTCTGAAGAGCAGGGACAACCCAGTGAGCAAGGCCGTGACGTTCACACGAGCTAATCCGCGCACGGACACTTCTCCGCGGGGCATGTCGGAGCCGAGCACCTGCGCCCCCCACTGGCCGACTTTTCTGGGCTCTGAGGCTGGCGGCGGGGGCTGCGCGATGTCAGGTCCTGTGCAGAAGAGGCCCGAGGGGCAGGCACTGGCCCAGCTGCTCCCGGTCACCAGGGCCGCAGCAGCCCCAGGAAGCAGCTCCTGGGGGCGCCCCGTCGGCCGACGCTGCAGAGCAAGCATCCCGGGCGCCGCTGCCAGGACACCCAGCCCTTGACAGCCGGGGCTGCCGGGGCTGCCAGGCCTGGGAAACAGGCGGCGTTCCAGCCTCCTGCCGCGGCCCCACCTGCCCGACCCGGGAGGAGGACGCCAGTCCTTCCCCTTCTGCACGGGGAAAGCTGCCGCCCCAAGTTCCTCCGGTGGGCCCCATCCTTCCTGCGTCCGTGCCACCAAGCCTCTCGTTTGCAAATGAGTGGAGCCCCCACTTCCTCCCAGGTGGGGCGCAGGCCCTGCCCACCCCAAGCCTGCCCCAGCCTCGCCGCGCTGTCCTGAGGGTGCATCCCCTTCTGGGGCTGGCAGGCTGCTGGTCACTGGTCAGAGTCCACTGAGAGCCTCACCTCCTCAGACGGACAGCACCCGGGGGCGGGCTGGGCGACCAGGCGGAGGGACTGGGCAGGACAGGTGGGCCGCGCCCGAGCCTTCGCGGGAGGTCAAGTGCAGCACGGGGGGCGCGGCGCCCAGCGGGCACAGGAGCGGCGGGGGGGCCTGACCGTGATGCTGGGCACCCGCAACTTGTCCAGGATAAAACTGGACGTCGGCTGTAACTGCAAAAAAGCCCAACCCCGAACAGCCAACCAACCCGCCTACCCACCGCATCTCCCCACGGCCCTTCGGGCCAAACCCCAAGGCCTGCCTCCGGTCGGGCGAGCGGCCACCAGCCTGCGTCTCTGTTCCCGTGAGACAGCAGCACCCTGTCCCCTGCGAACCCCTGTCCAGCACAGCTAGGCACCCAGAGCACCCAGGGAGCCTGGGAGCTGTGGTCTCGAAGCCACAGCCCGGAGGGGCCACCTCAGGCCTCCTGGGGGCTTTGTCCTCGCCTCCCCGCCCCCCACCCCAAGTAACAAAAAGCGCCCCCACTCTGGGCAGCAGGTGACCTTTTCTCAACATGCCTCGCTGAGGTCTGTCCACCTCACCTTTGGAAACAGACACCCCACCCCTGGCCCAGCAGCTCTGAGCCCAGACTCTCCCAGAACACTCCCTCCCAGGGGACTCCATGGCCCAGGGGGTCTCCGGGCCCAAGCCTGCCGGGTACCCAGGCGGTGGCGATGGAATGTGGAAAAACCACATCCTGATCCCCCTTCTGGAGAAGAACCACCGAGGGAAGCCTGGGCCCCAGATAAGATTTGGCAGGAAGGACCAGGGCCCCTGGCAGTGGAAGGGGGCGGCCGCCTGGGAAGGTGGGCGTGCAGCTGGGCTCCCTCCGCCTCACCACTCGCAGGCCCCCAGATGGACTGTCCGGTCCCAGAAGGCCTCGTCCAAACCCAGAGGCAGCGCTGTCCTACCATCTGGCGGGACGCTGAGGGTGTAAGGCTGCCAGGGGCTCCCGGGGTCACTGACATTCGCTCCCCCGGCCGGCTCCGCGCAGAACTCCCAGGGGAGCCGGGAGCAGGCGCGCTGGGGCAGGTGCTTCACCGGCGCTGGGGACAGTGCCACGGACCAAGAGTCCAAGGTCTGCATCCCGATTTGGGTTCCGGATCTGGGACCGGATCCGGGCCCGACCCGTCCATTCCAGCCGGGTCTCTCGTCTCGGGGTGGGACGCAAGGCCTCCGCTCTAAGCCACGCGCGGACGGGACAGCTGAGCCCTCCCGACCCTCCTCCGGCGGGCAGAGGCCACACGCGAGGCTCTGTGGAGCCCAGAGGACAAAGCCTCTCGGTCTCCGGCAAGGCCCGGGCCTCTCGGCCAAGGGCGCGAATCCCGGAGCGCGTGGGCTCGGCTCTCCAGCCTCGACCCTGAGCGGGCCGGTGGCTCCGAGCGGGAAGCCTCTCTGGGTACGTCCGGATCGCGGGGACCGCGCGAGTTCCAGGGCGCCCCCACGCCGATGCGGAAGGTCCGTGTGCGCGCGGAGCCCCTCTGGGGAGCTGGGCCGCCGGCGGCCCCTGGCTCGCGGGCAGAGGCTACAGTTTGGAGCTCCCCGCGGGTCCCTAGGAGGGCGCAGGGCCGGTCGGCTACCTACCCGCAGCAGCGGCAGCGGGAGGCGGAGAGACGGCGGACCGGCGGGAGAGCGCGCGAGCGGGAAGCCGAAGGGCAGAGGCCGTTCCCTGACTTCCTTGATGGCCGGCCCCGCCCGGGCCCCGCCCCCAGCGCCCCCGGCCCGCCCCGCGCCGCGGCGCGCGCTGGCTTCGCCTCGGAGGGACGCCCTCACGCACAGTGCGCGGTCTTGGTCAACGAAGCCACCTGGGGCGGGTCGCTGCTTTCCCCGGCGACGCAGGGGTGATCCCAGGGTTTCTCGCGTGGAACTGCCGGCTCTGAAGCAGGGGATGCCCGGTGCGCCCGGAGCGAGAGGTCAGGGCCGGAAAGGCCCCTCGCCAGGCCCGCGCGCAGCGCTCCTTCGTCCACCCCGACCGCACGCACCTGTGGCGCTAGCGAAAGGGAAAGAGAAACAGAAAGAGGAAAGCGAGTTTCTGGGAGGAGGAGGAAGCACGCCGGCTGGGGAAGCCCCAGAAACGGGGCTCGGAAAGGAAGGAATGAGACTGGAACGTTGTGTGTCACTAAAACTCTTCGCACGGTTATATTAAAATAAAATTTAAAAAAAAACCCCAACAACTCAGAGGTTTTCTCCTTTTTTGTATTTTCTAATTTTCCTTTTAGAAATATTTTAACCTACAGTCGACAAACTATTATATGAGTTTCAGATGTACAACCCTGTGATTAGACATCTATGTAACCTATTAAGTGACCTCCCCCCCATAAACCCGGTACCTACCTGACACCATACGCAGTTACTAGATTATTACTATGTTCCCTATGCTTTACACCCTGTGACTATTTCGTAAATGCCAGTTAGTACTCAATCCCTTCGCCTTTCTCGCCCATCCTCCTGAACCCCTTCCCCCATCTGGCAACCATCAAAATGCTTCCTTTTCTGTCCTTATTTTGGTTTTAGATTCCACAAACAAATCAAATCACGTGGCATTTGTCTTTCTCTGCCTTCACTCAGTGCAATACCCTCCAGGCCCCGCCATGTCGTTGCAGGTGGAAGATTTCACTCTTCTTTATGGCGGAGTCATATTCCATTGTTATCTGCACAGCACTTCCTCTTTAACCACTATCCATGGATGGACAGTTAGGTTGTTTCTGTATCTTGGCTATTGTAAGTGATGCTGCGATGGACACAGGGGTGTTTGTTTTTTTGACCTAGCGTTTTGGATTTCTTCAGATAAATGCTCGGAGATGGAATTGCTGGGTCCTTTGTTGTCTCTTGTTATAGCCTTTGTTTTGAAGTTAATTATGTCTGATCTAAGACTTGCTACCCAGCTTTTTTTTCTCCTTTCCATTTTCATGAAATACGTTTTCAATCCCTTTGCCTTCAGTCCGTGTCTTTCTGTCTGAAGTGAGTCTCCTGCAGCAGCGCAGGTGGGGGGAGGGTGGCAAAGGCGCTCCAGCCGCACCACCCAACAGCCCGCCGTGAGGAATGGGAGCAATCGCTCCCCTTGAAATGAATCTCTCCCCCAGATCCTCCAGCTTTTCAAAGGGACCTGGACAAGGAAGTTGTTTTCCTTTTGTAAAAGGATTTGTAATGTCTCCCCTGTCAGAAAAAAAACATTAGCTTGGGACCCAAACGATGGACACAGCAAAAGCACACATTCTGGAGGGAATCCCTCAGGGATGCAGCGGGATTTCCACGTCCTGTCTTCTCCTAACTCACCCTTCGGAGAGGGCGTACCTGCCTGAACAGGGTGGGTTCCTGGGTCCCTCCAGCTTTGCGGACCCCTATCGCTGGGGCCCGTTGATTTGGGGGCTGACTTTGCCATGCAGGGCCCTTGCTCCCGCTAGCTATCATTTTGTACCCCACTGATGACCACTTCCCCCCTTTTCTTTTTGAAAAATAAAGTTCAAGAAACCACTGGTTTATTGATGTAACCTACTAAGTGACCCCCCCCAATAAACCCGGTACCTACCTGACACCATACGCAGTTATTAGATTATTACTATGTTCCCTATGCTGTACTTTACACCCTGTGACTATTTCGTAAATGCCAATTAGTACTTCTCAATCCCTTCGCCTTTCTCGCCCATCCTCCTGAACCCCTTCCCCCATCTGGCAACCATCAAAATGCTTCCTTTTCTGTCCTTATTTTGGTTTTAGATTCCACAAACAAATCAAAGTAGATTAAAAAATCAGACTAAAAAATAAGTAAAACTACCAAAGCAGCCCCGCTGTAAACAACAAACCCAGTCTCCCACCTTAAATAAGAGAATAAACGTGGGCTCCCCCGACCGGTGGCGCTGATTTATGTAGACAGAAGTCCCCGCCCCTGGTCCCTGATTGGTCTGTTTTCATGCAAATAAGGACTCCAAAGCCTTGAAACTTGATTGGTCCAAAAGGCATTGATCTGATTGGCCAAGGTGAAGCTGTTCTGATTGGTCAGTGAATTGGGGACGGCTATAGCTCTGCAGCTCTGATTGGATGTGGAATGCCTCACTCCCATTGGTTGAAACAGGATTCCACTAAGTGCTGTATAAGGGCCGCTCTGCTGGCGGGAACAGTGCGGGCTATTCCGTGAAGCAGTGTGTAGAAGGCTTCGTCTTTAAGCTCTGGGGTTTGATGTTTTATTAAATTTTGACCCAGGAGCACTTTTTGGCCAGTGTCTTCTTTCTCGGGGTTCACAGTGTGAAGGGAACTCTGCTCACTGGGATGCTTGAGGTCAGAGAACAAACGAGCGGCCAGTGAACTGGGCGCACGCGCTCTGCCCAGTGGAGGAGGAGTGAGACTGGCCGGAGTGCGCGACAGACGCCCCATGCTGGGCTGCCCCCGCCCCCGTCGAAGCGGCGGGCCACCCCGGGCACCCACGCCGTCGCCCGTTACGTACATCACGAGTCATTGCGTGCGCTGCCAGGACTGCGCGCGGACCAGCCTGGCCACATCCTGCCCTGCGAGGAGCTGCGCGCGGGCTGCCCGGGCCCATTCCGCCTGGAGTTGAACTTGGAACCCACGCGCGTGACTAGCCCTTCCCTCCGGCCCTCACTCTGCCATCCTGACCGCGCCGCAGCCGACGGCGCCGCACCAGGTCGAGGGATGGAAGGCGCCTTCCCCGCGTCCCCAGACATTACTCCGGGCCTCGGTGTCACCGTGACAAAGGCCCCGCACACGTTGTGGCTCTGGGCTGCGTCTGCCTCTGCCAGCGCCCGTCCGCTCGCCCACGCACGCGACGCCACGGGCGGCGGACAGCGTCTTCATGCACGCTGTCCTAAGCTTCTTGCTGCGGACACGTGCTCACTGGTCCTGAGGGTGACACTCAGGAGCGGAACTGCTGGGCCCCGGGCTGGGGACGGTTGACTTTACCAGAAATTGCTCGCTTCCCCAAGTGGCTGCCCCGTCGCGCCCTCCCTGCAGCAGTGGCTTCGCTCGGGCCGCCCCACCTCCGCGGCCAACCCGCCGAGCCCCGCGCACGTGCGCCGCCGGGGAGCGCGCCTCCTACCTCGCCCCTGGTTCCCCGCCCCGGCCCCGCCCCAGCGGCTCTTCCGGGCCTGCCCTCGGCTCCGCGCGCGCGGAGGGCACAACCGGAAGCAGCCCGCTATTACGCGGGCTCCCCGCTCGTGAGGATCTGCGAGGACGACAGCGACGTGCTTTATTCACGCGCCAGCCTTGTGCCGAACGCCGTGCCTGGCGCTCCGGGGGCTCCGCGAATGGAGCGAACGCGGAGGCAGCGGGCACAGGGAGGCCGAGGGGCTGGCGGCCGAGACTGGGGCGCTTGAGGAGGCGGTGCCAGACCATGGCCGACGACACGGGGACCGGCCCTGACACGCCGGGAAGAGCATTCCGGATACGGCACGTCGGCGGTCCGGGTCTCCAGGTCGGGGCAGGGGCGTGTGGCAGGTGTCTCGCGGGCAAGGACGGCGGGGGCGAGTGATGCAGGGAGGCCGCGAGCCTGGGGGAGCGGGCCGGGGTTTACCCGGAGCGGTGGGGCGCCGCCGACCCTGTTAGGCAGCGCGGGGTTTGCACCCCTGGGCCCCCATCCTTTGCCGGCGTCACTGCTTTGTGCGTCGCTCCGGAGCTGCCTTCGGTCAGGGCGGCTTCTCCGGAGTCCGCCCGGCTCTGACTTGCTGCTCGTCCTACGCTTAGGGCTCTGAAATCTGTCCGCGTTGTTTGTCGGTTAAGGGAGAAGGACGCTTCCCGCAAAGGCGGTAGGGTCCGAAAACAGGCCGGTGGCTGCCGCAGGTCGGAGCGGGGAGCGGCTGTGGAGGACACGGGGGCATCCTGGGGGCGGGGGCGGGATTCGTCTGTGTCCTGATGGTGCCCCTGGTTACACAACTGCGGCCTTTGGCCTATAGTGTAAGAACTTGCACTGGCCCGTGGGGCTCAGTTGGTTGGAGCGTCGGCTCGTGGACAAAAAGGTTGCCGGTGCAAATCCCTGGCGGGGGTGCGCACCACAGGCAACCGATGTCTCTCACTCTCTGAAATCAATAAACATGTCCTCGGGTGCGGAGTGAAAACAGACAGACAACTCATCTTGCACCCGGTTGAGCGCCGCCTGCGAACGAAAAGGTCACGGGTTCGATTCCCCGTCAGGGCACCGGCCTGGGTTGAGGGCGGGGTCCCCAGCAGGGGGCGCAGGAGAGGCAGCCACCATCGCCGTTTCCAACTCCCTCTCCCTCCCCCTCGCTCTAAAAATAGATTTAAAAATATTTTTAAAAATATATAACAATTCTCACAGAACTTCACGCCACAAGGTGAATTTTACTATAAGTAAAAATGGTAAAATGAAGGAGATACAAAAACGAAGAAGAGAATGACGTCCTTGGTAATGAGAGCAGGACGCGAACCCCGGGAGGTTTCCACTGAGAGGGCGCGGCAGCCCCACCCTCCCCTGAGGTCCCCTCTTGCTGGTCGGCCGCCCCGTCCTCCCGTGGGGCCCGCTCCCTGTACTGCCGCAGGCGCGGGCCGGCGGTTTCAAAAAACGTCTGTGAGGAGCCTTGTTTCTAAAAGACCGTTTCCAAAGGCCACCGCTCCAGGCTGTGTTGTGGCCCCCCAACTCCCGTGTCACGGCCCTAACCCCTAGTCTCCCAGAAGGTGGCTGTTTGGGGCGACGGGGCCTTTAAAGAAGCGATTCAGGTTCAATGCGGTCATCGGGGTGGAGCTCCGATCAGGCTCTCGTTCTTCTGGAAACGAGCGAGCGGGACACAGACCCACACGCAGGGGAAGGGCCGCTGAGGACGCGGGGCGGTGCCCGCAGGCCGAGCAGCGGGGCCTCCGGAGAAGGCCGCCCGCCAACACCTCCGCCTGGGATTTCTGTCCTTTAAAAAGCCACTGAGCCTGTGTCCTTTCCTTGGGCGGCTTTGCGGGGCCTTCCACCCTGTCACCTGTCCCTAGGAGGCTGCCTGTGTCCCTCCCAGCTGGCCT